CATGATGATCTTTGATGATAACTTATTTATTTTTGTTATGTGTGGTGATATTAATGGACACCACACATCACAAAAATAAATAAGTTATCATCAAAGATCATCATGCATTTCTGCATGTCTTATGTTGATATACAAATAATAATAATAATGACTAATTAGGTATGTGTAAATGACAATGTTTATGACGAGAGTTGACGAATAATTGAGTCAAACGTGACTTACACTGAAAAAGGATAGAGTCTAACCCCGAGGGAACCGGGGGAAGCAAAGATAGTCCAAAGAGAAGCTTCCCCATGTCTTCCCCCGATCTCTTTTGTTGGGGGATTCTCATTCTCCAATTTGAATCAGCGTGTCTCTGGGTGTGGGGGAAGGAGAAGGGGAAGCGTGGGGAATGCGTGAAGCTCACAGGTGTCATCGGTTCCCTAGTCTTCTACTTATCAACAGATATCTGTATTGGTCAACCATCTATAAATACATCATCGTTCAAGTTTGAATAGTTGTATCAAGCATCTAATCATAATTATTCAATCAAATAACAATCAATCAATCATTCATATATCTCAAACAATGTCAACTACTGCTACAACAATGAAGGCTGCAAGATTCTTGCAACAAGGAGGTGACCTTACTTTGGTCGATATGCCCATCCCAACACCAGCCAAGAACCAAATCAGAATCAAGGTTGTTGCCTGTGGTGTCTGTCACAGTGATGGTAAGTCAATCTCAATCATCGTCTCACTCATACACTCGCTCAATCACTCAATCACTCACTAACTCAATCAATGTAGTCCTTGGCAAGTATGGCTTCCCAGGTCTATCATGGCCAAGAACTCCAGGTCATGAGGTCGCTGGTGTTGTTGAGGCACTAGGAGAGGGCGTCACCAAGTTCAAGATTGGTGAGAAGGTCGGTGTTGGCTGGTATGGTGGTCACTGTGCATCGTGTTCAAGCTGTGATGAGGATGAGTTCATTCTCTGCTCAGAGGGCAAGGTCTGTGGCATTCACTTTGACGGTGGCTATGCCGAGTACATGGTGGCCCCAGTCGACTCTGTTGCCAGAATTCCCGACGACCTTTCCTTCGAGCAGGCTGGTCCTTTGATGTGCGCCGGTATCACCGTCTACAACTCAATCAGAAATCAGAACATCAAGGCTGGCGCAATCGTTGCCATCCAGGGCATTGGTGGCTTGGGCCATCTTGCCATCCAGTTTGCCAAGAAGCTCGGTTTCGAAGTGGTCGCCTTCAGCTCTGGAGCCGACAAGGAGAAGCTCGCTCGTGAGCTTGGCGCCAAGCACTACATCAATGGTGCACTCCCAGGTGCCGTCGACGAACTGGCCAAGCTCAAGCCAAAGCTCATCGTCACCACAGCTCCACACACCAAGTCGGTTCAGGAGTTGATCAAGGCCATGGCTCTCGGTGGCAAGCTTCTCATCCTCTCTGCTTTGATGGAGCCACTCCAAGTCAACTCTTTGGAGCTCCTATCCAAGAAGCAATCCATTGCTGTAAGTAGTAGTAGTAGTGGCACATGTGTGTGACTAGGATGTCATGACTAACAGTCAATCAAACATATATACTTAGGGATGGGCAAGTGGAGACAACAGAGATAGTGAGGACACAATGAAGTTTGCTGTCAACAACAATGTATTCCCAATGATTGAGACATTCCCATTGGAGAAGGCTGGACAAGCACTCCAACATACCCTTGACAACAAGGTTAGGTTCAGATCTGTCATTACCATCAATCATTAAATCAATCATTGTATACACCACTCCCAATCAAATCCTTGACATCAGTTGTTGGCTGGCCCACCAATCAATCAATATCAGTTAGAGTTATAGTTGTTGTAATGTAATCACATGTCTAACTAAGATTGAATGATTGAAATGGAATGGAACGTCAAAAGTGAAGATCACAACCTTTCTTCAATGTACACGATAGACGTGACACTTGACGAAGTGCTCTCCCAGGGTTTTGGGCATGCCGAACCCGACCTATCAATCAATTTGATGAAAGGTTACATCTTAGTTGATTGAATTCTATTAATAGTTGATATTGGGTATTATCCACTCCTACTTGTAGGATACATGTTCGACAGACACTTGTCAATTGATTGATTGATTGAATGAAGCCAAATGGGTAATCATGCTAACCTACCATAAGCGTAATTTCCTTGATATCAATGGGATCATGTGAACAAGGTGAAGGTCTATCTATTTCACTTGCACTGTAGACCAAGTCAATCATTTACCTTTACACTAAATGGTTCAATCTTTCCCAAGTTGTAGACGACGTGGGTGTTGTTGACACCCCCGACATTAGTAGTCGAGGCGCGCTATTGGTTGTCGGGCCAACACTAACACACCACACCACTACCACTTGTTGTTGCCACTCAACTGGAGGAGGAAAGGACATAAAAGGACCTACCACTACTACTTCTCATTCATTCATTCAGTCAACTAACTAACTGTCAATTTAACTTATAATAACAACTTATCAAATAATACTAACTTAACAATGAGATCTTCAACTATTGTATTGCTCGCTGCCTTGTTCTTGGTTGCAACCGTCGTCGTCAGTGCCGATGTCAACGCTGATGCTGCTGAAGCCGCCGCTGCCAAGGGTCCATCATGCCCATTGGGAGGAATCTCCAACTGCATGTTTGAGGAGTGCAAGTCCACCGGTTGTGGAAGGGGCCAGCTCTGCTGCCCAAAGCCATGTGGTGGAACGTGGTGTCTTGGCCGTGGATCCCTCTGCCCACCAATGCCCGCCTTCTCTGACTGCATGTTTGAGGACTGTACCTCAACTGGATGCTCCGGTGGTCAAGTCTGCTGTCCAAAGGCCTGTGGTGGTTCCAAGTGTGTTGCCGCCTACTAAGCATCCTCTGTCATTCGCGTTCCTCTCTCACACCTTGCTAATAAAGCAACATAACTTATAATTAACCAAAGACATGGATATGTATTCATTCAAGATAGTATTCGACGACTTCTTCATCATATTCATCATCAATATCAAACTCTATCCGATAATCGGATACTGGTTGGTAGAGATCTTGGAGGTAATCTATTACCTCTTGGGTTGAGTCGAGTATTGCTATGTGCCGAGTCTCGTTAATGTCACCTTCACTTCGATTCATATGTAGGAACTTGAGCTTTGGAAGATTGGAGGTACTTGCTGCACGGGTCATCGCAGCCGATGTGCAGCCCTCTGTTCGATTGTAATGAAGAAACTCTATGATGGCCATCGAGGACGCTCCATCCATCGCCGCAGTGGTGCAGCCCTCTGTTCGATTATGATGTAGCCACTTGACAATCTCCAGACGTCCAAAGATTGCTGCATCGTCCATCGCATTGGTCGTGCAGCCCTCGGTCCTATTGAGATGCAAGTACTCCAAAGTGTTGAGATGGCCATACTTGGCGGCAAAGTCCATTGCCCGCTCATGACTGCCTTCGGTTCTGTTGTGATGTAGGAAGTCAACGACGTTGACGTGGCCTGATTGTGCAGCAAAGATCATGGCGTCCACTGTACATCCTTCAGTCCTATTATAATGAAGGAACTTGATCACTTCGAGATGTCCATTATATGACGCCATGTTCATGGCTTGAACGGTGCACCCTTCTGTGCGATTGGTGTGCAGGAACTGGAGGATGTCCAATCGGCCAAACGAAGCGGCTTTATCCATTGCACGCTCAGTACACTCTTGATCAGGGTCGAGATGTAGGTGACGGGCAACATCGAGAGAGCCAGCATAGTCCAGTGCTCTGTACGTAGCCTTCAGTCCACATTCTTGTAGTTGTATGACTGAGTGTAGGTCTCCAACAAGTGCCATCCAATCAACGACGTAGCAAGTGTCGGTAGCACATTGTGTATGGAGTTGTTGATAAATGACATCTTTACGATGTGACTTCAAGTATGATACTATATAGCCATGAGTACTCGTCTTGATCTGCTTTGTAAAGAAGTCTGTTGGTATACATGTAGGCTGTACATTCACGTAAGTGATCCATCTTTGAACCAACTGATCCCAGTTCATTCTCCTCAAATAACCAAGTTCATGTATTACTCCATTAACCAATCGAACTCTATCAAATATAAACAATCTTATCCAACTTATATTGATTATATGTTTGAACAACAGTGTTGATCCATCTCTATCTCTATCTCTATCTGTATCTGTAATCATCGTTGTAAAATGAATGATTGATTGAAGTTGCGATCGCGATATTTATTGTTTGGCGGCACGAGGTGGACTGGAATTGATGTACAATAATGAACAGATGGCAACGAAGCATCCCCTTGCGTCTGTGATGGTCGATATGACGTTGTTCGTCTCAATTGATATGGTATTCAAATACTTCCTCGTCTGTGGATTCTGCTTTGTCTTTACAATCTCTGTGATCACTGATGAGATACTCTTGGTGTCCTATTTTGATTGATTGGAATGGAATGATTTCAATGTGAGCAAGTGAGTGATTGGAATGATTCCAGTATCAATGGATACATACTGATACAATCTTGTTGATTAGGTATGAATAGTCTTTGGCTTTGGAGAGTGTTGACTCCTTGCGTTGAGTGTCGTCTTGTGCGCTGGAGGTGTTATCTTGCTTCTGATCCATGTCTGATTGTGCGATGGAGTTGATCAATTCGATACCGATGGATGCCAGGTGAATCATCTTCTCAAGACCACGACAGAGTGCTGCCTGTTGCGATTGACTTGACAACTTGGGCAGATACTCCTGCAGTGCACCAAAGTACTCATTGTACTGCTCCTCCAACTCGAATGATTGGTTGCTGGTGGTCAATGACTTGGGCTTCTCATTCATCACCAATGTGTCGTCCTCCATCGTCTCCTTGATCTCGGTGAACAGTGCCTCCACGGCGGACTTCATGTCCTTGGGCACCTTGCGATTGAACTGATGAATCTTCATCGTGGACTCTATTGATATCCTCTCGATCTCTTGCTGTGTCGTCGGTATTTTGAAGTGCTCAAAGCATCGCGCGCTGTCAAACTGGTTGTCGGGGAACACTACATCGCCCTCCAAAGTGATCGATGTCACCTTGTTCTTGGTCGCCGAGGTCGAGGATGTGGTGGTTGTGGATGTGGAGGTACCTGGAGGTGAGCCTGGTGCGGTCGAGCCAGTTGGAGGACTGCCACCAGCTGCGCCTGGCTGGGCCATGTTCTTCTTAGTCTCGGCAAAGAGTGTGTAGGCGCGCTGTCCAACAGACTCGAGACGCTCCACCGACGTGTCCATCATCTGCGAGGCAATCTTCTGTCCCTTGCCGTATATCTCTGAGTTGGTCGCCTTCCTGGTAGTCTCGAGGGAGATGTTGGCCACGTCATGAGCCAACCCCTTGACATTCTCAATCTTGGCATTCTCTTGCACTGTCTTTAGTCCACTGGAGAACAGATTGCCAGCATAGAACAATGATCCAGCGATGATATCGGCCGTCTTAAAGACACCCTTGTCGAGAACATTCAACAGTCCTTCGACATCATCTTCATCATCGTCCTCAGCCTTCTTTGTTCCTTCTACATTCTCCTCCTCATCGTCTTGTGCAATGTCTTCATTCTTTGTCTCAACATCCTCATCATCCTCGGCATCTTCATGTTGTTGCTCTGTCTTCTTTTGTTCAGCAGACGACTGCTGTTGCTCAGGCTTCTTTGTTGATGTTGTGGTCACCGGACCATCCTTTCTGTACAATGTGAGTGGTTCAGGATCTGGTTCATCATCAGTTGTGATTGAAGTGATTGTTGAAGTGACTGTTGATGTGACTGCGCTTGCCACACTCGAGAACCAACCACCCCAGCCTCCAGATGATTGTTGTGGCTGTGGCTGTGGCTGTGGCTTTGGTTGTGGCTGTTGTTGTGGCTTGGGTTGTTGCTGCTCCTGCTGTCGTTGTGGAGGTGGTGATGATGAGGTGACCTTTGTTGGTTCAACAGGAGGCTGAGGCTTCTCTTCAACCTCTTTAACATCTTGCTTGTTCTCAGTCTTTGGCTGAGGTTGTTCTACTTCTTCTGTGTCGTCCTCCTTCTCAATTTGTTCAGCAACCTTTGTCTCTGTTTGATGAGTAGGTTCATCTTTCTCTTGTTGTTGTTGTTGTTCTGGTTGTGATTGCTCTACATTATTCACAATAGATACATCAACAATATCATTCATTATCACTTCCTGTTCTTGTTGTTGTTCTTGTTCTTGTTGTTCATTTTGTTGATTATCTTCTTGTTGATCATCACTAACAACATCCTTCTTTCTATTTCCTCTCTTTTTTCCAGCCATTATATATTATTATTATTATTATCTCTATCTATCTATCTATTCAACAACAACATATAATAATAAAGGTAAGAGGATGACATTGATTGATGAAAGAGTGAACAGTTAAAGGTGTGAGAGTCGACCTTGTTCACCCACCTTGCACCACATCTATCACTTGAACTTCTCAATTTTGACATTTAGTTGACTTGAATCATTCATCAAGTTACAGATACAACATTGTAACATATATAACAACAAGATGTCATCTCCACAGATGAATGCTATCAATGCTGTTGCATCACATCAACAACAAATGCAGCAACAACAACCTCAACAAATGCAACAACAGCAACAGCAACAACAGCAACAACAACAACAACAACAACAACAGTTTATGGGTACACCACCTCCTCAACTGTTAATGACTACAACGCCACAACAATTACAACAACAGCAACAGATGATGATGGCACAAAAAACTCCAATAGATGATAAGATTGATAAGTTGATGGCACTCAACAGTGAGTTGTTGCATCTTGTCAACACAGCATTGTCAACACAGCAGCAGCATATAGACCGTGCATATGCCATCAAAGTGGAGATCAGCAACGCCTTGCGTGATCTGCATAATGAGATTGTCAATGCCAACCTACTCTATATCTCGCCCATCTTTGAACCGGCCGACTTTGAACTGGCCACCACTACGCTACCAATCAACAGTGACCTCTTCCACAAACAACTGACTCCCGATACGATACAGAAGCAGATGCAACAATGGGACAACGTGCTCAAAGAGAAGGACAAGATTGCCAAGAACCTAGAGAGAGTGCGAAGCTCATTGAAGTGATGTGATGTCATGTGATGTGAGGTCGCTGGGACGACATCAACATTCATTCAATTAATCATTCATTCATTCACAGGCCATAGGTTATCAATGGCATAAACAACGACATCATTCATTCAATCACATGTTGAAGAGAGCGCGAGGCTTAGGACAGGTGCGAGATACTCTTGATGTTTGGGATGACCATTCATTGTTGGAGTTGGAACATATAGCCTTCTTTGGTCATCAGCAATATTTTATAAATACACCATGATCCACCCAAGGCCTAATCAATCAATCATGAGTTATACTTATTCGTTAATTATTCAAATAATAATAATAATAATAATGGCTACAAATAATCAATTAATATTAATAGAATTCCCTTGGATAATCATTCCAGGGAGATATGATACATTTATTAATAATAATCCAAATCTGGTTATTGAGTTGGTCAATCAATATTCAATAGTGTTACCAGTGGAAAGGAGTTTGGACATTCAAATATTGTTTCCAAATGATCTATACACGGATGAACAACGTGAACAATTGATACTACTAAATCCAATTGCAAGAATGGAATTCATTGGAGATACTAAAATATATATCAAAACAATGGCCTTCCAATTATCAAGGCAGATCGCAGAACTAGCATCCTGCTGCTGTTCAGCTTGCTGCGCAACTTCCCCTTGGCGCTGCAGCACCGCAAGTGGTAGATCAGGTTGGAGTTGCAGCACACTGATTGATTGGTGGTGCACTTCAGGACGATTGGTGTGATCGTGTCCAGGATGCGCTGCAGCGCCAAGGGGAAGTCAGCTGTGTACTTGGGCATTATACGATGACACCTCCCATGGACATGCACTTAACTCGGAGTCAAGATTCTATATAAATACAGGAGAGTCATCAGCTATATTGTACATATAATAAATAATATAAATAATATTTTCTAACTCATTCATCATCAGGGGACCAGATTCTGCATATATTACAGATGAACTTTACAAATCTGTACCAGTTCAGGATAGAAGGGAACACTTTGCTCAACATGCAACTAGTTTTGTGATTTAGAACAAGTCGTACCCACCGATACCATCTCAAGAGAACTCCATACATTGTCTAAGAATACGCCAAAAGATGATAAAGTGGATAAGAGGTGGAGTACAATCAGGTATAATAATTGATGGTGAAAAGTTGAATATTCACCTCTACTGTCAACGGAATCTACTTATTCCTCAACCTGGACATCCACTTCGTTTCATTCATCCTCAGGTCGCTAGTCAGAAGGAACAGACTCCAGTCCATATTTTCGAGGTACAAGCATCCCTTCAAACTTACCAGCTCTTTCCCCAACCACTCTCACCAATTCTTCTCAACAACCAACAACAGACCCAACAAAAGTTGGTTCGGCTACAGACATTCACTGATGTTTTCCTGTCCTGGAGTCCAAGACATGAGAGTGGAGGGTGTGGACAATGAAGACCAGGAGGGCTATAATGTCGATGAATAAATATGCACTGTTACTATTCCTTTCTGGCCGGAGATACCCCAACCACTTCCTGAAGTTGGTCCAAACATTCTCATTCATTTCATTGGGGATGTAAACACTTTCACTCTGGACATCTCTACATACCCACTTCAATAAATAACTTCTTGAAAGCGACAGCATGTTGGTTAACTAGGTGTGAATGATTGGCCAGCTGCGGAGAGAAATGAAGGATGCCGAGACCAGATTTAAATAAGTTTATTCCATCCGTTGTCCCTCAGTTGAACGACAATCCTGATCTTGTTTTTGATATTTAACGATACCTGGGAAGTTGGACTGATCATTGGTATCAATTTATCGAAGCAACTAACCAAAGCTGCATTGTTGATTGTACTGAGTTTCTTTCCGACTGACTCCATCAAACTGCAGACGCATGTCACCTTGGTTTTAATGGGATGATTGGTTGTTGTACCAAGATTATCGTTTAGGATATCTGAAATGAGGCGATCATCGAGTAAACAGGCGTTGTACAGCTCACCGATAAAATTGTAAACGCCATCGATCTTGAATTCTCTCAACATGAACTCCATGCGTTGGGCTTCGGTGTGTTTGATTGGCAGCGCATCGAATGTCTCCAACAGCTTGCTAACCTTTTCGTACTCCTCCCTACACACCAGAAGCAACTGCGTTTGGAGCCTTGTCTTGGGTTGAACTATTCCATATTCCTTATGTTGTTTAAGGTCGAATGTGATGATACTCTTGAGCATTTCGATGTACATCTTTGTATGCTCCTTCTTGTGAAGTGATCCAGAGTTGAATACAAAAGACACAATCGATTTGAATTCCTCTGTATCCACAAAAACATCACCAAACTTTGATTTACCAACATAAGGACGAAGTTGCATATGTTTGGCATGGTTCTTGATCATACTAATCAGTTCATCATCGTTGAGTGGTCGTGATGTTGATGAGGATGATGCTTGCGTGGCATCAATGATGAACTGATTGACCGATGTAGATGTTGTTATGGTGTTGATCATCTGTTCAATGTCAACAACATCTTGCTCATCGACCAAAGTTGTTGTTGATGCAGATGGATGCTCCAAGTTGATGATATGATTGATATCCTTGATCTCACCGACAATGTCAACGACCAATGATTTGACCTGTTCCATTTGATCAACCAGAGGTTTTTTGAACATATGCTCTTGTACCATGAGCATATTGTACAGCTGAGTAAAGTGTTTGCCAACATCTTCATGTTGCTCCTTCAATGATTGATAGGACTTGGCATTACTCTTGACTGTACTCCATATATGATTCAATCTTGGTGTACACCACAATGATTTATGATCTCTCTTGATTATATTCTGTTTAATACGATCGATGTGATCCAACTTATGTCCACCGTGAGAGTCCAACAAACATATACTACACAACATCACATTACAATCCAAACAAATAAACTTCTCCTTCTTTCCATGTGATTGACATGTAACATTGTCTTTGGTGTCATTGGTGTCATTATTGTTGTTGTTGTTGACAGTATTGTCCATATTTATCTCTATGTCTATCTCTCAGTCTTGAACAAGATAAGCATAAACTTGAAAATCAATCATTCATTCATTCAAACAAATAGAATGTAGTGATAGAGAAAGAGATAGAGATAGAGTAGCGTGTAGAATTAAGAGTCCAAATTAACATTCATTGGCGCAACATGTCAACATCATCATCATCATCATGTTCATCAAGGACATTACTTCTCACTACAACAGCAGAACAGAATACTATCAATCGTTGGTAAATGGAATCAATCGATTGAATTAATCACGAGAGGAGAATTACTACTACTTCTACGTAGTGGTCTCGATGTGATTGAGGTGACTTCAATCAATCAACAATGAAGTTGTTGTTGTTTTTGTAGTTGAGCCACTCGAGGAGATAGGCGTTGAGGGATGGTGTGGCGGTGAAGGCAACATCATTGAGGATTAGTACCCCGTGAGCCAGCATGCAATCACTGTGATGGATAATTCCATCACTCTGCCCAAGTAGGAGGCACCCGGGCTGGCTGGCTGGCTGGCTGGCTATCACTAATCACTCACCTGACCTCATTCTAAAGCACACACACTGTCAGCCTGGAGTGGAGGAGTGTGTTTGCTTCAATATTCAGGTAGGTCTACACCCCACCTCTACCACTACTACAACAATGATGAGGACAGTCATCCACTACTCATATGCACATCATTTGTTACCACTCTAACAACAATGATTAACACTTTACCTACCACACACTTATATTACCTTAGCCAAGCAAGCTAGCAAGCAAGCAATCAATGCCAGCAACCAAGGAAGCAGATCAACCTGCTACTACCTCCTACTTTAAAATCAGGGATGGCCATCCCTCTTAGCATAACATAATCAATTACTTATTTACAACATATAGTAATATAGTAATATATACAACAAAATAGTAGACCCTGCCAGAGAGTCAGAGATATGTTTACTAAACATCGCTCATCTTTGAGTCCCATAGTGCTACTTGCACTCATTCTTATTGTTACCAGCGTCACTTTGTCAGGTAGGTTAACAAACTTGATTGATAGATTGGATGGAGTTTGGAATATAATTATTAACCTATAAATAATAATTATTATTTTAATTATTAATATTATTGTTTTTGTTGTTGTAAACAATAATATATAGATGCAAATGAATGCAACTTACCATGTGGCCAAGGTTTCGTTTGTTGCCAACCTATGCCTAGCTTAGCGCCTAAGTGCATAAGCTTGTGTACCTTTTTGCGTTGTCCAGTTGGCTTCACATGTTCGGTTGACCAGCTGAACCAACCAAAATGTATCCCACTTACAACTGGTGCAACTACAACTGTTTCCACCCAGTCGACTGTTGCCAGCTCAGTAGCTACAACAACAGTATCCACACAATCAACTGTTGCCAGCACTGTTGCTAGCACTGTTGCTTCGTCCACCGCCAGTTCTGTGGCCTCAACCACGGTGTCCACTCAGTCGACTGTTGCCAGCTCAGTGGCTTCATCGACGTCAGCCTCCACCACTGCCACAGTCTCGACTGTTGCCTCAACCACGGTTACGACCACTGTCTCCACAACTTCGCCTGCCTCAACAATTACGCAGACGACCACGGCAACAACAACGGCGACCACAACTGCGACCTCGGGTGTCATCACCACCACCGTCTCGACTCAGTCGACCGTGGCCAGTACTGTTGCGGGTGCCACCTCGACCACAGTCTCGACCACCGCCACCACAACGTCGCCAGTCAGCACCATTACCCAGACTACCACAGTCACTACGACTGCAACTTCGTCTGCATCAACAACCACAATCACCACAACGGCATCAACTTCGATGTCAACAACGGTATCGCCCACTAGCACAATCACTGCTACCACTACCGTTACAACTACTGGCAAGCCACCAGTAACCTCGACCATTGCCTCGACTACGGCCACTACAGCCACTACGACGGCCACGACGATTGCAACAACTACTAGCAAGCCACCAGTCACGACCACTGCCTCCACCGTCGCAACCACTGCTTCCACCACGGCCTCTACCACTGCCTCAACTACCAGCAAGCCACCAGTGACGACCACTGCTTCCACTGTCGCCACCACTGCTTCCACGACAGCTTCTACCACTGCCTCCACTACCAGCAATCCACCAGTCACGACAACTGCCTCCACCGTCGCCACAACTGCCTCCACCACCGCCTCGACCACTGCGTCAACCACTAGCCAGCCACCAATCACGACCACAGCCTCTACCACCGCCACCACTGCTTCTACCTCAGTCACAACTACCGCTTCAACAACAGGTATCCCCGAGGAGAAGAAGAAACTTACTTTGTCCGTCTTCATTGACTCCAACAAGAATGGTGCCAGAGACGCCACAGAGCTGCCCGCCTGGGACTTTATCGGCAATATCACAAAGAAGGATGGCACGCTCGTTCAACCAATCGACTTGAAGAGCAACGACGGCAAGTGGAGTACCATGCTCGCTCCTGGTGACTACTGCATCAAGCTTGACCATGTCAGCCGCCACTGGATCTCAGGACCAGTTGGCACCGACAACAAGTTCGTCGATGGCAAGTACTGCTTCACAATGCCCAGCAAGGACCTGAATGTACCCTACGGAGTCGTCGCCAGTCCTTTGCCAAAGCTAAGTGTTGAGGTCTTCATCGATCGCAACCAGAATGGTGCCAAGGATGCTGGTGAGCAACCCGCATGGGACTTTATTGGCAACATCACCAAGAAGGATGGTACCCTCGTTCAATCCATCGATTTGACGAATACCAATGGCTCTTGGAGCACCACCGTTGCGCCTGGCGATTATTGCATGACCCTCGAGCAYAAGACCARWGGCTGGAWKACYGGACCAGTYGGCACYGAMAACAAGTTYGTCRAYRRCAAGTACTGCTTCACWCAGGGAGCTGCTGGTACCRATCTCAAGTATGGWGTCGTTGGCAAGGSCAARGTTGAGGTTGAGATCTTCATCGACCGCAACCAGAATGGRGCCAAGGATGCTGGTGAGCAACCYGCMTGGGACTTTATTGGCAACATCACCAAGAAGGATGGTACMCTYGTCCAAAAGATYGATTTGACCAACAACACTGGCATTTGGARYACCAACCTCGAGCCWGGCGACTACTGCATGACMCTCGATCATAAGACCAATGGYTGGWTAACCGGACCAGTTGGMACWGACAACAAGTTYGTCAACAACAAGTACTGCTTCACCCAAGCTTTGACCGATACCAAGTTCAWGTATGGTGTCRTTGGCAAGGCCAAGTTGARSYTGGAGRTCTTCATTGATTCAAACAGCAACGGAGCCAAGGATGCCGGAGAGGCACCTGCCTGGGACTTTATTGGCAACATCACCAAGAAGGATGGCACCCTCGTCCAAAAGATTGACTTGAAGAGCCAAGATGGCAAGTGGAGCACCAACCTTGAGCCAGGCGACTACTGTGTCATCCTGCATCATGAGACAAAATGGATCTCAGGCCCCCTTGGCACTGACAACAAGTTCTCCAACGATAAGTACTGCTTCACGATGGGCACCACCGACATGACCGCCATGTACGGCGCCATTGGCAGGGACGACCAGAAGGTCAACCTAGAGATCTTCATTGACCGCAACCAGAATGGTGCCTTGGACGCTGGTGAGGCACCTGCCTGGGACTTTGTTGGCAACATCACCAAGAAGGATGGCACTTTGGTTATGCCAATCGATGTCAAGAGCACGGACGGCAAGTGGAGCAGCATCCTATCGCCTGGCGACTACTGTATGAACCTGGAGCACAAGACACTATGGGTCTCAGGTCCAGTTGGAACAGATAACAAGTTCGTTGATGGCAAGTACTGCTTCACCATGCCAGTTGGACAGCTCAACATCAAGGCCGGAGTCATACCCAAGGCCCCTCTAAGCCTCGAGATCTTTATTGACACCAACTCGAACGGAGCAAAGGATGCCGATGAGAAGCCAGCATGGGACTTTGTTGGCAACATCACCAAGAAGGATGGCACCTTGGTTCAGCCCATCAACATCAAATCCAACGACGGCAAGTGGACCACCAAGCTGGAGCCAGGCGATTACTGCATCACGCTTGAACATTCATCCCATGGATGGAAGTCGGGACCTGTGGGAACCGACAACAAGTTCGTCGATGGCAAGTACTGCTTCACACAGACAACCTCCGGTTCTGATATCAAGTACGGTGTGGTCGCCAATTCAACTTCCAAACTCAATATTGAGGTCTTCATCGACTCCAACATCAATGGAAACAAGGATGCCGGAGAGAAGCCTGCCTGGGACTTTGTTGGCAACATCACCAAGAAGGATGGAACCCTCGTCATGCCAATTACCTTGGACAGCAACACTGGCAAGTGGAGCACTGACCTTACGCCTGGCGACTACTGTATCACTTTGGAGCACACCAAGAAGTTCTGGCTCACGTCTGTGGTCGGCAACGACAATAAGTTTGTTGACAACAAGTACTGCTACACTCAAGGCGCCACTGATATGAACATCCTCTACGGAGTCATGCCCAAGACCAAATTGAACCTGGAGATCTTTGACGACTCTAACAAGAACGGCGTCAGGGACGCTGGCGAGCCTGCATCATGGGACTTTGTTGGCAACCTAACAAGGGCTGACGGAACCCTTATCCAGAATATTAACTTGACCAACAACGACGGCAAGTGGTCCATCAATATAGAGGTTGGAGACTACTGCCTCAGACTTGACCATAGTGGCCGAGGATGGATCTCAGGCCCAGTTGGCACAGACAACAAGTTCGTCGATGGCAAATACTGCTTCTCCACGACCAACGACGCTGACACGAACGTCAAGTACGGAGTCGTTAAGCCAGCAACATTCAATGTTGAGATCTTTGAGGACCAGAACAAGAACGGTGCTAGGGACGCCGGCGAGCCCGCCACATGGGACTTTGATGGCACTATCGCAACTAAGGATGGTGCAAACATCAGAAACTTCAAGGTGACAAGCACTGACGGCAAGTACTCCAGTTACCTAGCTCCAGGCGATTATTGCATGACCCTTATACACACCTCCAAGTTCTGGATCTCCGGACCAGTTGGCACAGACAACAAGTTTGTCGATGGCAAATACTGCTTCACAATGCCCGCAACCAACTTTGATATCAAGTATGGTGTTATCAAGTCTTGAAACTAGATGGCCCCTTCTATCTCCAAGACTACAACAGACATATCAATCCAACTCTTCAATAAAGATAACAAGTCATTGTTATAACAATATATATAATTGATGTTCCATTTACTACAAGTCGCGCTGAGCGAGTGGAGCTTGTTGAGATCCAAGATCTAAAGTAGATGTACTTCAAATTTGTCTAGTCGCGAGCGACACACTTAATCGACATCATACAATATTACATCCTATTATATGATAACAGCTGTAATGTATATCTCTATCTCTAATTGATTGTGCACCAATAAACAACTTGAAAGTTGAAGTTGAACTCATACTTTCAAAAAAAGAATCAAAAGAAAGCAAAAATTTGCTCTTCTTTGCATACTTTGCCAAGCCTAAAGTGTAACCAATACTTCATTTCATCAAAGAGTGAGTTTGTAATAATAGATAGAGATAGAGGTAGATAGAGAGGATGAATGAACAAGATAAAGGAGATAAAAAAAAAGAAGAAGAAGAAATAATAATAAATACATGTGGACACAAGAATCCAAACTTCATTTGCACAACATGTCCAACAGGTGACTTGTTTTGTGAGTTGTGTGTAGGATTCAACAGTCATCAAGGACATTACTTCTACAGCAAATCAGGTACCATCAACAAACTATCCAATAATGATCAACAACAACATGCTGTTAGACCACCATATTATACTCTGAGATATGATATCATTTTGAAGTTGATGACTGGTTACAAGGAAGAAGCTCAATCAAACTTTAGTACAATTGATCAAATCACTAACCAATTTGATCGGGTTCGTCTGGTGATCAAGCAGGTGGAGGATAGTATCAAGGCACCAGTGTTGGAGCAATTGGAGCATGCTAGACCAACGATCAATTTCTTGATGAACGAGATCACACATCTCTTGGCCACAATACACTCTTCACCTCAATCAAAGGACACTTATATACCAATTGACGATATATGTGGTATGAGACGATTGGTCGACTCAATTGACGAATGTGGATCGATTGAAACATACATCACTCAGGATTTCCCAAAGAAGGACATTGCCGACGCCACCCAGCCTGACCCCTGGCCTCTGATCTTCGAACATGTTCGAGACCCCAGCATGCTGCATAAGGAGCACGAGCCTCCCAAGCCACACATTTGTCTCCAAGTCGATGAAGGACGGTTGTCTGCCTTCAAAATGAAAATCAAGGGACTGATCAGCTCATGCTTTCATACACACCATCAGAGCAGCGAGGAAGTAGTGTTCGCCTCGTCAACATCAACAACTGGCTCACAAGAGTCATCTGGATGTGCATCACCATCTTCTTCACATGGCAACATTAAGGTCTCACCGGCAATGGTGAAGGACGCCCCAGCATCGTCATTCTCGTTGTCATCACCATCTCCATTACCTGACATTGCCTGCGAGGCTATCTATTCATATCTGCCAACAGTTGGCACGCCTAGTTTAGTTGGACCCTCATTGGAGAAGGTGCTACCAACAGTGGTGGATAAGGATGAAGTGTGGACTCATCCAGACCTGTCCACATTCAATACCTTTGGTGATCGGACCGAGAAACAGACGACCCAGCCCATTCTATCTATCAATCAATTGGTGACCCAATCAATCGATATTGAACCACCCAATCATACACCAATCACTCTAGCACATGTACACGTTCAACTGGACACCACAATGGTATCATCATCGTCGTCGGTCATCGAACCAGTCGTGCTACCACCACTCAACAACGATTCACTATTTGATTGGATACGCTCTTTCCAAGATATGGATATAGAGTCAAGTGATGTCCTGGCCAAGTCGTTGGAGTCTATGGGCATCAACTCTGTTGCAATGGCACTATGGGCACATCAAAAAACAAACATGTATGATCTATTGAAGCATAAAATGAAGGACAATGAGATAACATTATTCAAGAATAAGATGAATGACATGATTAGTAATCCACCAACATTCATCATGGACATTCAATCAAAGAGATATTCAAACAATAGAGAATGGATGGACAATAATCTATTTGAATGGATTGGATTGGCTGGAATTCACTCAGGCAAAGTCGATCAGATAACAAATCATCTTGTTCAAGAAGAAGTAGTACATTTCACAACATTGAGGGCCTGCATAGAAAGTCTTAAAGCCAAGATACCCAAGGTTACTCTACAATTCATTTATGATTACAAAGCAACAATAATACCTCGTCATTAGCTACCATGTAGGTGAACACCAACCCTAACCCTTACCCTTACCCTTGCCCTTGCCCTTGCCCTCGTACAACCAAATTTTCAAAAGGTGAGCTTTGAAGTTATTTTCAAACATTTTTCGCGGAGATAGAGATATCGAATAGAGAGAGATAGGAGTTAGTGAATGGAGCCAGTAGTTGACGACACTAATATGCAGTGATCATAAACTACATACAGAGTTCATTTGTATTAGTTGTAAAGGTGTATTACTATGTAAATATTGTATTGGACAAGTACATATTGGTCACAATGTAATCAACATTGAGAGTATGATTTACTCTTTATCAAAAGGAGAACAAGAACAAGATACAATGTATTATACATCGAGATTGTCGGAACTATCTACACAACTCAATGACTATAGGTAGATTGTAAATCAATGTTTGATTCGATGTCTCAGATTGGTGAACAGTTCAATCAACTACACAGAGATCTCACAGAGTTGGAGAGTAGCATCAAGTCAAGGTTCAATAAGCAGTTAGCAATCAATCAGTCGACTATCAACAACATAATGGCCGAGCTCACACATCTCTCATCGATCATTCACTTGTCACCTCAATAGAAGAACAACTACACACCGATTGCCGATGACGATCATCTTCGTGATCACAATGACCTTAGGAATCTGATCAACTCTATCGACTCGTTCGAATCAACCAGTGAGTTTATAAGGTCATTGTCTAACTCGAGTAATGATGATGGCCAGAATGATCCTGCTGGGCCTGGAGGCCTTGATTCATTGGTCATTCAACATGTCAGAGAGATGTTGCATTACCAAGTATGAGCCAGTGGGCGAGTCCTATCACATTAGTATTGATGCTGACAGATTGAAGACCATTGACCTCAAAAAACAGATCGGTTCGTGCTTCCGAACCTTGAACAGTGTGGAGTGCTTAGAGTCCAAGGACCACCTCGGTAAGATCCACATCACGTTTGAACATCAAAAACACAAGCATAGCGATGATGATCACCCTGAGTGGAAGACGGAGTTTGACAACGACTCATGGACTGGATACTCTCATTCAAAGACATGGACCAGGTGTTTTGTGTTCAGTTGACCAGCGCTCTGGAATCATTGCACGTCGACTCAGTTGCATTGGCTCTGTGGGCACTCTTACATTATAGAAGTTTGCGTAGTCATTTGTCTGAATTGACTGTGCCAGATGACATTATCAGAATGTTCATAGACAAATTGCATGGGCTCGCTGGTCATCCAAAGTTCACAAAGTACACCAAGAAGCAGGGATTCATCGATTGGCCTGACGACAAACTACACGATTGGATAAGGAATATAGGACTACACTCGAGCAAAGTGAACAAAGTCATTCAAGCTCTCCATGACGATGATGTGACTACCTTCACAACCTATAAGAGCACCTACATTGGTAATATTCCACTAACCTACATCATGTTTATCGATTATAACATCGTTATGTGTCAAAAGAACGAATAAAAACAAACTGATAATCTTTCCAAAAGAAGATAGACCTTACGTTAGTTGAAATGTAACTTTATATTTATTAATAATAATGGATGACAAATGATAAAGATCCAAATTCAGATAGATCTATTGAAAGACAAGTCATTTCCATTTTGATTGAAAGGAAGGCGCCCATTAAGTGTGTTGTGAGTGTGTTTATGATTAAGGTGTGTTTGAGTGGTCCAACTCATTCAATTCCAATTTGAAACACCAATGATGTCATTTATTCATTCATTCATTCACCCATGTGTACATATATTAATCAATCAAACAAACAACAATCAATCAATGGACATGTGATCAACATCATATTCACAAACTAATATATATTTAAAACATTAAAAGATAGAGATATATATATTTTGCAAAGAGATGAGTTCATCAACAACACCAGCAGCAACAACATCAACATTTGACATTACATCATTGTCAGACCTGTTGCTGCTATATATAGTAGAGAGAATAGATGTTAATATAGATAGAGTATGCTTCTTGGTCACATGTCATAGGATACATCGAATATGTTCAAAGCACACCGATGAATCACCTCTCTCACTATCATTCCAAGAATACGATCGTGTCGTAGACCTAATGACCAACTATGACGACTCAAACTCTGACATGGACACTGACGACAGCAGTAGTTGTGGATACATTGATAATCTAGATAAACGGTGTCATCACGAAGATGACGATAATGATAACGATTACGATAATGATAATGATCAATCGGGCGATGGCGACTCGGTCAACTATATGATTGAACCAATGTACTTCACTGTGGAATCGACAACACAACAGATACCGCGAGGCGTCACGCACCTGACGCTCTATCATCAGTTCAACTTGGATATACCGCCAGGGTGGATGCCCTCGAGCGTGCGCCATCTGGTCCTCTCAAACAGCTTTGACAAACCGATTGGCAAAGGCGTGCTGCCGCCGCGACTAGAGTATCTGTCACTGGGCAAGAAGTTTAGCAAGACGATCGATGTTGGTGTACTGCCCAAGACGTGCAAGACACTGCGGATCGCATGCTATCTCCATCACTTTGACGCGGCATCAATCGAGCCCGTCACCACAATGATCATAGCCACCAAAAACATCAAGCCACTGCCGCGCGACTCGTCCATCCGGCACGTAGAACTCACGGGCGACATCTTCCGCATTGTCGACGGGATGGTACCGCCTACCGCCACACACCTCACACTGAGCAATCACATGCCCATCGACACACACGACGTGCCGCCCAGCGTCAGCAATCTCACTCTCGTCCGCTTTGAGCAGGGCGACACCATCCCAGACACTGTACGCCATCTAACCGTTTCACAGCTGACGCGCGTCCGTCAGGGCTGTCTGCCTAATCGTCTGCTGAGTCTGACCATCCATCAGGAGATCACGACGATTGACAACAGCTCACTGCCGCCCAGTTTGAAGGAGTTGAATCTGGTGGCCAAGTACGCACACTCGCCCGTCATCCCAATCGAAGCGATCGCATCACTCTGCACTCTCAATCTATATAATCACGGCATCATCGAGTCGATATACATTCGCAACTTTAACAATGGACATTTACTGATTGTGGACGAGCGACTGTTTGGTGGCTTCATCGACTTGGCGCGCATCAACCTGGACGTTGGCGAGATGATCTTTGACCTCTGTTGCCTTGGTCAATACGACAGTAAGACATCCATACTCAATATCCGAGATCCAAAAGGCAAGCGAATAAACCTAACAACCTCCTGACCCCTGTCTGTCAGTCAGCCAGTTGACTGATGGATGGATGGACGGGGAATGAGGTTGAGTTGTACATAATAATAATAATTTAATTAATGTCCAAATCAGGACATTCATTCCCATAATCAAGTTTTGTAAAAAGAGTTTGATCATATTTAGTGAGGGGCGTGTTAGAGACCTTGTTGGGGCTCGACGGTGGCTGACTGATGATCACATGATCGGTGGAAACAAGTGTTAGGCAAAACGAATGGCTGTGTAACAACACAACAACATACAACAAAGAACATCACAATCACAGTGATGAATGGCTTGGGAAGGTCTGAGATGTCGATAATCCCTTGGTGGGAATCCTGCGCACAGTGGGAGCTCTGGTACCAGACATTGTATCCTGGGTCGCGACTACAACAACCAATGAACAGTGTCACAGCTGGAGGTTCGTCGCGGCTCTGGTTGGAACTCTGGAGTGACAACGAAATCAATGAAGTTTGATACACTCGATGGATAGTCCTAGGACGATCCACAACTTAATTCAGACTACTCTCCGCCGATCAATCATCAGTCTCCAGCTCCACCCCTATTATAGTATGTATGTATGAATGAATGCGCGGTTTATTAGATCTAGTCGGCTTGTCCTCCTGTGCCATGTGAGCTACTCTTCCTTGCCCTCTTCTTGTACTTGGACAAAGAGTCAGTGGCCATCAACATAAAGATATGCTGTTGTGCTGTGTTGTAAATAGACTGCGCTTTGGAGCAATCATAGGTGATTGTTGTTGAGTCGGTTGAGGATGTTGCTGCTGCTGTTGTTGTTATTGTTGGAGTTGTTGATGTAGTCGTCGGTGATGTAGCTACAACAGCCTCTGTCGTTATGATCGTCGGGATAGTTGGCAGAGTTGGATTATTAGTGTTGGTGTTGTTGGTGGAGGTGATAGATTGAGTGGATGTTGATGTTGATGTTGATGATGATACAGCCTCATCATTGCTGCCTCCTGTCGATGTTGGCAACGCTGTTGTGGTTGTGGCTGCTGAGATTGGTGATGACTCCAAGGTCGTTGGAGGTGTAGACTCGGACGACGAAGAGGAGGATGATGACAAAGAAGATATTGTGGCCGAAGGATCATTGTTGTTGGACACTGGTGAACTGGAGAAGGAGATTGAAAAGGGTTGAGGAGGTGATGCTGATTGTGAGTTGGCGTTGGGTGTTGGATTGGCCGTTGATTGCACGGATGGTGATGCAGACGTCGGTGCGGCAGTGTTGTTGGAGTTGGAGTTGGTGTTGGTGTTGTTGTTGCCACTATTCAGTATGGGCGAGTTGGTGTTGGTATTGTTGTTGCTAAAGAAGCGCGGTGATGGTGTCGGTGGGATGTTTGCTATCGGTAGCAAGGCAAGACTGTCGAGCAACTCGTTCATTGGCGGCAGAGACTTGAGGAAGGTATTGATCTCCTTCTTGATCGAGTAGGGTATGTTGATCTCGTTGGGCGAGCTCTCTGTGATGTACTTGTCGTAGATCCTGTAGAACTCCTTAAAGACGCGCAGTGCCGAGTCTGGCTTCATCGTCTTGAACGACTCGACGTCCAGCCAGAATGACACATTCTCCTCGCATATCAAATCCTCTCGCAAGAACGTCCTAAAGTCCTCGCGCAACGTTGGATTCTGTAACAATATGATCAACTCTGTTGTCGATCCATCTGATTGGATTGATTGATTGATTGTGTATGTTAGTATCGATTCGCGCCATCCATCCATGAACTATATACTTACTGTGTGAGTTGACATCGACACCATCCCTTAGGAGGTCGGCCAGCTTGGTAAAGTTCAACTTCATGGCCAGATCAAAGAGTGTTTCGTTGTCGACCACCGTGGTCTTGTCCGCGCCATATCGCAGGAGGATGGCCACGAGGTCCGTGCGACCCATGCGCACGCAGTAGTGCAAACAGGACTCGCCGTTCTTGTTGGTGATGTTGACGTTGGCATGGCTTTCCAGCAGCAGTGTGAGCATGGTTGGCGCCAACGCGTTGTTAAAGACGGCCTTGTGCAGGGGCGACTCGCCATTGCGGTTGGTGGCATTGATGTCGGCGCTCTTGGCCACCAGCTTGTCAAAGACCTCCTTGACGGCTGACGCCGACTTGAACTTCTGGCAAAAGTAGTGGAAGGGCGTGTTGAGGTCGCGGTTCACGCTGTTGACGTGCACGTCCTCCTGGTCAAGCAGCGTGAGCAGCAGGCGCGGCTCGACGTCCATCGAGAAGAAGTGATGCAGGGCGGTGTTGCCATTCTTGTCCGGGTGGTCCAGGTCGACCTTTAGCGCGCGGAACGAGCTCAACAGCATATCAAACACCTCGCTGTTGTTGGACTTGGCTGCGATCATAATGGCGGTCTGTCCGTCAATGTCATCGGCCGCGTTCAACAAGTACTTTGCGCGCTTCAACGCCAGCATCTTCTTCAATCGCTTCAAATCATTCTCCTTGACGTGCTTGTGCAGACTCTTCAAGTCAGTCTTGAACTCCTCCTTGTCCGACTCTTTGTATTCCGTCTTTCCAAAGATCTGGGCCAACGCGTTATTCATTGTATGTTGGGTGTCTACTCTTTCTGTCTTGGATAATCTTTATCTTGTAACAATATCAATCTGTATCTGTATCTATACTATCGATGTAACTTATACTAATAAATGAATGAATGAATGGTACTTAGATGATGAATGAATAAATGGAATGCAATGCAATGGTGTGTTGTTGAGTAATAAGTGTGTTGAGTTAAGTGTGTGTGCAGTTCTCTCTTTGCGCGCTAGTTGTGTGTGTGAATGAATGATTGATCGATTGTTTGAATGAATGAATAAACACAATGTAGTGTATTTGTGTGTTCGTATTATTTGTGTGGAACGACTGATCGAAAACGTAAAACAGTGATATGAGGTGCCATCACTTACTCACGGTTTGTCGTCCATCAAAGGTCTCAAAGACAAGAGTAACAAAAGACGAATCGTTGTTCATGCGTAAATTTTTCCCTGATGTCCTGGGATGAGCCCAGCCCATTATTCCCAAAGATATTTTTTATAAATCTAGTTATTCGATGATCACACCCTATCATATCATTCGTTTCAATCATTTATCAATCAATCAATCAAACAACTTACATCTACGAGTAATAATGATAATAATATTTAACTAGAGTATTAGTTATAACAAAGATTAAGTAGTAATGCTTGGTCAAGTGAGGGAGTCAGTGATGTGAACACCCCAAAACTAGAATCAACAACAGTGTTGTGTGTTTGAACCTAACCCAACAAGTGCCTCTTGGCTTGTGTGGTTTTCGCTGAAGGCCAACTTTGATTCTTTGAGTTGGCTGGTGGAGTTGTAAACTTGCATTCACTCATTCCTTTGTGGACCTACTTTCCTTCCTGCCTGGAGGCACGTATGCCTTCCTTCCTACCTATCACCAACATCATCATCATCATCACCATATCAAATCATCGCAACTACACTGCTATCTCTAACTACCAATATATCTAAATACTATTATCTCTATCGTACATAGTTGTACTTATACATATATTATTGTAACATTATCATTCTATAAATCAAACAATCAATCAATCAATTCAATCAATCAGACATGGTAAGTCATTGTTGTTGTTGTTTTTGTTGCACAAATATTAACATCAATCAATCAATTCCAACCAAACAGTCTGACAACAACAATGATGTGCATCATATTGGAATCAACATGAGTGACCTGATGTTGGACTCTAAAGAGGTTGACTCGGATGATGATGATCATAGTAAAGGTGTGGAGCCTATGATGGATCAGCCAAGCAATCAACCTCAAGCAGCAGTTCATTCAGTGGACGACCAAGACTTTGTTATCGACATTGACCAAAAACTCTTTGACTATAAAGCATTGCTCAATATAGGAGGCATTCTATACTCAAGCCCTCAAGTCCTCCTTCAGTTCAACTTTGAAACAAAGACAATAACCGTCTTCTTGGATGCCAACAATCCAGTGTACTTCGCTGTGATCAGATTCGAATCGCTGTGTGTCTTTCAGTAAGTACCCATTAGCCGCTAGTCACTCACGATGTTGGTGGAGATGGAGTGACATGCAACAGAACAGTCCACTAATGCATCCCTCCTCAGCCTCGGTCATAGCATGAACCAAACAGACCCAATCATGTGTACCTTAGTTCAGAAGGATCCACCTTTCATACCGCAACATGGATCGATCCCTTATTCAACTCTAAGCACCAGAATCTTCATCGACTATGCTAGGTTGACCTTCCAGATTGACAGATCCAACGTTGTGAACTGGAGAGTGTTTGAGCTGATGGTGAACAAAGAGAGCATACTGGCGCTGGCAGTACCCGACGACCAGACCGTGTTACAACAGTATGCCTTTTCCATTGGATTCAATGACGTCTCGTTGATCATGTTGGAGAGGTCGTACGCTGCTCGGGAGAAGAACTACTCCTACAAACACCGCGCTCAGAGGAAGACTGGCTTCGGCAAGAATTTCCTCGATCTGGTACACAAGGTAGTCGTTACAAGAGCCCCTTTTAGCAAGGAGGAGAGGCTCAAACTGCTGGAATACGAATCCACCTTTGATCAAAAGGTCACAGACATCGACATCTACTCAGACTATCTGTTCCACTTGGGCAACAACAACACATTCCCATCTCTTGCACTGTACATCCTGATGCACATTGACAAGTAGGTATCAGCCTTGGGCGCACGCAATCAATACTTCTTCTAACATACAAACAAACCAACAAACAACATCCCCCAGCTCGTTAGATGTATCACATATACCAAACTTTGAGAGCCATATATCCAAGTTGCTCAACCAGGGCTTTTGCACGGCAAAGAGTCATCCCAACCTGTACAAGGTGCTACTTGAGTTTGTCAGTCGACTGATCCGTGATGCCAAGCAGGGTGGACAACAGTATCATACCTTCTTCATCATCCGTCTTGGTGTACCACTCTTTGACTTTGACCAAGATGATAAGAAGCACAAGCTTGTGTTGACAAATGTCCTGACATTCCTCTGGGACAACATGCTGCTTACAGACAATCGGTTCCTGATCGAGTTCCAAAACCTTAGCGAGAAGAAGGGGCTCCTCCTCCACTACATCAACACATTCAACATCTACACAACTGAAGTATGTATCACATAATCCTCATACACAATCGGACATATATGTTAACATCTCCCTAACACAATCAATCAATCAATCAATCATTCATCATGGAACACAGATCATCCATGACTTTGACAAGTTTGAGTTGGTATTTGGACCATTTGAGATATTGCTCATAAGGACCAATTCAATGTTTCCAGAGTTGTTGTCCAACTTCTTCCATCCAGGTGAGTGACGTTCATTCGTTCCACGACAGTGTATTGCTCAAACTAACATGTTCACTCACTTCACTTCACTTATAGCTGTCGAGCATCTTCCACCAAGTGTTATTTACTTCAGATACAGAGTTATAATATTGATGATCAAGAAGAGGTACTTGCATTCAGAGTTCTTGTATGGACGCCTACTCTTTAGAATGATGGGCGAATACCCAAATATCTTCATGGCCGATCGTAACTCTTTGGACTATGGCTCGAGTGTCTGGATGGAGAAATGTATTGATAAGGCCGTCTATGATCGCAACTCGACAGTGGGATTCAATAGCATTTTGGATGCCTGTCAACACCAAGAGTTGCATCCATTCCTCTCCAGGTATCTCAAGGTGGAGAACATCCCTGGATTCATTGAGATGAAGGGTGATGTGTGTCTTCCTCACTTCATCACTATCTTCAATGGCAGCAAGACCAATCCCAACTTCGTTTACCTGCAGACCCAATGTTGCGAAAGATTGGACTTTGAAATGCGATTGCGCATTGCACTCAATTGCCCTATTTATCAGTTCGAGCCCGTCCCAATGACCAAGGTGATGACAACACTCAAAATGATCTATGAGATCTCCAAGGAAGAGAAGGCTCTGATGGACAAGGGCTACAAGCTTTCGGACAACACTCACATGTCCTACCATGACATGTGTGTAATGATGGTGGAGAAGTACGTCTCCATCAATCCGCCCACAAGCAAGACGATTGAGACCATCACCAAGAAGCATGTGGTTGGACTTCCCCTCATACTGCTGTACACCAAGTACCTGTCGCAACTCATAGCCAATGAATGTTCCATGCACAGCTCCTTTGTTCGATTTGCCCAACTTCCAGAGTGCCAGTCATGGTACAAGTACTTCACAACCTACACTGGCCAGGTCGCCTTGGTATGTAGGCTGTTGTCGACATTGGCCTCCAGTTTACACAAGTACTAACTCAAACATGATACACATTCGTTCAGTTCACAAGCACTCTGAAAGCGAGGTGCTGTGAGATCAGAGACTACTTGGACAAAAGTAAACACAAGAAGGAGGACTATGAGGCGATTCGCAGCATTCTCAAGGTGCTGGACAGCAAGGTTGCACAACCAAGTTTCGAAGAGATCACCACCAAGTTAAACAAAGAGGTCGAGGAGCTGATGAGATTGAACAAGGTGGTGGACTACCTCGTGTACAAGTTCTCCTTCTCCAATCTTCAATCACACCAGGACCGACCTCTCGATCAGATCGCAGAGATCCGTGCCAACATCTTGAAGACCCAAGGACTGGATGGCCACACATTGAGGAAGGACGACACCATTAATTTCTTCATCAAGTTCTTGATGGCAGAGAACAACCGATTGTTCAACATCATCTTTGACAACCATATTGGTGACAACAAGTCCATTGACGATATTGCCAGCAATGCCAAGAGCTTCATGGAGAAGTTGATCAATGAGGACAGTTCAATCCCCCTCAACAACGGCATCTTCAAAGATATCATCAACCAGACCAAGGACATCAACTTCAAGAATGAGTTGAAGGCAATGTAAGTCGCGTGAAGTGATTGGACTTAGTCCATCAATCAATCATACTAACTAACCATCCATCCTCTATACAGATTCTCATGTCTCCATCCAAACAAGCCATACCAGAACAAAGAGAAGTCACTCAATCTGTTCATCATGCAGGCCACCTCATTGTTTGGACTCATCTCAAACATTGAGTTCATGTTCACAGCGTTGGACAACAACCAGCATTATCTCAAAGTGACTGACTATGAGTCTGAGAAGCAGAGCATCAAGGCGCCGCTAGAGAAGGCGACCCGCTCTTCACTGACGATCAAGCAATCCAAGGAGGAGATGGAGAAGATCACCAAGAAGATTGGCGGCCTGTCACACACACATCTTTCATTCTTCAAGTATGTCCACCCGGATCTCATTCAGTTCCTGGCCTCAATCAAGGAGTTCAACAAGACCACCGAGATCATCACGGCCAACCTCATCTCGGACCGGGCCAACTCAGTGCTGGTCAACAATGTTATCTACTCGTACAACGTACTCAGACCATTCATCAAGGCGCACATCAACAATCAAACGGCCACTGTATCACCACTGCCCAGCATCGCCTCGTTGTGCGCCAGTATCAATCAGTCACTTCCATCTGACTACCAGGAGTTGGCAATCTCAATCAGCAAGATCCAGATGGTGGTGAAGCAGCTGGCCGAGGTCAAGTCACTCTACATGATTACTGGTGCCAACTCAGAGTCCATACTTCAGTTGGTCATACAGATGCTCAGTGGATCAGAGTTCATCTCCAGGAGCTCGCGCTACGAAGACGGAGCCATGGGCTGGACGGTCAAGTCCCACAATATGGAGCACCCTCAGGAGAAGGTCGACGACTTTGTTCAAGGCCTAAAGATCCGTGAGTCAGATCAGATGGTGACTGATGAGAAGGAGAAGAAGAAGCAGGCTCAGATCAACTGCTTCTACGATATTGTCCACAAGCTGCGCGATATACACAATCTACACTGCGAGCTGGACCGTGCCTACCATCCAGAGTACCATGTGGGCAAACTCACCACCAAGTTCTCAGAGACCGAGCGCGGTAGGCTTGAGGAGTTTCGCAAAGAGCTCGAGGGCAAGCTTAAAGAATGGAACGATTCGATTAGCACTCTCCCCTCTCGTCTATGGATGTTGAAAGCACACGGACTCTCGTCGCTCTACACAGAAATTGCCAGGCTGGTCAAAAGGACTCCCAACCGACCCGTCGACATTGTGGAGCTTGCCGAGTTGATATGGCCACCAATTAAGTACTGCTACCCTTTGTCCAATGTATTGCTATCAACAATTGTCGACCAGCTCAAGGCCAGGCCACACTTGCTCGTCATCAAAGACATCTGGCCGTTCCTCACAGAGCTAATGGCCGGGCTTCCAATTCAAGAGGTTCTCAACATCGGTGAGAGCGGAACCAAGATTGTACACCTGGACTCCAAGCACAACATGCACAACGCAATGCTCCAGCTGAACAAGGGACGCATGCCCCACCCCGCTCAGATCTTCCACTCGATCACCTTTGCCAACGACTTTGAATACTTTGCCAGAATCATGGAGAATATGAAGGGTCATCGATTCTTCCTGGTTGGTGTACCGCGAGCAAAGGACAACCTCATCAAATGGCTGTCGAATCACTACAACAATGACAAGGTAGCCATGCTCTACATCATGGCAATCGACTCCAGCACGAGCACCGACCTCCTGTCCTTCCTGCCTCGCTACAACGAGACATTCTCCAACGATTGGAGTCGGCTCATCAAACAGTGGACTGATCAAAAGTCACAGAGCTGCATCAAATCACTAAACTTGGTCAGTGGACCGAGCGGCACTGGCAAGACATTCTACATCAAGGCGCGCGGCAAAGCTGTCAATCACGTAATCAAAGTTCACATTCGTTCCAACTTTGATGCCAAGCTGTTGATCGAGAGGCTGCGTGGCCTGAACAAGGCACAAAAGATGGAGAGCGTCCTGGTGCACTTTTCCATCTCACCCAACTGTGACTTTGATAGCTTCAACCAGTTCATCTACCCACTGATCACCTGTGGCTACGTTTTTGGACAGCGTGTTGGTGAGATAGTGCACATCTCAAACAAGTTGCAGCTGCACATCTACATTGAAGTTGGTTCGCCGATTGCTGAACTGCCAGGCGCCGATGACCAAGACGATGGCATGCCCCTCTCATTGCCGACACCAATCACTGAGACATATCTCATGGACAACATACCACTGATTACCAAGCTGGCCCACCGATGCGATGACTATCTACAAACGGAATGGGTCATCACAGACACAGAGCGTCAATGTTTTTCATTCATGACCTACAATGGCGACGAACTACCATTGTTGTCTGATGGAGATGGAATCACTTTGTCTAAGTTCATTGGCTTTATCAAGTCTGTGATCGCCAAGTTCAATAATGTGGACCAAAACAACAACAATCATGACGCTCGCTATCAGCCACTCTACCTCGACGACAACCGTTATTTGCTACAACGCAACAACTTCATCAAGTTGTTGTCGGAGCGACTGGAGTTCCTTCGCCACTACCATATTCATTACGTTGATATCACATCCCAAACAAACAACCATGAGTTGGTGCCACCACTCAGAGTGTTTGAGCTGTTCATCCTGGAGTCAGTCAAGCTGTCCGACCCAATCCTGTCCTCAGTCAGTGACCTCTGGATGAACCCGACAATGCTCACATCGACATCAAGTTGGAACGACGCCGTTGACAATCGAGTGAGACAGTTAGTGTTAATAGACTATGTCGACTTCTCATTGACTCCACTTCTCAAGGATATTGAGGCACTCAAGACTCTTCCCAAGGCTCTCAAGAACCCTGAGGACTTCCAGGGCATGATTGCCAACTTCTTTGGCATTCGCAGTCGTAATCACATCGTCAGTGACCTCTGCCACCAGTTCCAATATGTGTTGACGCCCGAGTTCGCACTCAGACTGATGACGCTGCACAACAAAGTCAAGAATCAGCGATCGCTCGTACTCACTGGAGACACTGGCGTTGGCAAGACTTTCATCCTTCTCTTCTACTCACTGATGATCAATGCGGCCAACAACGATCTGCCAAGCATTCTCTACCTCCTGAAGGAGGAGGTCAATGATATCATCAAAAGGAATCCAGCCTTTGTCCTCAAGGGTATCAATGGAATGAATGGCCAGCCTGTTCGACATCTTCCAAGCACCTTACCAAGCGACCTCATCTCTGCACTCACCCAGCTCTACGAATATGAGCAGGTAGCTCCACCACCAGCTGCAGCACCTGAAGCCAAGACAACAGCGGCAGCCACAGCCACACCGGTTGTACAGCCAAAGGCGGATCCACTATCACCCAAGACCAACGAGCTGTTCAAGGCCATGCTCTTCAAGAGGTTCCAAGACTTGATATATGGCATCTTGAAGACGTGTCATCTGATCGATGTCTCTAGTGACGATATGCTGAAAGGGATCTACAACAGAGAGCCAAAGATCAATAGTAAGGACACACTGATCGATGCGGTCCAGAGGATTAGCTCAGTCAAGTTCAAGAACCTTTTCCATCGCATCGTCATGCATGAGAAGTACACCGCCAAGGAGTTCAAGATGATCGTGAACAAGTTCATTACCATGGCCAACGAGCTCAGCAAGCTGGAGGGCGGCTTCAAAATGGTTGTGTTCATCGACGAGTTTAACACATGTCCCAGTGACACACTGGCCCTGATCAATGAGATATTCATTGACGGCACACTGGATGGCGATACAGCCATCCCCAACAACATCTTCTGGGTTGGCGCCATGAACCCTGTCCAGAGAGATAAGTCGCCACACGAGATCGACTACTCTGGCTCCAGCCAGACAAACAATCTGTCGTTCGTTGTGAGACAAACACCACCCTCAATGGAGCAACTCAAGCTCAACTATGGCAGGTTCGAGCCACATCAGGAGGAACCATTCCTCAACCAATTCTTCAGGCAGCGCGACGATATATGTCCCAAGGAAGTTGGCTACTCTGCCCTCAAGGAGTTCATTATCAAGGGACAGAACGCGCTGAGGGAGGTCCACCAGTCCAAGACCCACGTGTCCATTCGTGACATCATGCGCGCGATCGACCTCTACCAGTTCTTCTACAAGAAGAAGGTTGGCAAGAGCATCCTGGCATGCACGTTCAATGACATCGATACGAACAAGACTCAGCACCACTTGCTGGCGATCATCACCTCGATTGCACTCACCTACTACATCAGGTGTGCCCCAGGCGAGCCCAGAGAGAAGATGTTGGCACAACTGAACAAACAGTACCAACAAGATGCATATGCAGACTTGAGGACGCAGTACAGGACCTTCAAAGACCTATTCGATAACATCGTCAACAGCTTCTGCAGGTTCGACACGATGGATGTGCCCAAGGGCATCGCTCCCACCGAGTCACTGAAGCTCAATATCTTCTGCATCACAGTCGCCATTAACTGCAAGATGCCCATGTTCATTGTTGGCCCTCCAGGCTGCTCCAAGACACTCAGCTTTGGCATTGTCATCAACAACATGAACCAGGACAAGCAGGAGCCCATCTCAAAGTCCAGGGACGGCATTCCCAGATCAAAGACACCTTGGCAAATCATGCCCAATGTGGACCCTTTCAGATATCAAGGCACACAACACACCACTGACAGTGAGATCAAGTCTTTGTTTGATCGCACACTCAATCGACAACAGAGCCACAAGGTGACCAAGAGCAAGAACAAGTGCGTGGCCTTCATTGACGAGGCCAGTCTGTTTGTCAACAACCAGATGTCTCCCATGAAGGTGATGCACGACTACCTCGATAAGCTGTCCAAGAAGATGGACAACAACCACGTGGACATCTCTGTGGTCGTACTCTCCAATACGATTCTGGACGCCGCCAAGACCAACAGAATGTTGATGCTCGTTCACCCTCCAACCATCTCAAAGGAGGACGAGAAGACACTAGCCATTGGATGTCTGAGCAGACTGAACAGAACGCCAGAGTTCAGGATCCCAATCTGTGAGGCTCTGTGCCGAGCGTACAATAAGGTCAACAACTACTCCACCAGCATAAAGGACAAGTTGTATCAACAGCGTGACTTTGTTTACTTCCTCAGACATTTGGATCGAGGCATGTCAGCCAGCTTCCATCTTACCCCAGCTATTCTGCTTGACTCACTCGAGAGGAACTATGGAGGCATCCCTCCAGCAAAGTTCACCGAGCTCGCATCTGTGTTCATCAATTATCTCAGCACCATCAAGGGCCTCACAAAGTTCAGCGTTGACAATCAGATAGCCATCAGAGAGGTCTTGAACCAGGACAACACAATCAAGCGCATCAAGGAGTCGCTTCTTGAGAAGCTCAATCCACATGAGGACCCCAACGTCTTCCCATTCAGGTACATACTGCTCGTCGACCCCACCGAGAATGAGTCCTCTCTGATGATCCTCAAGGAGTTGAACATCAAGCACACGGTGATCAGGGTCGGAGGCTTCGACCTGGACACCTTGACAGAGGCACTGGTCAACGTCGTGGCACAGATCAAGAACATGATGAGGTCAGGCGGCACGGTGGTGTTGGTCAACACGGGTATGATTGATGCATGCTTCTACGATGTGTTTAATCGATACTTCACTTCGTTGCAATCCCCAGAGGATGGGAAGATCAACTTCATGGCCAACGTCTCGTTTGGCATTCACTCAATCTATTGTAATGTGCATCCAGAGTTCAAGATCATCGTCCATCTGCCTCTCTCCAAGATCAGCCAGACGCAGCTTCCATGGCTCAATCGATTCGAGAAGTACTATCTGTCCATTGACAACCTGATCAACTACAAGATGGACACCGAGCCCAACCTTAAGCAATATCGAGAGACACTCAATCACTTGACACGGTCCGCTCAGATCTTTGCCGACACATTCCACAAGGAGGCGAGCAACGAGTCACTCTTGGCAGGTTTCTCGTCCAAAGAGACCATCTCATCACTGGTGTACTCCACGATCAAAGAGGGCGGAGCATCAATCATACCTCAGAGGATATCGCTGGACAGGTTGGAAGCAACAAACAGGCCAACCGACTACTGTGTGCTCAACTGGAAGTTGCTCCAGATCGCACGACCAGAGAGTGTCTTCAGGTGCAAGAGTCTCCCTCGATCCTACATTGAAGAGTACCTCCTGCGCCAAGAGCACTTCAACCTGATGCGCTTCCTCAAGCACCTCTACAGCATGAAGTACGTTCTCAGGCAGACAGTGACTAACAAGTGGGTGTTCTTCACAAGAACATCAATGGCTCTGCATCGCATGCATGGAACCAATGACAAGTTCAATAAGTTCATCATGAGAGAGATGTTGGACGACAACAATAACAATGACAACTCGATGGCTGTCCTCCAGCTGGGCTCGTTCAAATCCACCGCAGAGTGCGAAAAAGATGTCAAGGAGTTCAAGGACTCACCTCAATCTCAAGTGTGTCTTGTCATCGCGGACATGTCCACAGTGAGTCAACATCAGATCAACTACATCATTGAACAGTTTGGCACGTTGGACACATCAAAGATGTTCATCATCATCTGCCACTACCCGCCCGAGTTCTCTCTGTCCAACCAGACCAAGCTCAACTCGATCTTCCTCAATGGCATGGAGTTCATGTACGTGGACTCGCTCGGCGTCAAGGTGGATGCCAACCAGCAGCACTCCACAAAGCTCGACACAGATATTAGACAATGGATCGCCAATGCCTATGGTATCTCAGCTTCACTCGACCCCCTCTCCATCACAGACTCGCTCAAAGAGGTGTTCATCTTGCACCTGGGCAATGTGGCCGCCACCGCCAAGATGGAAGCCTCCAATGGCGAACTCACCCCTGCATCATTGATAGCAATATTCAACAACCATCCCATGTGGTACAAGGAGACTGTGGGCAAGTTCACAGAGAAGTGGAAGCAGAGGGACCTTTTCAAATACATCGTCACCAACATTGCAGACCTCATACTCTCGGGCAAGCTTGTGTACTCCTTCCTCGACTCTATCAACAACGCCATGACCTCCTACTTCTACCCAGTTGTGGCCAAGATTGTCCAAATGCTCTCCAACTATGGAGCACTTGAACAGATTGCCAAGATCAGGACTTCCCCAGAGGAGGGCCCTGAAGATTTGAATGAAAGGCTCGTTGGCAACTACATCATGAGTGTCAAGATACCCAAGTTGTCGCTGGGCATTGAGCGATTCGAGCCAGTAACAATCCAGCCTCGTCCAGACATTGGCGTCAGCAAGATGCCACTCTACGACTCGATATCAGAGACTATCTGTATCCTCTTTGAAAAGACGCGCGCCAAACATCCAAAAGATGTCCGCGATAGGTTCAGGGAAGCCTTGATGACCCACCCCATCCATCGTGTGGTCGATCACATCAACTCCAACCCAGACCTGTTCATCAGCTACAGACATGACTTCATCCTTCGCACACTCAAGGCCAGCGGTGTCGACAAGGACAACACTCACTGGATGTACTTGGTAATCCAAAAGGTCTTCCATCAACAGATTGAGAATATACGTGATCTACACATCTGCCAGCACTACCACATCAACACCATCAACTTCCTCAAGAACATGGTGCGTCCCCTTGTCCGACTGAAGGACATCACATCTGAGCTGAGGAAATGCCTCAACGATGAGATGTTCAACGACAAGGAGCTTTGGGATGCCAGACAGAAGATTGCCAAATTCTCGATCACCATCCTGTACGATCACATTACCAGGGTTGATAGCTCTCAAGCCACTAAGCTACTGGACATCACGACCAACTGGTGCACTGTGATACGAGACATCCTTAATCGTGTGCCCATCGATCATATCATACCCAAGCAGCCCAATGATGTCTTGTCGATGCTCTTCTACATCTACGCCATGTACAACATCTGTGTACACATCATTTCCACAGAGGACAACAAACAAACAATGGAGAAGATGCTGGGCTGTGTCTATCATGCAGTAGGAGCTGCAACCTTTGATATCACGACCGTCGTTGCCACATATGCTACCAAGCTCAATGATCTCAATGATGCTTTGGCACAAGCGAAGCTGCCACTCATCAGCGCCCACTGCTTCATGGACATCATCGTACCATTTGTGCACAAGTCCAAAGATAACCTCGCCAACCTCTTCAGGATGTGCAATCGAGACCCGTTACTCTCCTTCCCATTCATGGATCATATCCCCTTTGGTTGGTACGCCAACGTATTCAAGCAATGCTTCGACAGGAACCCGTCGTTTGATGATGCCATCTCGTACTTCAAACTGGTGTCCATCACCTCAATGACCAATCCATGCATTGATCACTTGACTGTCACACCAGATCTTCTTCAACTACTATCGGTTGATGCGCTCCGCGATCGCAATCCTCGGTTGGTCGATGTGTTCTATCACGTACAACTGGAGGTATTGAGAAGGTCGGACAAGTCCAACATGCACAGTCTCACCCTTGAGTACAAGCGGTTGAATGAGGAGGTGTTGAAGGGGGAAGCGACCATCATCTCCATGATCCTCCATGCCACCCACGCCACATATTTGATTGACAAGCTGGTCGACCAGATCAACTCTGACAACAATGTTGTGGCCACACGAACCTTCCTCACCAATAATGATACGTTCTCACAAGTCTTCAAGAACCACATCTTCAAGTTGGACACCGCTTCGACACCGTCCATGCAACTCAATGCGCGCAAGAACCATGTCTACTTGCTCACAAGGATCGCATCACCGATCACTCTGTCCAGCCTACTCAGGTTCAGGGAGCTGCTTGACTTACTTGGACTAGTGCATCTCCACATCCCACTGCTCAGCCCCAGTCTATTCCCCTTCATGATCCATCCAACTTCTGAGGACGGTAAACTCTTCAAGATACTCAAGGACGCCATTTTTTCAGAGTCATTGGGCGAAGTGACTGGACTCACAAACAAGCACAATGATGCCAAGACCAAAGGTTTTCTTCGTATGTCCCTATTCTTGATCACCTACCAGCTGTATCAACAAGGGACCAAGACCGACACTGTCCACAAAGTGATCAAAGACCAGACGATATCAAACAATCTCGGCCTCCAACCATACCTGACGCTGTTCCTCCGCCTGATCAATCTTCCCAACAATCACACGCCCACTCTACTCTTTGACAAGATATTGATCAACAACCCAAACAAGTCTGTTGCTGACACCATCCTAGCACAACTACTTGTCAACACAGTGGCAGTCTCCATTGGCTCGTCCTCTACCTCCTATATCCATCATCTCACAAACAAGACAATCATCGAAAAGAAGGGCATGAACAATTTGTTCTCGGCTGGTACCGATCGTCTAGTAGGTGCGATCCCACAGCAAGTCAAAGCCAATGACGCACAGACTTCCACCACTGCCAACATGGAGAATGTTTTCGATAGGAGGGTCGTCTCCTTCACCGTATGGTCCGCATTTACATGGACAGCTGCCACCGCCACGGCATTTCCCAACGACCAAGAGAAGTTTACCCTCTCGAAGCCACAGCCCAGGATCTTTGACATTGACATCACAAGCAAGTCGTTGAATGACTATCAGGACTACGTATTGCAGCGCGCATCAGACTGCTTTTCCATACTCCTCAATCACAACCAGATACAACGCGACGTCTCTAAAGCAGCTCACATGATCAATGAGATATTGATTTCTGTCTGGAGTGATGGCTACTCCAACAACAAGGCACTCAATCTATCGACCATGACACAAGCGGACCTCAACACGTATGAGCCATATCTGCTGTCGCTATGTCACAATGTGCGACAGGCCTACCCCTCCATCAGGAACACGCGCATGGAGCACTCAATCCAGAGCTCAAGTCGCTTCAAGAACATCATTGACGTTAGATTGCAATCTGAGGAACACTTTAGCAGTGTCTTCTTCGATCACTCAATCATTCGCCACATTGTCTCGGACAGCGCCAGTAACACACTGCTCAAGTTCTTCAATGTGCACATTCCAAAGATATGCATATCTTTCCACTTTGTCAACTTGATCACCTTCCTCCAGATCTTCTACAAGTCCTTTGAGGGCCATCTGCCAGCCGAGTACCACAACAGAACAATCGGCTCCGTCTTTGAGTTGCTTGACAGCCCCGATCAGTTCGAGGCGAGATCGGTTGTCAGTCGAGCATGGGAGAATGCCGTCACCGCGTACGAACAGATACCCAAGGAGTTCAAGGAACGTGTACTCGGCTGTCCTCAAAAGATTGACAAAGATACATCACTGTCCTTGTTGCTCTTTACCAAACAGGGCAAAGCCAACGGTGTGTTCGTGTCACTAATTGAGACGTGGCTCAACGATGTCCAGATGGTGACAATCAAACACAGAGATGACGCGCCCAGCGTTCAGAAAAGGCCAATGTTCAAGTCGATCGTGAGTGGTGGAGACCTCACAGACGACATTGGCAACATCACCTTTGAGATCGGAGACAATGGAATGTTTGTTGGATCAAACTGCGATGTCCCTCACTTCCAAAAGTTCCTTATTGATGCCATGTCCCAGTACCAAACATCAAAGAAGATCGACTTCAAGCCAAACCTCACGGTGATCGAGAACAAACTGATCCTTCAGTATGTCTCCGGCAAGCTACGACCAAGCCCCAAAATCAAACAGTTTGCCAGGTTCAAACAGCCATTCCCCTTCCTCATCCCMCCTCCGCCAGCCACTCCACAAGACCCAGCAGCAGCGGCTGCCATCGAGCAGACGATACCCCAGTCGATCAAAGCATTGATATTGTCCCAAGAGTGCCTCGATGCCCAGGTGTTCAACACATCACTGGCAACCCATGTTGAGTTCACCAACGTTTGTTCAGAGCTACACGCAGAGGCACTAGACTCCATTTGTTGGCACTTCTCATCTCTGATCTTCAGAATCCATCACAGCAACATCGAGTTGGATGTCAAGAACAACATGTTGGGACAAGTGTCCAACCTCGTTGGACTGCCTTGTAGCATGCTGCCTCCAGGTGTGGCCACCCTACTCGAGAATATACCCGCCACAAGCTTGAGGAGCACGACCATGTTGTTCATCGAGGTGTACCTCTCATACGGACATATATATCCAAACATCATCAATGAGCCCCAGATCCCAGATCAGTTGGTTATCAATCACTTCAAGAGGCTTGGCATTACACTCCAGAAGGAGTTCACCGACCCTGAACACATCAAAGCCCTGTCCACCTACCTCAAAGAGATAATCAAAGTTCTTTCGTCCCAGGCCAGCCTCGATCTGATTCGCACGGCCAGGATTGACGATAAACTTATCACTCATCTCGAGGATGTATTGAAGGGCCTGCCTCCTTCGCCTTCATCATCCTACAAAGACTTCAAGTCAATGTCCAATGTCCCTAGAGCCACAATGCCATCGATCATCATTCCTCTGACCTACTTCCCAATGTTCATGAGAACCATCCACGGTGTCTTGTCCAACCTGACGATCAAGAGCTATACCACATCAACAGAGAAATGGAAAGAATATGACAGTATCAACAATGATGAGGATGACAAACCACTGCCTGCCGATGAGGAGGAGGCGGGGGAGGAGAACCATGACTACCCAGATGAGACAGGTGATGCCAAACAGGATCAAGATGGTGATGACGATACTGTCCACGAGGATAATGGTGATGATGAAGAGCCATTGGATGAGGTCAATGAGAAATTGGTCAAGACTTTCAAACCGTTGGATAAGTGCCCGTACTTCCACTGCCTTGTAGAGTGGCTTCGATTCATACCACAATCAGATGACATCGCCAATGGAAGTACCACCCTTTCATGCAACGTATTCAGATGTTTGATTGAGAGCTCCAAGAAGAACAAACTTCATTCTGTTAGTGTTGTGGATTTCTTCAAAGCAACACAACCGCCAAACCTACAAGAGCAACACTATGTCTCACCTGGTAGCCATTTGGTCCACATGCTCAGCACATTGCCATATGAAGCTGCGCCCTGCGGACTTGTCAACGGACTACTCGAGAACATATGTCTAAAGTGCAAGAAATCATCGCCAAACCCAACACCTGATTGCTTCTACTTTTTCCAGGATGCCGCATCACTATCCATGTCTGATAGTCTCATCGATGTACTTGGGAAATTGATAGTCAGTGACAAAAAGGAGACAAAGAGAAGCAGGTAAGTACACATCCAAACAATTACTATTGCCCATCACTCCGAATAATGTTAACATACTCCTCCTATTTGGTTACATGCTCCAGGTGTGCTTGTGGAAATATTCAGCCCCCATCCACTATCTTGACGGCAGTGCCACAGTACATTCTCATTGATATTGCCAGGGACATAGGCAATGATGAAAAGAAGTGTTACAACAAGCTAGTGGTTGACAATCGACAATTGGAGCTCACTCACTACTTTGGTCAGAATGTGCAGCAACCCATTGCCAAAACATACTATTCATTACACTCTGTGTTGGTAAGTTGCTGAGGAAGTCAAATCACCTCTTTCACTCACTCATCCAATTTCTTAATCCAAACAGTGCCACGAGGACACAATTGGATCCACAGATACTCAGGGAACATACTCAATACACATCAAACAACAACAAGAGGATGACATATTCTTAAGATGTACCTCATCTGAGATATCCAAACTCAACAAGGTGGATGTAAAAGATATCATAGAGACGAATGGCATCCTCTTTATACTTGTCAAGGATGATCACATCCAAGATCCAAATGCTCCTGACATTTCGGATACAACCCAAACGCCACCATCTCCACCTCCAGTGGTACCGACGACACCCGACCTTTCGAACCAACCAGACAGTGGCCCACAGACCACTACCACGCAAACACAACAATCCACGACAACAACAACGACAACTACATCAAACACGACAACAACTCACACCATTATCATGCCCAATGTGGTCATTGGAGACAGTACCAATGATTCATTCTTTCAATGGATATTGGAGTCTCCGAATGAGATCCCTAAGGAATCCAGAGAGAAGCTCATCGAGTCGCTCCGAGATCAGTGTATTGACACCTTCTCCATTGCCCTATCACTTCCTGACTCCACTTTGGATGAGATATTGAAGAAATCTCAGAAGAAGCATTCAATTGGCTCCAGAAAAGACTTGATCGCCAAACTGAAGCTTCTCAATCAAGACCCACCCAAATTCATTGTGGACATTAGAAACATTAGGGCCAGATCTGACCTCACATTGGATCAATGGATAAGATCAATTGGCCTCAATCCAATCACTCCAGATGTGCTTATCAATTTATTCTTGGATGAAGATATCAAGACCATTGTATCACTCAGGAGGTTCAAAGACAAAGAACTAGAAGAACTAGGTATTCACCCAACGATCGTTGCTTTCCTCAAGAGTATGTTAACTGAATAAACATCCGGTTGTATTCCAGTTTCTCATATAATCACTTCTAGAAGTTGTTGTTGAAGTATTGTACATGATTTGTTTATTCAGTTATGATCTCTACATCCTTCATTATTAAATGGTAGTATACATTTGGCATGAACTCGAGCTCATCTTTGCATTCTTTGAGCGTAGAGAAGCTAAGCACATCATGAGCATGAAGTTGTCCAATGAGATCTTCAACAATGTTCGATGGCAGACCAACCATTCTGATCCAGTTGTACAGGCTATTGTCATTACTACGATATTCCCTCTCGATCAGGTAATTGATACACATGCTCTTGTGATTGTCTAGTATGATTTGAGGTGGCGCCATCAGTGCCTGCTTGAACGCCTTGATCATGATATCACCTGCATTGTTTAACGTCCGTTGCAGATCTTGATACGCACAATCGTCCAATGCCAAGGCGATTGCGAACGTGTTGATATACAACTGTTTCAGAGCATTTGTCAACAAAGTTTTTGAATGTTCATCACGCAGGTCTATGATCGATTGTATCCAGTGGATCAAAGAGTCATTCGTAGGAATGTACTTTGCCAAGATTGGTTGTAGGACAACGCAATCTTTGAGCTTGGCATACAGGGTAGCCAAGCTCTCCTTCGACTGGAGGTTGACGTAGGCGGTCAAACACTCGTCTACAATGGACTTGGCAGTATGGTCCAAGGTGTCTGAGTTGAATAGTCCAATGAAATACGAGGGTGAGACCTCCATCAGCTTGAAGAACAGTCCTCCACAATCATATTGTGAGTACCTATATTGCTTCTTGATCAATGTGAACAATATCCTTGCCCTGTCCATTATTACATTGGTGGGTAGTCCCTCAACTATGAGTGAGTTGGTGACATGTTAGTGAGTTGTGTGAATGAGTTAATGTACATTGAGTGTTGATGCTCACGTGATGTAAAGCTGAATAGCTCCTTGAAGATATCTGTTGGTCTGGTATGAATGAGTAGTCCTTCAAATGCCTCCAGGGTAGGCTGGTACTCCTTTTCATTATATTGGGCCCACTTTAAAGAAAGGAAGGGAGTAGATTAGAATACGCTTGGATTGGGTAGTAAGATTACTTAACATACTGTTGGATATGGGTTAATGTGATCTCTGACAAAGTTGATCAACAGTCTCTTATGACTGGTCATCTTTCCGAGCATCTCGATAAATAGTTGGTTGTTCCACAACTTCCTCTCCGTCCAGTACGCAAGGAAGTCACGGTGAAAGGTCCGTACCTCCTCGCAGCACTCTTGATCAACATTGAATGTTTGAGCACAATCAAGCATTGGCACGGCCAACTTGATGATGAAAGATAGTGTCTTTTGACTTGGTCCTTCTGTCCTACCCTTGTCCTTGGTCATATATTCATGCATAAACGAGGACAACACTTTATCCAGTTCGTCACAAACCACAACATTCCTCCATCCAGTGAATAAGCCTGATGATCCATCCAGCACCTTTTCAAAGTGCATCTCAAAGTTTGGTACATTCTTAACTGGATCAAGAGTGCTGATTGATTGATTGATTGAGTGGAGTGGTGTTAGTACTTGTACTTTCTCTCTCACTCATTCATCATCATACATACTTATACAATTGCATAAAGATATAGAGTGACACTAATGGATCCCTTGTTGGACGTCCATGTGCTCCAGGTTGTGCTTGAACATAGGACAAGTGATCCAGGTAGTCAAGGTACAATTTGATGTTCAAGTCTTTCTTGAGGACCTTTTTGTATTTGCGGAGTAGGGCTTCACCGCTCTTAGATGTAAGTCCGAGACAAAAGTCGTGAACGAACTGGAAGTGTGGGCTGTGCGAGGTGCCGCTCTTATTTCTATCTGTGTAGGCATGGTGTAGCAATTGAAAAGACACCTGGTAGAACTCCACCGCCTTTTTGAGCTCTTCATCAACATTGCTATCATGATCTCGTTTGGGTCTCCTCGTCAACAACACTTTGTTGACAAAGTCATCGAACTCGACTTCATCCATCTTAGTCACATTGAATGACACCTTGGCGTAGCTCTCAAACTTCTTTGCATCATCTGCATACATACGATCTCTTTCCTCTTGTCTAGTGTACATAACATTTGGTGGACTATTTTGAATGATCATAATGATATCCCCATCGATCCTATTCAATGTATGTATGTGAGTCACATTGGTCAGTTCTCTATCTTCATTCATTCATTCATTCCATCATTCAATATTACTTACTGACATAAACTTATTGATTCATGGTTGATATCTACTGTGAACATGGTCTCGGTGCTTTGATTGGTGTGGCGCTTCTCGACGATGAAGCTGATCGACTTATCTTTGAACTCGACCATTGAGTTGTAGTTGTCTTTTACTCTCTCGGATTCGCTTATTGCACGAGTGTGAATTGTTGCGATGGCGGCACGTGTAAACAGTGATTCCTGTCCATATTCGTAACTATCTGGGTTATCATTATTGTTATTATTATTATTGTTGTTGTTGTTGTTGTTGTTGTTGTTGTTATTGTTGTTGTTGTTGTTATTGTACATTGTTTGATTGATTGTTTGTTGTTTTGTTTACATTATATTATTGATTATCTATATAATGTTGTTTGTGCAAACCAAGTGACGTTTGATCACCAACATTGTTTGAGTTTAAGTGTTGAGTTGAGTTGGGTTGGTGCAAGCAAGCATTATTATGTTTGTTGTGTGATTCTGACCAAAAGGTCACGTGATTGTTTCGAATGAACACAACTTCAACTTTCAATTTTGTTACCCTTCTTTAAATCAATCACAAATTGAAAGGTGGGCTGCACCTTATTAAATATCTGAATAATGTATGTATCTGTAATGTAATACTTTTATATTTAAATATTAATATTTTTATTTAATTATTTGTTTATTCAATACAAATACAAGATTAGAAGTAGTTGTTCATAAACGACCAATAGGTTCACTAATTTAAATTTTAAACAAGTCTCGACACTAACCTCCTTTTTTTTTGTGTTCTTCTATCCGTTGGGGTCTATGATCAATCAAAAAAACACACTTCAACAAATACAAGTACAAACATACAGATAGATAGATAGATATAGAATAATAAGATAAAATGTCTGATAAGAAAGTAGGAAAAACAAAGGTTATTCTCGATGAATACGTTGGCAAGACAAGAATACCAAAGACAACAGTGAAGCAAGTGTATAGACTAACGGATAAGGAGTTGGAGCTGTTAAAGTCGACGAAAAAGACAAACCAGAGATTCGGTGGTGCCATGACCCTGTACTCAAGGGAGCGTGTCTTGACATTGTGCTGCAAGAAGTATGGCTGCACAAGAAAGAATATCGCAGAGGTGTTGGCACAGGACAATCCACCCATCGTCAACAAGTTGGTGGAGCGCAAGAAGCCTGAGCCTAGAAAGAAGAAGGAGGTTGCACCTGCTGCTGCGCCTGCAGTAGCACCCACAACCACCATCGTAAGCACAGTGGTCACTACAACAACTACAACAATGACAAAGTAGAATGTCAATCAATACTAGTCTACAACAACAACCTCAAGAAATCTTAATATAATATATATTATTGTGTATATTTTAATCCTCTATCTCTACGCACGCATCGCCATTCATTCATTCATTCACCTATGAGAGTCTCATGCACTTTTGATGTATTAGTATGTTACAATGTTGTTGTAAAAGAAAACTATCTTTCGAAACATAACTATCTCTGAGATAGAGATAACATAGAGTGTGGAGTGATAGTGCAATGAATGATACTGGATGTCATCATTGTGGTGATTTCGTGGTCGTGGTCGTGGTTATGAGTTTCGCGTTTGGGGGTGTTGTGTTGTTGTCAAAGGTCGGTCCAACCTTGAACACACCACACTATACCTAAACACAACACTAACTCACGCAGCACTCATGCTTCAAGTAATTTAAAGTAGAAGGAGCATTAGTGTTGGTGTGGACAATACTTGTATCTCAAATTAAACTATCTATCTGTCTATCTATCTATCTCTTTAAAGTAGATACTATTACATATATATATATAACATTACATATACTCTACAAATTGTAACATTGTTGTCATTCATTCAATGACAATCGACCAACCAGAGAAGGATCCAAGTGATCTTGTAAATACACCAATAATAACAACAGCATCTACAACTACATATAATAATAATAGTAATGAGGAGGAGCATAGTATTGATGATGGACATGTGGATAGAGCAATATTGAGTTCAAATATATTGAATGATGACGATGATCCAGATGACGACAATGAATCATTGTTGGATGTGAGAAAACAGAGAAATAAGAATAAGAAGAGTAATAATAATAGTAATATAAGGTTCAATGACAATCCTTATAAGAATAAGAGTATTGGTATAGATCCATCATTGTTATACGAAGATATCAATGCCAATGCCAATGAACAACAACATACACCACACAGCACATTGTATGAGGAACATAGTATGTTGGATGACGTCCACAGCAACGACGATCATCACCAACATCATCATAGTATCGAAGAGGTCAGCATCAATGAATATAGCGAACATGACAACGACGATGATGACCTGATCGAGCAATCCCCATCATGTTTCAAGAGCACAACATGGATACATCTAAAATACCTCCTAGACATCAAGAACAACAAGAAGTTCTATCTCGCCGCACAGATCATCACAAGGATTGGATTCCTGGCCAAGTGTATGTCAGTCAATGCCACTCACTCATTCATTCAATCTATCAATCATTCTAACATCCACGCACAGCCTTGATGTATATCACTCTGGGATGTTTGTCAATCGCGGCGGCGGTCGACAAGCATAGACAACCATGGGGACCGGCGGGAGCGTTTGCGGAGCTGGAGGAGATGTTCTCTGGCGGTGTTATATTCTTGCTCATCATTGGTCTATGGTGCTATGGATCGTACGGTATATTCTTTGTCGTCTTTGACATTGATCAACTGGGGCGCAAGACTGCTGGTGCCATCCTCAAGCGATTCGGTAGGATCTTCTCATCAGGTTTCTACTTTGTTCTTGGCATTGACGCGGCACAAGTACTGGCGCACACCAGGGATGGCGAGACACACTCTGGTACCGAGCAAGTATGTGTCGTTGATTGATTGATTGATCGGAATGACTGACATCACCATCTCTTAGATCTTAACATGGTTGTACAAGAGCATACCTGGACAGATCATGGTATGCGTGATTGCGCTGGTCTTCTTTGTCGTGGCGATCGTCTACTTTGTGTACATTATCAAGCCTGACAAGTTCAAGAAGGAGTTGTCGACAGAGCGAATGACAAAGAACCTGTATTACTCAGCGTTGGCCTTTGCGAGAATCGGTGCCATTGGTCGCTCGATGTTCTTTGCCGCCTTTGGATCATGTCTGATCGAAGCCATTGTAAAACTGCATCATGGCGAGCAGGGTGACACCACTTTACTCGGCTTCCAAGGAGTGTTCCGTGCGATTGCCAAGTTCAACTCGACGCTGCTCTTTATCATCGCGTCGCTCATCGTGGTCTATGCGTTCTGGTGTCTGTGGCTGGTGTTCTTCCGACGTCTGCCTGGTCATGCCGATGCCAAAGTAGCCCGCGAACTACTAGGCAGTAAGCTAGATCCCAATCTCCGCTTCAACGGTATTCTCTTTAGCATACCAAGGCGTGTCAATGACATTGAATTCAACTAAAGTCCTGTCACTCTCTCGACTCGAGTCATTCATTCATTCGTTCAATGTCGTCATTCCCGCATCGATGCCATTCACACAGGATGCGCAAAACTGGTATCTTGATCTAACCATCTTAGGAGGGGTCGTTTGCTGATTGTTGAGTCATCAAGTGGTCCAAAGAAAGGACTTCTCCCCCACCTATCTTCAAGGTTTTGAAACTTGGTTTGGTTTGCCCACCTCACTTTGGATATCCAAGTTTAGGGGATTCACGTGAGAGTAGGAGTAAGGTTTGCATGCTTCTCAGTCAGTCAGTCGCTCTATGTATTTGAAGAACATAGTTACTTGTATATATAAATATATTATTATAGAGATAGAGATTGGTGTTCATCATCATCATCATCATCATTGTGATACAGTCATCCATGCAAAACAATGATAGGTTAGGAATGCCAACTGGGGGAGAGCAACAAGTCCCTCAGTTCAAGCAACAGGCACTCAATCAACAACAACAGCAACAACTACAACATCCACTCAATCAACAACAACAAACTGATCAACATCAACCCCATCCACAACAACCACAAGAACAACTTCCAATGTATGAAGATCATCAACAGCAAGGTCAAAGGCTGATGCCAAAACAACAACAGTTCCAGGTTGGAGCTCATGAGTTTGGACTCCTACCAGTTGCCCAACAACTACAACAGCTAGGTCATGTGCCACATCCACAGCAGCAGCAACAACACCAAACCTTCATTCATCAACAACTTGAGATTGGAGCATTCGGCCAGCAACTTCAATCCAATCCAATTCAAGTTGATCAATATGGCTTGCCAATGCAGGAACAGCATCAACAACAAATCCCTTACTATCAACAACAGATGGCTCGTTCAATGCAGCCACAACAGCACAACCAATACATGGGACAACAACAACTTCAACAACAACAACACCATGTACCAGTGGTCCAGATGATTGAGCCAACAACTAGATATGAGTTCAGGCTTAATGCCTCAGTGACCATTGGAATCAATCCAATCACAGATGTCGCAATGGTCATCAACTTCTTGACAAAGACATTCACCATTGTCGTCGACAGAAATGTACAATACTACTCCGCAACCATCAACTTTAGCGACATTGATCGTATCTCGTAAGTTTATGATAGATTTGGAACCATTCCAATCACTCACACACGCCATCCATCACAATCAATCAATCAATCTTAGGTTCAAAGGACAGATGATAAATATGATCCAGAAAGAGAAGCCAGTTGTTAGTGATGAGACTAGCTTTGTCCGTCGCAAGGTGACGACGATACCACTGAGGGACTCGATCAGGAAGTATGCCAGATTGACAATTGGCATCTCTTGTGATGCCACGACACTAGAGGAGTTCAGGGTAGCAATGTACTCGGATCCACAACTTAGCAAGGTGTTTAGGAATGAGTCCGAGATCCTCCTAATGAGTGCCACTGTGGAGATTGGCCAGCTGTCAATATACGTGTTTGACGAGACCCTAAAGTTGACCAACGAGGTGTTCAGTAAGCAGCCATTCTACAAGCTAGTGCATGAGTTTGTCTTTTATAACAAGTACAACTATGGCGAGACGATGTCCAAGGATTCCATGAAGTCCTGGACCAACAAGCTTGTGGCGGCTCTCGCTACACCTGAGCTCTTCGCGCCTGCCCTCCTGTCCGAACGCTATCTCGAGCTTCTCTCCAACAACACACTCTATCCATCATTCGCAATCAATCTATTGATGCACATTGATAAGTATGTTGACATACCCATTCATTCAATCAATCCAACCAGATACTAACCTTGCCTGCGTCTACTACCCATCAGCTCACTTGGACGAGACTCACATATACCGAACTTTGAGCGACACTTTACCACCCCTCAGGTCACTTGGACATTGAATGAGGCCAGTCTACGCCTGCGTCAAGACACTGATAGCATATTGACAAAGTTCATTGATAGACTGTTGGTGTTCAAGACGGAGGACAAGTCGATGCTCAATATCATGGCCATCATGGGTCTCTCAATCATTGACATTGGTGTCGACGAGAAGTTCTTTGAGATCTTCAGGAGGACGCTCCTATTTGTCAAAGAGAATGGCAATATCCACTCAGCAAGCTTCATCACACGATTCCAAAACACAGCCAATCAGAAGGATTTCATTGCACAGTTTGTCAAGACCTTTAAGCTGCTTGAGAAGGTATGTCCTGGCGTCCAACTTACTCGCTCACTTACTGCAATCTTCCATACTGACCATCCCTTTACACACTAGACCATTGACGACCCTGAGTCGTACCCAGCTATGTTTAACCTGCTCGAGGAGTTGATCCGGCAAACAAAGGGCGTGCCAGGATATGACTTGCTTAATGGACTGTACAGTGATTGTAAGTTGATTTGCATGTATGGCTCATCCGTGAGTTGGTTGACTAACAAATTGAACATGATATTCAGGTGAACTTCTCGATCTTGATGTCGTCAAGTATCGATTCCATTTACTCGTTTGCCTGATGGAGAAGTCTTATAATACATTCCCACAGAATCAGAGTGGACGATTGTTCTGTCACCTTATGAGCTGCGATGCCACCTACTTCTTGGATCAATACAACAACAATATGACGAATAGAACTCGCGATGCACTTAGAACATGTTTGGACAACCACTTATCAGCGCAGCAGGATATCAAACAGGTCCTAATACTGTGCAAGCACAACGAGCTGCACTTCTTGATCAAGAAACACCTCAAAGTGGAGTCGATCTTCAAGTTCAAAGAGTACGCGTCAGTGTTCAATTCTACAATCCTACCCTTACTCAATGTGATATACAATGGCGAGCCACTCAATGACAACTTCCACACACTCCAACGTCTTTGTACCGACCAGCTCAACACCTTCCAGCGCTTCACCGTCTCTCTGAGCTGTCCCAAAGCCGTCTTCCCCAATATCACTGCCGACAAAGTATGTCCTCACTCATTCCACTCCACCCGGCCAAGCAATACCTGACTGACTAACTTACCATCATGACAGCTCGAGGCCAAACTAACAAACATTCAACTAGTGTCAAAGGAGGAGCAGTTGTATCGGTCAAAGAGCTCGCAAGCATACACAGCATACACCAACCCTAGCTATCACTTGTTGTGTGAGCTCATTGTGGACAAGTACCTGCACAACAATGACAAGCCAGAACATACATCCATTGCATCTATACCCATGGAGCTCAACTCACTACCACTGTTACTGCTGTTCACGAGATACTTAACATACATTGTCAACAACATGGATGGAAGGAATGAGCTCAAGATACACAAGAGCTACGGACGTCTAGCTCAGCTTCAATTCCAAGACAACTCTTGGGCTGACGAGTACTCAAAGTACCAAAAGGCACTCTCAGGTGTAAGTACACCATCGATGATTGATTGATTGATTGATGCTAACGCTCGAGCATGCACACACATAGTTCCAATCACTACTTCAGAGGAAGTGTGGAGAGATACAGGAGAGAATGTTTAAGATGGGATCGGATCAGATGAATGAGAAGTTGTTCAAGTCGACTCAAGTGGATTATGAGACTTACGCCGAGATATTGCTCACTCACTTTGATAACAAGGTGGCGTCATACATTGAGCTCAGCAAGCAGTCAGAGAAGGAAGCTCGCGAGCTCGAGAGATTGAAGCGCCTGGTGGACTTCCTCAACAAGGAGTTCTCCTTCCAACAGCTTATGAGTGGCACCAGCGCCAATGACACCTCCCTCAAGCAGATCCAATCGATCACACACAAGATATTGACGGGCATGGGCTCAAGCGATCACACGCTCAGGACAGAGGAGGCGCTCAAGTTCCTCGTGCACTTCCTGGACGTCGACCACAACTGTCTGTTCAACATCATCTTCCGATTCTACAAGAACAACAAGTCGATTGACAAGATCGTGCAGCAGACCAATCGATTCATGCAGAACCTGATCAAAGAGGACACGTCCATCCCGCTCAACGACATCTTCAAGGAGATCATCGACGCCAAGCACATTAACTTCAAGAAGGAGCTGCAGGCCATCTTCAGCTACTTCCACCCCAAAGAAGTCTACGTCGACAAGCAATCACTCAACGATTATATCGCGCAGGCTACAGCACTGTTTGGTATTCAATCAAACATCAGCTGTCTGTACACGGCGTTGAACAAGACCAAGGACTACGTAAAGGTGACCAACTACGATCAGGACAGGTTTGAGATCCAAAAGCTGCTCAACGAGCTGAACAACACAGACATGACGATCGAGGCCTCCAAAGAGACCTGTAACAAGATCACCAATCTGATTGGTGGTCTCACTCACAAGCAGCTACAATACTTCATCGTGGTCAATCCAGAGATGATTGAGTTCTTGGCCAACATACAGGGCTTCTCCAAGACCACCGAGGTCATTACCGCCAACCTCATCTCGGACGAGTTCAACTCGGACCTGATCAACAACACCATTCATTCATACAATGTCTTGCAGCCATTCATCCTGCGCTTCCAATCACTCAACGCCCCACCTGAAGTCCAGATCGCGCCATACGAGAGCATTGCAGAGCTGTGCAAAGAGATCATGGGACTGATCCCCGTGGATGAGGTCCAGCTCGACTTCTCCCTGAATCGTGTGTCGTTCACCAACAACAATATATCACACGTGAAGGGCATCTACCTCTCGGCGGGAGGCACGTACAACTCCGAGTCGATCCTGCCCACCGTGGCGCAGATCCTCAAGGGCTCAGAGTTCATCTCCAAGAGCTCCAAGTGCGATGATGGCTCTGTGGGTTGGGTGATCAAGTCCAACCTGGAGTTCTCCCAGGAGAGGATTGAGGACTTTATCCAGGGCCTCAAGATCAGCGCCAACACACAGATCAACGACGCAAAGAAGGAACAGGACAGACGGGCACTGATCGATTGCTTTGGCACTGTCGTCACTCTACTGCGTGAGATTCACTTCTTCCACTGCGAGCTGGATCGCGTCTATCATCCCGAGTACCACACTGGCATCCTAAAGACCACGTTCGCGCAGACCAACATCGAGTCACTCGAGATACTCAGTGCTCGTCTATCCACCCATCTCAATGAATGGAATGGCCTGATCAACAGCCTGCCGCCACGTCTCTGGTTGCTACGCGCACACGGCCTATCATCGTTCATCCAAGCCATCACATCACTGCTTCAGGCCAGTCGCGACAACAACCAGCCCATCAATCAGCAACAGCTCACCGATGTCCTTTTGCCATTCATCAAGTATTGTTATCCGAGATCGGAGATGTCGCCGGTGGACATTGATCGCGTGCTCACTGCCAACGCCAATCTCCTCGACATCAAGGACATCTGGCAATTCCTCAGGGATCTGATCGAGGTGATCGATCAAGATGTCGACGAGGACACACATCACGACTATGGCGCCAAACTGGTGCACCTCCAGTCCAAGCACAACCTTTTCAACGTGATGATGCAGCTCAACAATGACACGCTGCCTCACCCCTCACAGATCTTCTACTCGCACGCGTTCAACAAGGATGTTGAGTACTTTATCAACATCATGGAGAGTATGCAAGGCCACACATTCTTCCTCGTAGGCATACCCAAGGACCACCTCAATCAATGGCTGTCCAAGCATTACATCAACCAGGAGAAGAAGTTGGCGCGTGTCTATATCATCGCCACCGACTCCTCGATGAGCACTGATCTCTTCAACTTCCTGCCTACCCACAACGAGACCTTCTCGACGGACTGGAAGAACTTCAAGGACCAATGGGTGGCCGGCCTCAAGAAGTGCAGCGACATCGACTCGCTCAACCTGGTTGGCGGCCCAAGCGGCACGGGCAAGACCTACTTCATTCGCTCGCAATACTCGCCACAGAACAATCCAATCAAAGTGTACATCAGGCCCAACTTTGACTCGGGCTCTCTCATTGAGCATCTGCGCAAGCACAATGTTCGTGCGGCTCAGAAGAAGCGCATCCTGGTGCACTTCTCCATCTCCCCATACTGCGACTTTGACAGCTTCAATCAGTTCATCTACCCAATCATCAAGGGAGGCTTTGTGTGTGGACAGCGCGTCGGCGAGTTTGTCAACATCTCAGACAACATCATGCTGCAGATCTACATCGAGATTGGTCAGCCCATCAATGAGAAGCAGTCATGCGACGACTACATCAGCGAGACCATCCCATTGATTGCCAAGCTTGCACAGCGCAGCGAATATGCCAACACTGCTTGGGAGCTCACAGACACTGAGCGCAAGTGTATCTCATACATGAATTACTTGCGCGACGATGGCAAGCTGCCCGTGTACAAGGACGGCGACACCATAGACATGTTCCTCGCGCACCTCAGAGCCAAGTACGAGGACAACAACAACAACGCACCGGCCAAGTACTTCCCCTCGTACCTCTTCAACCCCAGCTTCCTGCTTCAGAAGCACATCTTCTTCAAGCTGCTGGAGGAGCGTTTGCACTTCCTGGACGACTACATCAATCAGTACTTCCTGTTCAAGAAGCATCATCTGCCGCTACCCGACGTTACCCCACTCGACCTGCTGACGCATCTCACGCTCGAGTCTCTCAAACTGTCAGACCCCGACCTAGCGTCTGTTGTCGAGCTCTGGGCCAACCCGCCAATGATCACCTCTCGTATGGTAGACCTGATCCCCGATGAGGAGAACCCAGAGAAGAAGAGAAAGATTGTAGAGATTGAGTACATAGACTTCTCGCCCAACCCAGTGCTGAGTGGACGTGCACTCAAGACCCTAAGGTCGGCCAAGCAGCAGCCTGGTGAGTTCCGCGCTACCATCGCACACTCATTCGGCATTGCCTTCCGCACATGGATCGTCAACGACTTGTGCCATCAGTTCAAGTACGTGTTGACGCCCGAGTTCGCAATCAGATTGATGACGCTGCATAACAAAGTCAAGAATCAGCGATCATTGGTGCTCACAGGAGACACAGGCGTCGGCAAGACCTTCATCCTACTCTTCTACTCACTGATGATCAACGCCAAGAATGACAAGATGCCAGACATCCTCTACGACCTCAAGGAGCGAATCAACAACATTATCGCCAAGAACAGTGTCAATGGCTTTGAGCTCAAGGGCGTGAACAATGTCAATCGCGAGGAGCTCAGCCGTCTGCCAGGTGATGCATCGCCTCACCAGATCATCACAGCCATCAAACACTTGTGTGACTTTGAGCCCAAGTTGCCAGTGCCCCCAGCTCCCGCCGCTGCGACTAGCCCAAAGGCCGACGACCCACTCGCTCCCAAGACCAACAAGCTAGTACAGGAGATGTTGTTCGGCGAGTTTGAACAATTGATCAACTATCAACTCACAAAGTTCAAGTTGATTGATGTGTCCAGCCCACTTCTCCAAGGCATCAAGGACAAGAAGCAAGCAATGATCACAAGCAAGGCGACCTTGGTCGAGGCAATTGAACAGATCTGCTCGGTGAAGTTCAAGAACCTGTTCCATCGCATCATCATGCATGAGAAGTTCACAAGCAAAGAGTTCAAGATCGCTGTCACAGAGTTCATCGCACAGTCCAACCAGCTGCGCGAGATTGACCCGAACCTCAAGATGGTGGTGTTCATCGACGAGTTCAACACGAGTCCCAACGAGACTCTGTCGCTCATCAATGAGATCTTTATCGATGGCACGCTGGATGGCGAGAGTATCATCCCACACAACATCTTCTGGGTGGGCGCGATGAACCCCATCAAGGAGGCCAAGAACTCAATCGACTTCTCTGGCGCCCAGCTGACCACGTCTAGCAACTTGGCATTCATCGTCAAGCCTCCACCACCATCAATGAAGCAGCTGTTCCTCAACTATGGCACATTCGAAGCGATGCACGAAGCACCCTTCCTCGACTCGCTCTTTGCCCTACGCCACGACATCTGCCCAGACTACTCCACTCGCGACCTCAGGGATTTCATCCTTGCTGGCCAGGAAGCACTGCGCAAGATCAATCAGGCCAAGACACATGTCTCCATTCGTGACATTATGCGAGCGATCGACTTGTATGAGTTCTTCTACAAGAATGAGGTTGGTCGCAAGATCCTCGAGTGCTCTTTTGGTGACCTCTCCGAGAACAAGCAGATCCTTCATTGTCTTGCCATCATCACATCGATGGGCCTCACATACTACATTCGTGCAGCACCTGGCAAGCCCCGTAACGAGATTCACAGTGCGTTCAACAAGTTGTACGACACACAGTTCACTCCACAGGCTGTCCGCGGCCAGTTCAGGAACTACTGCGACATCTTTGATTACATTGTCAACAGCTTCTGCCGAGATGGAATGATTGCCATCCCCACTGGAATCGCCTCCACCGAGGCTCTCAAGCTCAACATCTTCTGCATTGCTGTGGCGATCAACTGCAAGATCCCCCTATGCATTGTTGGCCCACCCGGCTGCTCGAAGACGCTGTCCTTTGGCATTGTCATCAACAATATGAACGCCAACAAGCAGGCGACCAAGGACAAGTCGACCACGCCCTGGCAGACGATGCCCAATGCTGATCCATTCCGATACCAGAGCACACCTCACACCACTGACACAGAGATCAAGTCGGTGTTTGAGCGCGCACTCAATCGTCAAGAGACATACGACAAGTCCAACGGCAAGAACCATTGTGTTGCGGCTATTGATGAAGCAGGTCTCGTGGACGATCTCATGTCGCCAATGAAGGTGATGCACGACTACCTCGACAAGGTATCACACAAGATGGACAAGAGCGCGGTGGACATTGCTGTTGTCATCCTCTCAAACAAGGTACTTGACGCCGCCAAGACCAATCGTATGATGATGCTTGTGCATCCAGCCACGATCACGCCCGAAGACGAGAAGGCCTTGGTCATTGGCTGTCTGTTTGGCAATCACAGGCTCACAGTTGTTGAAGATCAGATCTGCATGGCTCTCTGCAAGTCATATCGCGAGGTCAACAAGCACAGCCAAGACACAAAGGAGAACATGTTCCACCAGCGTGACTTTGTCTTCTTCCTTCGCCATCTGGAGCGCGAGATCAAGCTCAACAAGGGAGTCTTCTCGCCCAAGGTCTTGCTCAACTCACTCGAACGCAACTTTGGCGGCATCCCTCCTCAGCAGTTCAAGGCGCTCGCCTCTGAGTTCTTCAAGGACCTCAGCAAGGTCGCGGGCTTTGACAAGAAGTGTTTCGAGCTGTTGGAGCGCGACAACACAATCCTGCGCATTAAGGAGTCGCTCCAGGAGGTTCTCAACTCCAAGGCGGATCCCAACATCGCACCATTCCGTTACATCATGTTGGTTGATCCCACCGAAAATGAGTCATCTCTGATGGCTCTCAAGGAGTTAGGCATCGAGCACAAGGTGATCAGAGTGGGCTCGTTCGAGAAGGACACCACTACGGAAGCCCTTGTCAACGTCGTGTCACAGGTCAAGACCATGATGGCCAAGGGTGGCACGGTTGTGCTTGTCAACACCCAGCTGATCGAGGCTTGTTTCTACGACGTGTTCAATCGCTACTTCTCGCTGCTGCCCTCAGCGTCGGACGGCACGATGAACTTCATCGCCAACGTCTCGTTTGGCACACACTCTATCTTCTGCCCTGTGCACCCCGACTTCAAGATCATCGTCCATCTTCCTCTTTCCAGGATGGCCCAGACACAGCTGCCCTGGCTCAACCGTTTCGAGAAGTACTACCTCTCAATCGACAACCTGATCAACTACTTCATCGAGGTCAACGAGCCACTTCAGTACCATCGCGAGTTCCTCGAGAAGCTGAAGCGCTCTTCACAACACTTTGTCGACAGCTTCCACACGGGTGTCAGCAATCAATCATTGTTGGCTGGTTTCTCACCAAAGGAGACTATCTCCTCGCTCGTGTTCTCGACCGCCAAGGACATACTCAAGAATGGAAAGCCCACTATCACGCCACAGCGTATCTCCAACGATCGTTTGGATGAGAATGCAGTGACGTCAGAGTACCGCCTGCTCAACTGGAAGCTGCTGCAGATAGCTCGTCCTGAGAGTATGTTCAAATGCACCAGTCTGCCGCAATCATACATGGAGGAGTACCTCCTGCGCCAGGAACACTTCAACCTTCTACGCTTCTTCAAGACGCTGTTCCACCAGAAGTACGCGCTGGATGATCAGACTCGCTCAAACAAGTGGGTCATGTACACCAGGACGTCTCTCACCCTCCACCGACTCAAGGACCACATGGACAAGTTCGTCAAGTACCTTCTAGAGAACATCTTTGACCAGGGCCAGGCACATGTGGGCGAAGGCATCATCAGCATCATACAGCTGGGTTCATTCAAGACCAGCTTCGACTGCCAGAACGAGATCGAGCGGTTCAAGGAGTCAATGCAGGCCAAGATCTGCCTTGTGATCGCAGACATGTCCACGGTCAACCAGCACCAGACCAACTACATCATCGACCAGTTCAGCGAGCTGGATCCATCAAAGATGTTCATCATCATCTGCCACTACCCGCCAGAGTTTTCGCTATACAATCAAACAAAGCTCAACTCGCTCTTCCTCAATGGCATGGAGTTCATGTACGTCGATTCACTCGGCCTGCAGATGGACGTCAACGCCCCAGAGTCCTCGACACTCGATGTGGACATTCGAACTTGGATTGCCAAGGCATATGGCGTGCCGACACGAATCGACCCCGTCTCGATCGAGGAGTCGTTCAAGGACATGTTCATGAAGCAGCTTGACGACGTCACCGCCACGATGCTCAATCTGTCTGGCGTGCCATTCAACGCTGAGAGTCTGCGCAAGATGTTCAACGCGCATCCAATCTGGTACAAACAGACACTCAACAAGGTCACGCGCAAGTGGACCCAAAAGAAGCTGTTCCACCGCATCCTCACAAACATCTCCAACCTCATTCTCTCGGGCAAGCTCGTCCACTCCTTCCTGGACTCGATCAAGAACTCAATGACGTCCTACGTCTACCCAGTCGTGGCCAAGATCGTCGAGATGCTCACCAACTATGGCGCATTCCGCCAGGTGTCTCGTCTGCCTTCATCGCCAGCTGAGGGCCCTGAGGACCTGCACGAGATGCTGGTGTTCAACTTTATCAAGGGTGTCAAGGTGCCAATGATCTCTGAGAAGATTGAAACCAGGTTCGAACCCATCAAACTCTCTCGCTCGCCCTTCCTCTACTCGTCCAAGCTCCCACTCTATGATTCAATCGCAGCGGCCATCAAGACAATCTTTGATCAGACGCTCAACACCCATCCCAACAGAGGTGTGGACTTCATCAATCAACAGTTCGTTGAAAGAGTCGAGCGCCACCCGATCGCCTCGCTCGTCCGACACATCAACACCAATGGACAACTGTTGTGCGAGTACCAGGAGGATTATATCATGCGCACGATGAAGTTCAACGACAGCACCTGGATATCAGTTGTGCGCATGGCCATGCAGAAGCTGCGCCCAGTTCAAATCGACAACATACTGATGTTGACCGTGTGCAACCACTTCCACATCAACGAAATCTTCTTCCTCAAGAACATGGTGTCGCCTCTGTTGAAGTTGCAGACTGGCGACGACATCATGCAGCAACTAGAGAATGGTATCAAAGTTGTGGCGCCCCAGCAGACCAAGTTGATGATCGCCACGCTGGCCATCGGCATCCTGAGCAAGCACATCCATGCCACGAGCCGCGGCATCCAAGGAATGATGGACACGATCAAGGAGACCACGACCAATTGGTGCAGCGTGATCCGCGAGATGCTCAACCGTGTATCGGTCGAGGACATCATCTTGAAGCAGCAGCCAGCCGACGTCACCAAGTTCTTCCATGTCTTCTCCACATACAACATATGTGTGAGCATTGCCATGTCCTGTCCCCAGGAGCACATCCAAGCGTCGTTGCTCAAGACCTACAAAGAGATTGGCACGCAGCGATATGAGTCGTGTGATATCCTCGACACGTTCGCCGCACTCTTCCACCAGCTCAACGAATCACTGGTCCGCGATTGCCTGCCCCGCATCGGTACACCCTGCTTCCTGGACATTGTCGAGCCATTCGTGCACTCATCACCCCACAACCTTGGCAACATGCTGAAGCTGTGCAATCATGACCCGGCCAAGTTTGGCTATGGCTTCGTCAAGGAGATACCCATTGGATGGTTCGCCACCCTGTTCAAAAGAAACATGCAGAACAAGATCAAGCAGTTTGCCAATCAGTACTTCAAGGAGCTGGCCATCACAACCGTCCACAACCCATCCATTACTTCGATGTTGGATGCGGCCAATCCATTGTCCCCATCAATGCTTCAGTTGCTTGGACAACAGCAAGGTCAGAACGCGTTGAACATCGCTCGCAATGGCAACCTGGTCAACGTGTTCTACTTTGTCTATTTGGACCAATTCAGGGAGACGAACAGCCCACTGATCAATGATATGCTCAATGATTGGGTCAAGTTGGACAAGGAGACAGACACATTGTCCAAGATCAAGCGGGCGGCCCTCAGCTCATACCTCATCGAGAGATTGGCCACAATGTTGAACGTCAACAATAGTTTGCAGGACTTCAAGATGTTCTTGGACAACAACAAACCATTCGCGACACACTTTGCTCAACGCCTGTTCCACATCGATGCAGCCAAACCCGTCGAGGAGCAGAACAACGCACGATGGAACCATGTCTACTTCCTGATCAAGGTCAACTCGTCCAGCACACTGACTGAGCTGCTCAAGGCCAATGATGTGCTGGCATTGCTCGGACTCACACATCTTCACATCTCGCTCAACATCTCATTGAAAGAGTCCACCTTATTCTCATTCATGGTGGACGAGGCTTCGGATGATGGCAAGATATTCAAGCAGCTAAAGGACGCAATTGCAAGGTGCGCGACCAATGAGGTCATCGCAATGGTGAACTCATCGGTGGGCCAGCCCAGGAAGTGCGGCTTCCTCCGCATGGCGCTGTTCCTGATCACCTATCAGCGCTACCACGAGTCCCAGCCACTCAACACAATCTCATCGCTGCTCAGCGACTCCAGCGTGGTCAAGCCACTCGGCCTAGAGCCCTACAAGCGATACTATATGAAGATCATACAGAACACATTCGAAGGCACAACGCTCGACGACATACTCATCAACAAGCCCAACAAGTCCAAGGGCGAGATCGTCAACGCACAGCTATTGGTCAACTTTGTGGCAGCATCCATTGGTTCGTCCAACAAGACATATTTGTACCACCTCACCAACAACTATCCCACGGTGGTAGCCCAGTTGTTCCCAGCGAACGAGTATCGCAAGTTTATTGATTGTGGAATGGTATATCGAACAGATGACAAGGCGGCCGAGGGCAACGATGCCGATGCCAACAAGACCAAAGCAATGAAGGGCAGGATCATCGACAAGAACATCATCGCCGCCTCGATCTGGGGCACAATGGCTTGGACATGCAATCGCATCACGAAGGACGAGGAGCTCACCTACCTCACGGATCGCACCGTGCACTTTGCCAACTACGTCGAGCCCAAGACCGTGGGTGCGCTCACCAACTATGTGCTATTGCGATCGCTCACCCCGCTTACAGAGATCTCATTCAACAAAGAGTTGATCGACGCCATGGTCGAGCCCAATCATCTGATCACAGAGATTGTGTTGGCCGTCTGGAACGATGGCTACACGAACCAGGACCCGCGCCTCATGGCCTCATACAAGTCTCTCGGAGACCTGAACGCATATGAGGACTACCTCGTGGAGCTGATCGAGGGCATTCGCAGGAACTATCAGGTGCTCAAGGGACGCCTCAATGAGGTGGCCACCAGCCGCTCGCCCATCTTGGCCAGCACAATGAAGGTGCGAGAGGAGGTCTCGACCATATTCAACAGCCCCCTATTCCACTATCAGTTCATCCACGAGACGATCTCGCGAGAGGACCAAACCGAGCTGCTTCAGTTCTTCAGCGCCAACATCTCGACCATCTGCGTGTCCAAGTACTTCTCGGACTTTGTCACCTTCCTGCACACGTTCTACAAGTACTTTGCACGTCGTCTGCCCTCAGACTATGTGAACCGCACCATTGGCGACTGCATCAGCTTCCTCGAGCAGCAGGGCATTGAGAACGAGAAGGACATCATCGCGTTCAGAAACATGTGGGACTCCACCAAGAAGTCCTACGTCGAGGTGCACAATCAGATGAACATGCTCGAAGGTGGATGTCGTGCGCGCCAAGCCTTCGAGAAGGTGGTACTGGACGAGCTCAGCGACGACGTCCTGGTCGGCACGCTGCTCTACAACCGCGACAACGCATCGGATGGCCTGTTGATCAGTCTGATCGACAATTGGATGGCAAAGATGCAGGCCAATGCGATACAACTACGTGACGACATTGTTGAGAAGACAGGCAGCGATATGTTCCGCGCGATCATTGAAGGCGACCACACAGACGACATTGGCAACATCTCATTCGGCTTTGGCGAGAACTTCATGCTCATTGGATCAAACATCGACGTGTCCCACTTCCAGCAATTCATGTACAACTCGTTTGCCAAGTATCAATCATTCGATCGCACGTCATTCAAGCCCGACCTGCGCACAATCGAGAACCAGCTCATCATTCTCTTTGCCTCGGGCAAGATCCTCCCAAGTGGCACTCACTTCTCCCATTACAAGACAGACTTCCCCTTCCTCGTGGACATGCCCGCCGACCCCAACGACCTTCTCCTCGACGGTCCAGTCAAACTGCTGATACCCGAGTCTCTCAAGGAGTTGATCGAGATCAAGAGCGCGCTCAACACCCAAGTATTTGGCCTAGAGTGCCTCAATGAGAACGTGCGCATCCAGTTTGTTGGCAAGTGCTCCAAGCTGCACGCCGAGGAACTCGAATCATTCTGTCGCTACCTCGTCTCGCTCATCCTTCGCACGATCCACGTTCAGAATCTGGACGCCCTGCAGGCGCTCACGATCGCCGAAGCCGCCACGACCGTCCAGCTTCACAACAAGGCTCCAGCCAGCGTAATCCAGCTGCTCCAAAAGATTCCGGCCGTGTGCCTCAAGGAGGTGGTCGAGCTGTTCAAGCAGATCTACCTCGGCTTTGGCTACCTATACGCCGACACGATCGACGAGCCCGTCAAACCCGACCCAGAAGTTCTCGAGCACTTCACAAAGATGCGCGACAACCTGTTCTCCGAGACCAACTTCGACCTGGACAATCACATTCACAATAGATTGATTGAATGGGTCAACTACCTGCAGGACATCATTCAGCGACTTCAATCACCCAAGTGTCGCGAGGAACTCAAAAAGGTGCAGGCCGAGTCCTCACTCCTCGACCATGTTGGACGCTTCCTGCGCAACATGAACTATCAATCACCATCTGCCATCTACAAGGACTACCAACTGATGACCGTGTGCACCACCAAGATCATCCCTGTGGCCTACTTCCCACTGTTCATGCGTACCATCCACGAGGTGCTATCCAACCTCAAGGTCAAGAGCCACACCAAGCAGACTGATGAGTGGAAGGAGATGTTCATGTCCAACTTTGACGACGAAGTGCCCAAGAAGCTGCCCGTCCCCGACGACGAAGATGAGGACAGCGAGCTTGAGGAGCAATACATTTTCGGCCAAGATGGCGCTGAAGGTCCTGACATGCCCGTGCCAAATCCCGACGATGTGCCGATTGCCGAGCCCGAGGAGGAGGAAGAGGAGGAGAGTGTCGAGGAGGACGATGAAGAGTTGGAGAAGTTCTACCGACCCATCAAGGAAACTCAAGATGAGCCCTCGCTCCACTGCTTGCTCAACTGGCTCCGCTTCATCCCAGGCAACCCACTGGCGATGAACAATACGACCAAGCAGAAGGAGTACAGTCATGTGATTGAGCGATTCAGGAACTTCTTCTATGAGTGCCAGCAAAAGTCCACGACAGAGATCGACATCAAGGACCTCTATGACTTTTTGTTCAAGGAGTCCCTGCTGCCAACTGCAGTGAGCTCGCCAGGCGAGTTCCTCGTCAAACTCCTTGACAACCTGTCCAACATTGATGCCAACCTCCTACGACTGTTCAAGTCCACCATCAAACAGGTGTGTTCCAATCCGCAATGTAACCTTGAGAAGTCCTCCACCAGCACGCCACTCTTCATCGAGAAGTACTGTTCCAGGCTCGAAGCCACCACCAACATCAGTGAGCTATTCGCCAAGTGGGCTCAAGATAAGCAAACAGTAGCACCAAAGACGTGAGTACATCACTTAATCATTCAATCAATCTCGTACTGATTCAATCAATCAATCAATCATTTCCACAGATGTAAATGTGGAATTAGGGATAAGCCCAAGTTCCATATGAATGATGCTCCTCAGTATCTCTTTATCAGCATCGGCAGAGATGTGGACACCAAGAAGCAGTACAACAAGATCCTCTACAATGAGCTACTCGATGTCTCTCAGTACTACATCACCGAGACAGAGGGTGTCTCATACTCCTTGCACTCTGTGATGTGTCATGAGGACAGCACCGATGGAAGCAACAAGGGATTGTATTCGATTCAGATCAAACAACATTTGGACACTCACTTGAGATGCACATCAAAGATCTCGCTCACTGACAAGTCACAGTTCAAGGACACCATTGAGTCAAATGGAGTATTGTTCATCTTTTCAAAGGATGAGTTGTACTCTGGCAAGAGCAAAGCACAGGATCACTCTGCTCCCAACACTCCACAGCCTGGCACACCAACACAACCTATATCTCCTGCCCCAGCCATACCCATGCAGCCATTGACACCAGGTCAACAACGCTTCCCAATACCAAACCCTGTAGGACAAGCTGGTGTTTATACACCTCATCAGCAGGCTGCTCCAGTCACTCCCGCCGGTCAATATGTTGCCCCACCAGTCGTTCCTCTGGCTCCATTCCAACCTGCCCCTGCTCCAGCAACAACGACCACGACAACCACGACAACTCAAGCACAGCCTGCTCCCAACATTTCAGCTAGCTCTGCAGCTGCATTCAGCCCGAGTAGCACCGGCTCTGGAATCGCTATTGGCTCTGGCTCAACAGTTAATGTGACTGTGAGATTGGGCGATGATGTAACCAACGACACATTGTTCGATTGGATAAGATCACTCACCGACATGATGGACGGCTCAAAGAAGAAGTTGATTGATATGCTCACAAAGATGGACATTGACACATTCATATTGGCAATGGCGCACAACGAGGCCGTGCTAAAGGAGAAGATGGTGGAGGCTGGCATGCCAGTAGGTGCCAGGTCAACATTCATCAACAAGATCATCTACCTGAAGACCAGACCACCTCGCTTCATCACAGATATCCATCAATCAATTGATCGCAATTGGGAAGATCAACAACTGTTTGAATGGATGCGACTTATTGGACTGCACTCTAGCCGTATGGGTGGATTCATCAACCAACTGGAGGAGCAAGAGATTGTTTCGTTCTCCAGCGCCAATGGAGATGATTGCAAGGACACCTTCAAAGCCTGTTTCCCCGAGACATACTATGCTCACATCAACTCCTGTCTACAGAACATGTTCATGAAGCAGGTCAACTCTACTATCTGACACTAGTGATAATGATGATCGCAATCCCCATTGCCAATACCATTTACCAATACATCCAACTCTCTCGCTCAATGATATCATATTATTAATTTCTTTAATCTTGACCAATCGTACTAATTATAGCCCAATGATTGATTCGTCCATGTTACTCCTTTGTATTATTACCATGGTTTGTATTTCCAGTCCAAACTACATTATTATTCACACACTCACACAGATAAATGTTCCAGACGATTGTGATCGAAGCATGTGTGTGAGGGTGTTTGATTCTATCTGAGTGACAATGATCGTTGATTCTATTACCATGGACAAGTTACCAAAGACCAGACTTGACCAATCATATTTAATGAATAATAGAACCTTATTTTGGGGTAATGTCAACTTACACTCCCATTTAAATTGTTGATCTACATTAATATCCACGTGGATATTTTATTATTAATATTAATATTATTATTAAACAATTAATCAATAATTATTGATTAATTTACAAAAGTCCAAGGATAATCCATGGACCGCATGCCTGTTCCATCACCCAACCATCCATTATAAATAATCAATCAATTTTAATAATCATCAAACCAGCTTATCAATTAACCAAAGCTAACTACCAACTCTACTTAACTAAAAACAAAATGACTATTATGGGTATGCTTATAAATAATTAATATTCCTCTACTTTACCTTGCTCCTAACCTTGTACTTTACCTTTTCAAACAGCTGCTCTAAGTTCTCTGGGAGGTGGGTCGCTCACCTCACTCACCAGTGCCAGGATTGGAGGTGGAATTGGTGGAGGAGCTGGTCAAGGTGCTAATAGTGCTGCCTGTTTCTGTGGAGGTGGTGGCGGTGGTGGCGGTCATTGGGTCAGACCACCAATTGTTCACACTCCATTCCCATCTGGAGGTTGTGGAGGTGGCGGCGGTGGTTTGAACCTGGGAGGTCTTGTCAACGGACTCTTGGGAGGACTCCTAGGAGGTGGAGGTGGTGGATGTGGATGCCACTAATCAACCAGATTGATCAATCAGAATGGGACCAATGATGTCTATACACTGACTGACTATTTTTCATTACCATCGTTTCTTCGATGTAACACTACATGTCCAAACTAGACTGACTCCAACATAATAACTACTACTACTACTACCAACTACCTTAAGTTTACAATAAACTTCAACTCCACCTTTTTTTAACATATATACATCCTGTCGCCTGGTCCAAGGAAAGTTTATTTACCTCCAAGTAAAGGAGGAGGTTTAAGTACATTCCAGAAAGTATCAAATACACCTGCATTCTCTGCGCCTGCTATTGTTATCTTTTGGATGTGTTAGAAACAGTGATGACATGACATTTCTACAACATTTATAACTCTTACAGTGAAAGGGAATGGATTCTGATCTTTGGCTGTAATGGGAGGTATGTTCTTGTCTTGATTGACATGTTCGATGATCTTATAATTGGTATCTTTCAGCTGATTGGCCAGTTGTTTGGCATCCATCGAGGGTACCAATTGGAATGATATTATCCATTGCTCCCAGCACACCTCTGATGCCGAAGAGAAGAATGTCGTCTTTTGTCTCTTCTCTTGGAATGATACTGATACCTGTGCAGTCTTTGCCTTTCTCTTGATTATTGATGATAGTAATTCCTCAGACTTCTCTTCGACCTGCTTTGATGTCTGTGGATCATCCAACTTTGTATAAGTGAACTCTACAATATCCAATGAAGCATCCTTTGGTTTCACAGTTCCAAGACATCTTTGAAACAGTATACAATGTAATATACATTGAACAACCTCTTTCAATTGAGCATACTCTAAGTTCTTAACAAGTAATTGAGTGATTGAGTGAGTGATTGAGTGAGTGATGATTAGGACCCAAGGTCCTTCCTTCAAGGACAACTTACAATCTCTTTCAATATATATTGTTGTGCGTTCATTATTATTAATCCTCTTTGTTGTTCTTGTTGTTGTACATATAAGGTAAATATGTATGTGTATTAATATAAGTGTGTGTTGTTATGTGAATGTATCTATTATCTGTACAGCTAGTTGTTGTTTGACAAACAAAGTAATGTGGTAAGTGTGTGGCTGTTGTTCACTTGAGTTCACACTTTGCTGAACCTCTCACCTTCATCTGAATCAGTCATTCCGTCCTCTTCACTTTACATCACTTTTAATGTTGTACATTCATTCATACATTATTACATAACATACATACATTAATACATGTCTTAGTATACAAAGATATATAGTTATATAGTTAACACTCAATCAATCATAAACACACTCTCACACACACAAAGGATGACTCAATATGTTGGCTTGCGTGACGGTACCAAGGCCACTTTGTTGGTTGCAACACTGGTGGCATATGGTGTAGTCTATCATCCAAATAGTAATGTCATTCATAGATTCAAGGAATGGCTGAGTAATCATCAATCTGAGAGTGTGACGTCATCACCACCATCAGTATCATTGGACATATCTCCAATGGTCGCAACGGTCGCAACAACAACATCATCCACAATAACACCAAACAATGTCAATGTAATGATAATACCTTCTTCCTCTGCCTCATCTACATCAACTGAGTCATCATCCTCATCAACATCAAGGGATACCAAAGTATGTTTCAATGAATGAATGAGTACGATCTGGACATCAATCAACTTATACCATTCATTCATATAGTCAACAATCAACAATGTAGATATGCTTATCAAGGAGAGCCTTAGTATATTCGATAACAACAACAATCAACTTAGAAGGAGGCTATTTGGTGACAGCTAGCATCACATCACTTTGTACATTATATCATCAATCACTCAATCAATCAAATGAATCAATCACAATGAATGGAGTACCATTCAATCATGCGCAACAACAGCCAGACGTTATATTGGAATCATTCCATATCCATTTTATTGAACTATGACTTGGGTATAGAGTCACAGTTCCTATGTGTATGAACGCAGCCTGTGGATGGATCACACGTGTCCAATGTACATCGATTACCATCATCACAGGACAATGGGGTGTGCACACAGCCACCGGTTTTAGATGAGCAGCTGTCCACTGTGCACATGTTATGATCGTCGCAGTCCAATGGGGTGTGCACGCATCCCTTGTCCTTGTCACATCGATCCACTGTGCACGGGTCACTGTCGTTACATGCCATCGGCAGGAATACACAGCCCTTCTTGGCGTCGCACAGATCGTTCGTGCATCGATTATGATCATCACAGACGATTGGCGTAAAGCTGCACTTGCCCGTCGAGTTGGTGCATCGATCCTTTGTGCAAGGGTTGTTGTCGTCGCAGACGCGCTGGCGATGGTAACAGCCAACGTTGGTATCGCAAATCGTGTCGAAGCATGGCCCCTTGGTGTTGACGCACTGCACTCGCTCATTGACGCAGCCCTTGTCCGGCAGACACACGTCTTTGGTACAAGGGTTGTTGTCATCACATGACATTGGCGTGTTGACGCATCCTGTGCTGTTGGAGCAGCTGTCGATTGTACAGGCATTGCCGTCATCGCAGCTGATTGGCGTGTGGACGCATCCAGTCGAGTTGGAACAGCTGTCAAATGTACACAGACTACCATCATCGCAACTGATTGGCGTATGCACGCAGCCAAAGTGTGTATCACACGTATCTATAGTACAAAGGTTTGAATCATCGCATGGCAATGGTTGATGTTGACACTCTCCATTCCTACACGTATCCATCGTACATGAGTTGTTGTCGTCGCAGTTTGTTGAACATCCAGTTTGGCCTATGTGTGTGTGGAGGTTTGATCAAGTTTGGTCAGTTTCCAGGATAACTGGATTTGATTGATTGATTTGAACATTGATTGAATCATACAATTAACAATCTGACTATATTCAGAAACAGTAAATATAATAAAAATAATAAATAATAATATTTTAGTCCTTCTTGGACTTTGATATCTTGTTATATTTATGGACATGATTGATTGGAATAACGAATTGAATGATTGAATGAATGATTGAATGAATGAATGTGGATGTGGATATGGAAATAGAATTATGTGGAGAGGTGTGAAAGATGGTGAGGTCAGCTATTCAACATCAACAACAATAACAACAACAACAATGTTAATTAATTGATTGATTGATTTGTATTATATCTGATTGTCTGAGTGCCTCTATCCAAGTTGAGCGGCACAAAGAGAGGTTATTTGTTGTTGTTGTACGATGTTAGATGATGATGATGTTGTTGACGGTGTTTATTAGCTCTATTTAGAGGAGAGAGTGAGTAAGCAGGTATCTATGCTATCTAGACAGCGGACGGAAGGGCGTTGGACAGCATCGAGTAATTCTCCGTATGTTTAAATGTCAACTTGTAACCACCACACTCATTCTCTCTATCATCACATGAATGTGAGTCTCTCTCTATCCATACTTGGTATATCTCTTGATGTGATTGATTGATGCCTTGGTTCCAATGTGTGTGCGTCGTTGGGAAGGGATAAACACACACCAACCATCACTTACAACGACCACTCTCACACATGTACTGACTCTGGTTGATCGATCAGACTCTGTTTGTGTTGTGTGTGTTGTGTTCGTTCGGATGATCAACAATCAGATAAGTCATGACTGACTTATCCATTATCATCATGTCATGTGACTCATATCATGATATACTTTCATGAGTCCATGAAGATTATTCAGATGATGATGATGTCGTTGAAGCTGATGCTGAAGGAGGTAATGAGAACCTTGAAGTTGTGACGAGCGAAGTGAGGAATGAGGAGATCTTAACCATCTCTATGTTGCATGGTATGTTTGGGTGATTGCTAAATATGGTGAATGCTCCCCAAACGGCACTATAAGAGCTATATAGTAGTCATCGTCATCATCGTCAAAGTAGTATGTTAGTATCGGTCATATTACATTATATAAAGTATTCCATTCCAATCAATTCAATTCAACTTCATACCTGCTATTACATCTAATGATAAAGGTATGCTCCAATGGGTTATACTTTAACAACTTGACACCTGCTGTTGGTGCACCAAGCTCACCAAACGATGTGATCATTGCCTGTTTGACAATAGTAACAATCCTCTCATTTGTCAACTTCTCAATTGTATGACTTTATAGTTGTATGTGTATGTTAGAGATAGTCTGTTGATTGATGATGTGATTGAATGATATCATTCATTACCTACATTCTAAATAATATATAACAATTATCTGATGTTACTGTAAATCTTTGATCGACATGAGGATGTTGTTGTGATGTTGCAACTGATATTGTCATTGTTGTTATTAATGTAATGTAGTACAATCACAAGTGTATTAGTTATGAGCTAGGATTGACACCTTTCGTTACTCGTCGAGGGAGCTCAATGTGGGATTGATTTAATTTGATGAACATGAAGCCGCCAAAGTGTCTTCAAGTCATTAGAAGTTAAACTGACCTCGTTACTGATACAGATATAAATACACACATAAACTTACGAACTTACAATCAATCAATCATGTCTGGTAAATATGTCATAGGTTATACTGTCAACGATCAATCACATCATTGTTAACTAACTTTATCAATCAATGAATGAATGATATAGATAAGAAACGTACTCTAGAGGAAGCCAGCAGTGTAGGTGATGAGCAGCCAGATGAACCAAAGGTTACATCAGAGGAGGAGGAGCAAGCCACAAAGTATGTTTAGGTTGATTGGTTGTACATAATGATCGATCAACCGACACACTAACATATAAACAATACAGGAAAACAAAGACAGAGACAGAGACAGCGACAGAGACTACAGCACCAGTAGCCACTGAATCATCATCAACAACATCAACATCTACAAAAACCGAAACCAGTGGAGAAAGTAAACCAACTACCACTACCGAGGAGGCCAAGTCTAATGGCGACAAGGCAGAGGACAAAGCAACTCCTTGGACATTCAAGGCATTCCAATCCAATCCAGATCCTTCAAAACCATTCACTGTATGAGTATTGTTGATCATCATCTCATGCATCCACGCTTACACAATGACACATATCCTACAGAGTCCATTTAGCTTTAGTTCGTTCGCCTCGACACCTGGCGCATCACCATTCTCATTCAACCTAAACACGACGACATCGTTCACCAATGGATTCTCAAAAGCCACCACCGAATCCGATGGCAACAACAAGGAGGCCTCATCAGAGTCCACCGACGGAGCCATCGCTGATGGTGAGGACTATTCAAAGTCTGCAACATATGTTCCAATCCTACGTAAGTCTATCATTCAATTGCTCTATCATTGGCAACATCTAACCAAGATCCTTTGTCTCAATCAGAGAGCCTACAGCCTATTCAGACACTCACTGGTGAGGAGGATGAGAAGACATTGTGCTCTGTAAGTCATATGCCTCAAGGGAACAACCATCATGATGATGAACAACAACACTAACACTCACTCATACACTATAGGCTAAAGGCAAGCTCTATATATTCAACGAGTCCTATAAGGAGAGAGGAGTTGGAATGCTCAAGTTGAACAGGAACACAACAACAGGCAACAGTAGACTATGTAAGTATTGATAACGCAATAACTCCATTCGTCCGCATGCGTTGGCATCCTTGTCCTGACCCATTCCGCCACCAATGATACAGTATTGAATATTGATGGATCAAAGAGATCGGCCTTGAATGTAGCCATCTTTGCAACAATGACCATTGACACGCCAACTGAGAAATCACTGCGATTCACTGCGTTTGAGGACGGCAAGTTCCACAGCTTCCTGGTCAACATGAAGAAGCCCGATGAGATCACATTGTTTGAGACCAACATCAAGAAGCAGATCGCCATCTTGAAGGAGAAGCAGCCTGTCCCAGCTGCCACTGTTCCTGCTGCTGAGACCACCACTGAGGCATCTAACACAACAGAGGCCGCCGTACCAGCTACCACCACCACCGCCACCTCCAACGAATCAACGCCAAAGAAAGAGGAGAAGGAGACCAAGGCAGAATAATAATAATAATAATTAATAATTAATAACATTCAATCAATCACATCACTCTTTAATCAAGTTCATCTTCCAGGTTCTTCCTCTTTTTGATGTGGAAGGTGTCGCCACATACTTGGTTGTAGAGGTCGATGCGTCCATTCTTGAATGAGAGAGCCTCGAGACTGGAGTAGATCTCGATGCTGGGCTCGAGACCTGCTTGGCGTAGCTCGTTGAACACCTCGAATGCACGCTCAACATTGTTGCATCGACTGCATGCCTCGACAAGCACGTTGTACGTGTTGATGTTTGGTGACCATTGACGCGAGGCAACAAGGTCGCCGCGCTGATAGAAGTCGTCTGCGAGGAATGACTCGACCATCAGCTTGTTGGGKTCGTCGCATCATTTGATAAAGATTGAATACCTGCTCCAACAATGACTCGCGGCTCAATGCCTCGATCACCTGATGCAGTGAGTATGTTGTGGTGGCAATGTCGTCGGCTTGGTCCAGCTGGCGTAGCAGACGGACAGCAGAGGACAGGTCTTCGCGCTTGATGTGCGCCTCGACCATGTGCTGGAATGTGAAGTGATTCGGCCGCAGGCGATGGTCCGCCATGAATTTGAGCATGCCGTCCACACGCTCCAAGTTGCCAGCGCGAGCGTAACAATAGATGATTGAGTTGATGCCCGCGACCAAGTTGTCCTCACTCTTGATCAGTCCACGCTTGATGATATGATGGTTGAGATAGCCTGTAGCTTCATCCGCTCGGTTGTTACCAGTGTATGCATTGATGACGTGGAGGTAGGTGCGCTCGTCCGGCACAACATACTTTGCCTGCATGAGATCGAGCAGCGCCAGACACTTGTCGACAGCACCATCGACACTATGTGACTCCATCAACAGATTGTATGTTTCGCGAGTGGGTCGCACCAACTTGACGACGATGGCGTCGGGGTCGTCGGTGGCAGCCAGGCCCGGGTCCGACACCTCAAGGTTCATTCGCTCGACAGTCAAGTCACGGGTGTTGGCCAGCATGTTGAACAGATGCTCTACGACGACCACTTTGTTGCCACGCGTGATGAACTCTCGCATCAACTGATGACAATGCTCCAACTCTATCTCGCCCTTGTATCTTGCCAGTCTATTCTTGATATAGTTATGTATGTCTTGAGAGTTTGTCAACTTTCCCGCTGCTCTAACCAATGTTGTGAACGACAGGTTTGATCCATCGACCGGTGCATCACTCTCCCATTCCTTCCTGACCTTTTCAAGCTCCAACCTTAACTCATCGTCCACTACCACTCCATCTTCTTCCTTATCATTCTCCAACTCTTGTTCATCTTTTTGTTGTCTTTGTTGTTGTTGTAGTTGTTGCTGTTCAATAATTGATGTGACCTTCTTATTTGTCCTCTTTGCAAGCCAACCAAAGTCATCATTGACATCAACATCATCTGCTAAAGATGGATCGATTACTCTCTCTTCCTCAACTGGCAACACATTCTTTGTTGTTGTTGTTGATGATGTTGGTGTTGAAGTTGAAGTTGTGATTGTTGTTGTGAACTGTCTAATAAAGTTATGATGATGAATACGATGTAGTTGTCGACTACGACACAATCCACTAACAACAGCTCTTATCATTGATTATTAAGTTAATATATATGGCTGGGCGATGTCTCTTCACAATGAAGGAATGAGGCATCTTCAAAGTTGGACCATCTTTCGTTCGATTTTTGTGATACCCCCCTTAGAGTTCACTCATTCATTGCCAATTGTCAATCAATCAACTATCCATCAGTCAGTCAGCCAGTCATAATACATGTATGCAATCTAGAATGAATGATGAATGATTGATGGAAGGAATGAGTCGATTCGAATCAACGTCAATCTATTAATAGAGTAGAATGACGTCATTGATTGGCAGCGGTAAAGTGCATGGAGGATGTTGTTGGACTGCAGATGAACAGTTGCCCGCGAATTCAAAGGGAGTAGTCGGCAAGACAACGACCTAAGTATCGGCAAGGACGTCATTAAACACCAACCTCCACCGACCTACGGCCCCCGCTAACTTTAAGACCTCCAAGGCCCTTTGACATGGGTCGCACCTGTATCTCCTCCTTGCTGCTCTCCATCCAAAGTCAACAAATACTAAACTATCTTATGACACTCCGTATTTCTACACGGTTAGTAATGTGATGTTTGATCAAAGAGGTGCTGATGGTGATGGCGCGCCGATTATTATTGTCTCGCACTCTCAGGTCCAAGATTACAACTGTGTTTTTAATCAAACAAATTGGTGTTGTTGAAAATAAGGTGTGTATGAGGTGGGGCTACCTCACTGCCGAACGAATGAATCAATCAAATATCTCTTGGGTTCTCAAAACTTTAATGGTTTTGATTTGTTGGGACTGATCTTGGCAGTCTTTTTTTGTGGAGGGCACTAAAAGTCAATCTAGGTTGGTCCTGAATACATTCATTCATTCCACGATTCATACAAATAGTGGGTCAAGGGATAACTTAAATCTTTATCTTTATCTCTATCAATATCTTTTTTTTTCGTTCTCATTATATCCATCACTTTTCACTCACACACACACTTAACCAATCAATCAATCAATCAATCAATCACCCACACACACAACAGTAATAACTAATCAGAACCTAAATAGGGGTTGTATTATTCCATACTTGCTGTATCACCCTACTCAACTAAATATCAACAATATTCATTCATTATACACACATATATTACAATCATTATTTATACAAATACTACACATACAACATATATATAATATACTTATAGACTATGAGTCGAAAGGATAAAGATACTCAGCCATTGCTGCTCAATGAGTAGGTTAACACAGGATCAGGACAGGACGACAGAGGACAGGAGGGGACAGGAGGGGACAGGAGAGTGAATGAATGAATGAGTGAGTGAGTTAGAGTGATTGAATGGAACTTGTTAGGACTGACACAATCAATCATCATCAATCTGGAACCATTCCACTCACACCCATCAATCATAATCAAACAAACAGTGATCATGGACATGGACATGATCACGGATCACATGGACATGGACATGGAGGACATGGATCACATGGTGGACATGGAAAGGAAAGGAGTGGAGGATTCAATTCAAAGTCATTCGCACTGATATCGATTGGTGTACTGACGTTGTTTTATGTATTGGCCGAACTGACGGCCGCTATTTATACTGGATCGTTGACATTGCTGTCGGATGGCTTCCACAATCTGACCGATGTCATCTCGTTGTTTGTAGCGTGGTGGGCACAGAATGCTGCCAAGAGGGGCTCCGACGACCAGATGTCCTACGGCTGGGCACGTGCTGAAGTGCTCGGCGGTCTGACCAACGGCTGCTTCCTCATCTCGATGGGCATCTACGTGGCGCTCGAAGCCATCCCTCGCTTCATCCACCCCCAGCCAATGGAGCAGGGCATCGTCTTCATCTCGATTGCTGCATCTGGTCTGGCCATCAACACGCTGGGCACTATCGTCTTTGCCTGCACGGGCCAGGCACATGCACACAGCCACGGCGGTGGCGGCGGCGGACACTCGCACGCTCACGGCGGCACCGAGAAAAAGAAGGAAAAGAAGGAAAAGCATGGACATGGTCACGGCCATGACGGCGCCGAGAAAAAGAAGGACGGCCACAAGAAAGAGAAGCATGGCCACGGTCACGGACATGACGCCGAGCAAGAGCACGGCCACTCACACCGCGCCAGCGCCAAGTTTGACGACGAGGACTTTTGCGATCACGGCCACTCACACGGCGCCGAGGCCACCAAGAAAAAGAAGGACAGCCACAAGAAAAAGGACAAGCACTCGGACGGAAAGATGTGCGGCATGGACCTCAACATGTTTGGTGTGTTTATCCACTTCCTCGGCGACGCCATCGCCTCGCTGTTTGTGCTGGTCACTGGAATCATCCTGCAGTACTCGAGCGGCGGCTGGACCGACTACGTCGACCCGGTCAGCAGTCTCATCATCATCGGTTTGACCATGCTGTCGTCGGTGCCTCTGGTGAAGCGCGCATCACTCATCCTTTTGCAGCAGGTGCCCAACGGCGTCAACCTGGACAAGATGCGCACCAAGATCAGAAAGGTCGAGGGTGTGCTCAGTCTGCACGACCTGCACGTGTGGCAGCTGGTGGACGGCATGACGATTGGCACAGTGCACGTTGGCGTGGAGGAGGGCTCGGACTTTGCACTGATCGTCGAGTCTGTCAAGCCCATCTTCCATCACTACGGCATCCACTCCACATCCATCCAACCAGAGTTCATCCACAAGAACATCAAGGACTACGACTTTTGCGCACAGAACTGCATTCAAGAGTGCGAGGAGGAGTGGTGCTGCAAGAAGACCGCCGAAAAGGTCAAGGAGAGAGGACTACTCTTTGCTGTCTAAACGTCGTCCTTTGATTGATTGATCGATCTCAATCACTCTCACTCACAAACCAGAGTGATCATTCTGAATGGTATACGTATATATATAAACATATATAATGTACAATATATATTAGAACAATTCTTATCGTGTATTTGGTTGATTGATTGCATGGAATAGTTCCAGTCTGTGGGGTGTGTGAGTGTGTGAGGGGAGACGAACAAAAAGACGAGAGTGTCGTTCGAAGATACTTGGGCATTCATTTAACTTTTCAAACAAATAATAATCAATATATATTTATAGAGATAATAATAATAATGACTAAATCATCATCATTCTCAAACAAACAAAAGAAGATACCAACTAATAAACATAAGGAGAGGACATTTGAACAAGATGGTAAGGCTACAACAGCAGTGGCATCATCAGGTGAGATAGCAGGTTCAAAGGGTGAGGAGAGACATCGTATACTCGCCAAGAGCTACCCTATCAAGTTGGCCATGTGGGACTTTGGTCAATGTGACAGCAAGAAGTGTACAGGTCGCAAGCTCGAACGTCTCGGCTACGTCAAGTCACTCACACTCGGTAACAAGTTCAGAGGTATCGTCTTAACGTATGTACATTCATCAGTTCATTCATTACCCGCATGACTCTGACCCTGACTCTCATGACCTCACAGACCTGATGGAAAGCAGTCTATAGCACCTTGCGATCGTGACATTGTACAACAGATTGGTATATCAGTAGTCGATTGTTCATGGGCCAAGCTTGAGTCTATACCATTCGCCAAGATGAGAGGTGGTTGTGATCGACTATGTAAGTTACCCTCATTCATTCAATCAATCAATTATCAATCATACTCAAACTCATACTAACTTTGACTTTGAATGTATGAATAGTACCATTCCTCATCGCAGCCAATCCAGTGAACTATGGCAAACCTTTCAAGTTGTCTTGTGTGGAGGCAGTGGCAGCATGCCTGTTTATAACTGGCTTTGACAAGGAGGCACATCAGATATTGGGTGGATTCAAATGGGGACCTTCGTTCTACACGGTCAACAAGGATCTGTTTGAGAGATACTCAAAGTGCAAGGATAGCGCAGAGGTCGTACAGGTTCAGAATGACTTTATCAAGAAGTGTGAGGATGAGTCACTTCAACGACTGACCAAACTGGACATCAACGAAGATGGTCTAGTTGCCAATCCAAACAGAGTCACACTACCAAGTCAGTTCGACTACAGTGATGATGATGATGATGATGGAAATGATGATGACGATAATGAGGATGAGGATGAAGATGAAGAAGACGAGGATGAAGACGAAGAGGACGAGGATGAGGATGAAGAAGATGAAGACGAGGAGACCAACAAAGCAGATAACAAGGAGGAGGACGACATAGACAATGAAGACGAAGAAGGCGAGGATGAGGATGAAGATGAAGATGAAGATGAGGATGAGGATGAGGATGAGGATGATGAAGAGGAAGCAAAGTTACAGTACAAGTTGAAGAAAGAGAAACAATTACTGAAAAGAGAAGAGAGATCACAGAAGAAGGAGGAGAAGGTAAAGGCAAAGGGTACAAAGGACAAGAAGGTCAGGCCACACAGGCATTGATCAATAATACAATCCAATATATACCTTGGTCAATCAACCAATCATTCAATCAATCAATCAATCAATGAATCATTGTTTGGAGAACCGACATTGCCTATGAATAGCATCAATGGCAACATGTCAACCAACTAAATATCTGACTAACTAACCGGATGAATGAATGAATGACATTAATCTCATCGCATCGGATTCATCAATCCATGCATCCACCTGACCAGGCCCATCGCAATCACACAACAACGTTGACCAAGTTTGTTGGGTGGATACCACACGAGAGCACGTGTGGCATCCGATGCCGAAAATCGGACGAGGCGCAGAAAACGACCCAAAATGGAACTAAAAGTGATGCGCAGGTCAACATGTTGACCCCCATTACCGTGTCCCGGCATCAGTACCTGTGAATTCACAACGCCATTGATGGGCCTCGATCAGGCCTTTACCCTATCAATCATGGCTCAATGATAAATGACGCGCTCATTACAACATGTTGTAAATGTAAATGTCACATCCTCTCCCAACAACCTCTTTATCATATATCTGAAAAATAATAATTATAATTATTATTCTAGAGAATTTGTCGTGAGGTGATCTGACGATTGAAGTTGATGTCGTTAGAGTCATCATGTGTACATGCGAGTGGTGTTCGGTATTACCAGAGAATGAATGATCAAGAGTTCAAGTGTTGGTGTTGATGTTGGCGTTGGTCATAGGATCGGATTGATGGGATTGTATTTTCTAGGACGTGGATGCACAATCACGTGTATCCTCGAGTCCCTTCCCTAATCAATGGTACACTTACCTTTGAATCTACTTGACAATAAATCAAGAATATTTATTCATTCTTTATATCTTTTAAAATACAATTACAATAATGTATAACTACAATCAAATAATATTACTTTGTCTCCTGCTATTAATAACAAGCTTGTCCATCAATGGACAACGTCAAGGTATGTTCCATCTTTGCACCTTTAACATCAACCCTTGCCCTTGCCCTTGCCCTTACCCTCACTAACACAAACAATCAATCAATCAAACAAATAGAATCATTCACAATGACAGTTGCCATCTTTGATCATTATCCAGAATATAATGAAAACTTTGAAGCTGATGTTGGTACTTATACTGGTCTGAAACCTGGAATGGTTAAGAAGACATTGAATGAGACTACCAAGATTCCAGACTTGGTTATTGATGAGGACTTGTGGAGATTCGGTCGTATTATTAAGCCAGACTTATTCCCATCATTCTTCTCCAATACTCCAAACATCAATAAGTTCATCCCATACGATTTGACCTTTACATTGAAGGATAACAATGGTATCTATACCATGGAGAATCAGAACTTCTTCCCAATCAATGGACAAGGATGGGATGTTGACTATGACAAGGCACACGAGTACAAGGATGCCTTTGGTGAATACCAAAACTTCCACTTCTGTCTCAAGTTGAACTCATACTTTACCTACCGTGGCAATGAAGAGTTCTTCTTCAAAGGTGATGACGATGTCTGGGTGTTCATCAACAACAAGTTGGCCGTAGATCTCGGTGGTCTCCATTCTGCCGAGGAGGGCAGTGTCGACTTGACAACCCTCAATTTGGTTAAGGTATGTTCCATCCATACAGGAACCATTCCATCACATAATTACTCACTCACTCCATCAATCAATCATGAATAATATAGGGCAAGACATATCCATTCGACTTCTACTACTGTGAGAGACACACTGATCAGTCCACAATTAGGATTGATACCAACATTGAGGTCCGTTGCCTCTGGTTCGACTTCTGTGGTATTTGTAATGGTGATGGATCTTCATGTTGCTCCGCCTCCAAGGACTGTGATGACAAGGACTCGTGCACAATCGATGCCTGTCCAGCTGCCATCACACCAGGCGCCAACCCAGACAACGTCGCAAAGTACTGCAATCACACCAAGATCACATGTGATGCCCAGACTGCCGCCGACAAGTGTAACGCCTACAAGTGTGAGGGAGGTTCATGTGTGGTCGGCGACAAGAAGCCAGCACCATTGATCTCCTGCCAAGTTGGTACCCACTGCGATCCAAAGTCAGGCTGGTTGTACAAGCCATTGTGCAGCAACAACGACAAGTGCACCAGCCTCAAGTGTGTGCCAGGCTCCGACCCAACCAAGGACCGTTGTGATTCCACTCCAGTCAACTGTAACGGCACCGACCAATTCTGCACTGTCTACAGCTGTGACTCTGCCAGTGGCTGTCTGTCCCAGCCCAAGACCTGCATGCCAGAGACACCCGAAGCCTGTACCGAGTACTTCTGTACCCCGGGCAAGGGCTGTGATTTCAAGAAGCTGAGTGAGAAGGAGTGCGGCTGCTGCGATCCATCCAAGACCGAGATGTGTAAGGTGGCCAAGTGCAACACTAACACCGAGAAATGCGAGTACTCCGACGTGGTCATCGACAACAGCGACCCGTGCATGGTTGGCCACTGCAACTTGACCACCGGCCAGATCACCTACACCCCCGTCGTGTGCAGCGGTTGCCAGGTGTGCAGCAGGGCTGCCAATGGCACATGCGTCGACACCGACTCTCTGTGCAGCCATGCCAACCAATGCACAGACGTCACCTGTCAGGCTGGTGAGTGCAAGGCAACATCAATCCCATGCCAGGACAACGACCCATGCACCATCGACAAGTGTGACCCAACCAAGGGCTGTGATCACTCTGAGAAGCTGTCCTGTCCAGATGAGGGCCTCTGTCTCGTCGGCCAATGCACCCCAGGCGTCGGCTGCACCGTCACCAACAGGACCTGTGACACTGGCGACTTCTGCATGGACTCGCTCTGTGACCCACGTCTCGGCTGCATGCAATTCGCTCGCAAGTGCGTGGCACCCGATCCCGACTGCCAGTACGGCGTGTGCAACAATGAGACACAGAAGTGTGACTTCCACGAGTACTCGCCCAAACCATTCGGCTGTAACAAGGCTGCAGTGATCTCCACCGGTGTCATTGCCGGTATTGTAGTGGCAGGTGCTGTGGCATTGGCCGTCATCATATTCGGAGGCAAGAAGGGATATGACCACTGGAAGAGTGCCAACGAGAACAAGATCACAACAACCAGTTCCAATCCACTATACACAGAGAATCCTGCATCTGGTACCAATCCACTATTTGTAGAGTCGAGCAATGCTTAAGCATTGTCTTTGTTGTAGTTGCCACATCTATCTCTATCACTATATATTATCTGTTTTTTGAACAAGGTCATTATCACAATAAACAACTCACTACCATCCCAACCCTCAACCCTTGACCCTTGCCCTAACCCTGGGATATTCTCATCGATACCACCAAACCACTGGACCCCAGGTAGATGTCATATTTTTAGGATTTATTTATAATATGATTAATTTTGAATTTTGTGTCAAGGTTGATGATATATGTGATTACATCAAAGATATCTCGGTGCTGGTCCACTGTTCCTCGGAATTGTCTATTCAATGCATTGAATAGTTTGTAGCTACTGAATATATTCTCGATGATGAATCGAATAGACTGAACCCAGTCATTGTAGATCTTTTCCATTGGGGGGAGGTGAATGGCTCCTTGCTTCTTTTTGAAGGGCGTGATTAGTGTGTCAGGTTCGCCTTGGTATCCTTTGTCAGCGACTGCCCTGACCTTGTCAATTGCCATCAATTCTTGCTTAAGCCCTTGTCTGTAAATGTCAACGTCAGCCTCGGATGCCCCATGCGGTCCGGACACCCACACAATTTCTCCAGTTCTAACTACACATGCAACTTCATACTTCACACCAAACCTCTTCTTCTCACCGTTGTAGAATCCATTGTCTTTAGTCTCCAGGTCGCAGAAGGTGGAGTCGACAGCCAATGCAATAGTTGCTTCAGGATGATCTGCGGCATGATCTGGAAGGCTCTCTTTATCTTTGTCGAACTTAGTCTTTGAAAGTGTGCGGTGCTGTGATGATGTTAGTCTGGTATGTATGCCTAATGCTCACGAACCGTCCGTACGGACAATCATATGACAGACTACTTACCTTGATGCTGAGCTGTTTGATACTGTCAATCACCATCCAAACTTTCTCTCTGAAGTTCTTATCACATACTCCAAAGTGTGCCGAGCTATAGTTGAAAGAGTTGTAGTTTCGCAAGAAGTCCAGTGTCCACATCAGCCAGTGTTGCTCGGTGAATTTAATGTCCTCAAGGAGTTGTTTGGCTACGACTTTATGTACTCCAAATTTCTCTTTGAATGAGACATCGGTATAGTCATCGAACTCTGCCTGTTTCTTTCTCTTGTACCCCATCATAAAGTGATTTAATTAATCACTAAAAACAGTTATTACTTATGTGTTGTTATTCTTGTTGTTGTTGTAGTAGTTGTAGTTGTGGTAGTTGAATGTTATCGATATGGGGTGGGGTTATTGTTTCGATTTGTGGGGTGTGTAAAGCAATCTTAAGATTTGTTCCAACAGACACCCCTAATCTAATTTGGGAAGTGGGTTGAGAACAGACCACCAAACTTGAAATGAGAAGTTGTCATGTTCCTCACAGTAAATCTCATACTTCCCGACTTGTGGTTCTATGTTGAGACAGGTGACATATATACACATTTGTCTATTATAATACTTACTTCACCAATTAAAATGTGCGTACAATCTTCAGATTTACTTGAACATCTTAGATTGATATAATGAGGTAGTTTTTCCAAACAAGTTCATATAGATTTCAAATTGACCAGAGACTAATCTTTAATATTGGCCTATTGTCTCTCACTCTTTAATTTCCGATGTAAGGGAAGATCTTAATTAGTCATAGGTTGAGATATTAAGTAACAACTTAATCCTCTCAATTAAATTGTTATTGACAATATTTATCATACAATGGTTTATCTAGTTATATTAGATGATAATAATAATTATTAATGGCTTTTACTCACAAACACTTCTCTCCTGAGGAGATGGTTGTTATCAATCAGAGCGTAGCTGAAGGCCTAAACTACGATCGTATTGCGGCCAAACTCTTAGCAGATTTTGGAAATAGTAAGAATCAATCAATCAATCAATCAACCAATCAATCATCATCATTCAATCAATCAATCAATATATTTGATAAAAATACTAACCAATTATAAATCTCAAATCTAGATCGCACTCCAAGGTCAATCCAGAATAAAGTTGAAAGGGAAAGAGCAGTTATCGAACTGGGCAATGTGAATGCTGGAGGAAGGAGAATGAGAGCACCTGCCAGACAAGCACCTGCAGTGCCCCTACCCGATGCACCTGCTGGACAAGTAGCTGAAGAACCTGAACATGCACATGAACCTGCTCCTGGGCCTGCACATGCACCTGCTCCTGCTCCTGCTCCTGCTCCTGCTCCTGGACCTGAACCTGCTCCTGCACCTGCTCCTGCTCCTGCTCCTGCTCCTGCTCCTGCACCTGCTCCTGCACCTGCTCCTGCACCTGCTCCTGTACCTGCTCCTGCACCTGCACATGAACCTGTGCTCGTACGTATTCCTCGCCAAGCTCGACGTGCCCCCCAACCTGCTCTAGTGATTGATGATGATACCCCTGCGTCACCCCCTCTCAAGTTCAGAAGGAGTGAGGAGAACATATATGATGATTATGATATGGATCCATTGGCAGAGGTCACCCAATCAATTGCCTCTCTCACCATCCACCCCTTCCACCATCTTTCTGGAGTGACTGGTTGCCCTGGTATTGTCAAGATCCATTATTGTTTTCCCTATGCCAACTTTAAGGTGGTCCAAGCTGTCCTTGGTGATAAGAAGGATACTGTAGAGGTGAGCCTGTCAACTAACAATGTTACCAGGGACTGTTGGGAAGGCATAGTTGACCAACATGAGATGGATCATATTGCCATCCCCAAGTCTAACCAACACATACTTGTGATCCCAATTGATCCGAGATACAAGGGCATAAGAGCAGTGACCAAAGACAACCATGGTCGTCGTTGGTGGGGAGTGATAATTGTGGCTGCTTCAAAGTCACTTAACAATGACAAATTGCAAGAGTATTTGCTTGAAAACAAAATTTAATAATAAATAGAATAATTTGAAACAAATGACATCTACCTGGGGTCCACTTTGAAGATATTTTTCGAAAAGTTGAAGGATGTCGACAAGATCTTAACTTTAAAGATTGTCACTTGTCTCGAGACATTGTTATAAGCAACTTATAATACATATACATATAAATAATGTCTTCACATGCATTGACAGTCCTATCTGCTATAATAGGTTGGGCTTACTTTGTATGTTGGTCATTATCATTTTATCCACAAGTAATTCTAAACTATAAAAGGAAGTCGTATGTATTAATATAGTACACGAGTCAATCAATCAATCAATGAACTAACATACATTGATAACAACAACAGAGTAATAGGTTTATCATTTGATTACTTGTTATTTAACATTACAGGTTATATATGTTACTCGATATACAATTGTGTTGTTTACTGGAGTCCTGTCGTCAGAGCTGAGTACCTACATAAGTTTGGTCCACCAATCCCTGTACAACCTAACGACATGTACGTAACTAGAATGCATGTGTTCAATCTCCCTCTCTCAATCACTAACTCATTCAATCAATCAATAGTGCATTCTCACTTCATGCTTTGTTATTGACGATCATAACGATTGGACAGTGTTTGATATATGAACGTCGCGATCAAAAGAACTCGATATATTCAATATTGATAGGTATTGGAATATGGATATCGATCATTATTGTGCTGGGCATAGGTGGTGGAGGAGTAGTCAACTGGCTATGGGTTGTAACATATCTCAGCTACGTCAAGTTGTTCATCACCTTTATCAAGTACGTGCCCCAAGCCTTTATGAACTATAAGAAGAAGAGCACCGATGGTTGGAGCATCGGCAATGTGCTACTGGACTTCTCCGGTGGTATCCTATCACTGTTACAGATGTTATTAGATGCTGTCAATGCAGGTAGGTGCACTCATTCAATCATTCATTCATTCAATCATGGACTAACTCACACAATTCAATCAATCAATCAATCAATCACATTCATTAGACAACTGGAAGGTATTCATTGGTGACCCGGTCAAGTTTGGCCTGTCAATATTTAGCATTGCATTTGATATTGTATTCATGATTCAGCACTATTGCTTGTACAAAGACGCTCATGGTGATGAGGATGGTTATCGTCAGATACAGACACCTCCACAACAGGACGAGATATCAAGACCATTGACAGAGGATGTAGATGTAGATGAAGCAGACGAGATTGGCGGATGAATGAGTGAGTCGATGGTTTCAATAATACAATGGATTCCAGGTTGATTGATTGATTAGGCAATATTTTTATTTATTATTATTAATAAGGGTTGTGCTATGACAATCCCGACAAACTCATTCGGACATTCAAGCCACAGTATTGTCTTAAACTGGAAGATCAATCCCATGTCCACGTCAGTGGTGGACATTCGTACAGAACAGCAGTGACGCCAGTCTGCAGGTCGAATGACAGCAGCCTGTAGAATATATTATTGTAGTCCTCATCTTTGTAGTTGTTGACAAGGTAGAGCATGTTGTTAAGGTAGTACACATATTGATCTTGGAAAGCGCCTTGTCCTTTCCGGATATATCCAACATGAGCGTGTCGATGTTGAAGCGATCCACACGGTTCAACACTGTATCGCCCAGACTGCCACCGACCAGATAGATGTACTTGTCACCATCGTAGCATGTCACTGCTGTTCTGTACGACGTCAAGGTATCAAAAGCGGCAGGCTGTCATTTCGATGGCGTTGACCATATCTATGTCATGACCGGGAGTGAATTCATCCGATATAGATTGACCAACAATGGAGTGACCAAGCTAGCTTGCAAAATTGTGCGTTGACGTCAAACCATGAATGTCTCATTTGTGTTCTTTCACTAAAGTTGTAAAGAGATACATATACATGACAGACAACAACAGGAGTAATAGTAATAATGATGATGAAGATAGATCAATGATATGTCAGATACATAAGAAGAAGGAGAAGTTCATTTGTTGGACTTGTAAGTTGTCGATATGCACTGTTTGTGTGTCCAATCATAATGGTCACAACATGAGTCATGTTGATTACATCAAGGAATGTTTGATGAAGAAGGAGTATCACGGATTGTGGTGCATGCCAAGGTTGGATCATCTCTGGAAGACACTTCAACAGTGCGTTGAGTCATATCAATCGTTGGAGGAGACACAGAAGGAGGTCAGTGATCACTTTGAACAACTGTTCAAACTGTTGATGGCACAGGAACACAAGATCAAGACACCAATCAATGTTCAAATGTCCCACATTCAATCAACAATCAACGACATCATCAATGAGATCAATGATCTCAATCACATCCTCAACATGTCACATCCAGTTGATAGCAACGACAACGAGGATCGGGACGTCCCAAGAGTGATCCAATCGATCCAATCATGTTCAACGATCAATCAGTTCATCAACACATTGTCATCAACTCAATCATTACAACAATCGGACAGTATCAGTGCACTCAGTGACAATGAACTGATGAAGATGATCAAGAATCACAATCATCTCATGGATGATGTGCAGTATGATATGGCTAAACTCAAAGCTCAATTGATCATTACCGACATTATCATGGTGAATGAAATCAAGGAGAAGATTCAATCATGCTTTGATCTCGTTGAGCCTGTCCAACATGTGACCGATCATCCATTCAACCATCACATCATCTCATTGAACGACAATGGATTCTCACTGTTCTCGCTGGAGACATCCAAATGGAGTTCAAGCCACAGTATTGTCTTAAACTGGAAGATCAATCCCATGTCCACGTCAGTTGTGTACGCACGTGGCCATGTATACCTGTTTGGCGGCATCGAATTAACTAGATACACCCGCATCTCACTCGATGACAACAATCAATGTTATGATGCCGAGATCGTTGGTGTCAGTGGTGGACGTTGCATATCGACATGCTACGATGGCGAAAAGTACATCTATCTGGTCGGTGGCAGTCTGGACGATCAGGTGTTGGACCGCGTCGATCGCTTCAACATCGATAGGCTCAAGTTTGATCATGTTGGAATATACCCAAAAGAAGGCGAATGCTACAACAAATACGCGTACTACCATAACAACAAGCTATACCTTGTCAATAACTATGAAGAGGCCAGAGGAATGGTCTTCAAGCTCCTCTCGTTCGACCTGCTGACTGGTGTCACTGAGGTTCTGCACGACAACAAGACATCAAGTTCGGGGGCATGTTGTTTCGATGGCGTTGACAACATCTATGTCAGACCGACGATGAATTCATTCGATATAGGTTGTCGAGCAAGTTGGTGACCAAGATGGCGAAGTGTCCTTGCAGGTATGGTAAGCTGGAGTACGATCCATCATTTGGAATATTCAGCATCTATGGAAAGGGTAGCAACCATCAATACTCAATCAAAGATAACAAGTGGACATTGATCAATGACAATGACCGAAAGATTGAAAGATTCAGTAATCTATGTATGATTTGCGATTGATTGATTGATAGTAATTACGAACAATAAAGTGGTCCAGGCCTCGTTCTTCGCATTCATTCATCAACGTTCGTTTGTTCAATTTGTCAAAGAGATATTTTGAGAGATAGATATTGAATGGCTGACAATAATGATGAAGATAGGTCATTGATATGTCAGAAGCATAAGAAGAAGGAGAAGATCATTTGTTGGACATGCAAGATGTCGATGTGCACTGTTTGTGTGTCCAATCACGGTGGACATGAGATGAGTCATGTTGATCACATCAAGGAATGTTTGATGAAGAATGAGTATGATGGATTGTGGTGCATGCCAAGGTTGAATCATCTCTGGAAGACACTTCAACATCTATTACAAGACGTCCAATGAGTTCACCAGAATCACATTGTCCAGCAAGTTGTTGACCAGACTGGAAAGGTGTCCAATCAAAACTGGAAAGCTGGAATATGATCCTTTATATGGTTTATACAACATATTTGATAATAATTCCGACCATCGATACTCAATCCAAGATCAGTCCCCCGACCACATCAGTGGTGTACGCTCGCGGCCATGTCTACATGTTTGGCGGAGCTCAATCACCGGCGAGATTCACGCGCGTTGCCCTCAGTTACAACAACAACATTCAAACCTATAATGGCGAGATCTATGGCATCGATGGTGGATACGCAATATCTGCTAACTTCGACGGTGGCAAGTACATCTATCTGGTCGGTGGCAGTCTGTACCAAAAGGTGCTTCACCGTGTAGACCGCTTCAACATCGACACGCTCAAGTTCAACCATGTTGGTACCTTCCACCAATCAGGAATAGGGTTTGTAGGCCAATGCGAGAACAAGTACGCGTACTACCTCAACAACAAACTCTACCTGGTCAATCAATATGTTGGGACCAGCGCAATGGAATACAGACTCCTCTCATTCGACGTGAAGACGGGAGCCAGATTGGTTATCCTCGAGAAGTTCTTGAGGCATACATTGACAGGCTGTTGTTTCGATGGCGTGGATAACATCTATTTCAGGATGCATGAGGAATTCATACGAGTATCATTGTCCAGCAAGTTGGAGACCAAACTGGCACCATGTCCAATCAGAAATGGAAAGTTGGAGTATGATTCATCGTTTGGAATATACAGCATCTATGATAATCATAACGACTATCGCTACTCAATCCAAGATAACAAGTGGACATTGATCCTAGAGAATAACCGGTTAAATGATCGAACTAATTCAAGATACTCTGGACATTGTTTGATACTTGATTAAATGATCCATTCATTATGTTTAATTAATCTTTCATTCATTATATCTGCGATAGTTCAGGTCTGGATGTTTGTATACATTGCCAAGGAAGATTCCAGGTTGAAGCATTGTATCAATGAGTGCATTGTCAGTTTTGGATACTTGAATGAAAGTGAAATCAGACAGATCAAGTATATTGGTGACGCAGGTCTTGAGATTGTTGATGAACATCTCCATATGTTTGTCAAAATGTTGATCGTCAGGCTCATAGCAACCAATAAGGATTAGTGTGTCAATCTGTCGACCAAGCAATGGTACGTGACAAAATGTCCGCAAAGACACATGTTGAACTGGACACGAACCATCTTGGAGTAGGTATTCAAGGAAGGGTTGATGATGTGCATCATTATTGCTCTCCAAGCTATTGTGGAATATGAATGTGTGGAGCGATGGTCGTCGTCTCATGAACAGGATGAGCTCCTCATAGAACGTCTTGGCCACGCCCTCATACATTATATCCGCATGGTCATGTCCACAGCTTGGTGAGAAGTCAAAAGTGAGCGATTCGAGGTGCATCAAGAGATCCATGTCTCTAAAGAACATCTTGGCTTGTCCAACTGCATACAATGAGTAGCCAGAGTGGCCAGCGCCACATTCATCGAAGATTGTGAGAGATGTGATGTTGGTGCAACGTCCAAATAGCTCACTTGCCAGCTGACAATCATATTCGTCTTTCTCCCGACAGTAATCACGATAACAGCATATATTTGGATTTAGTAACCTGAGATCCAATGTCTTGATCAGATTGTTGTCGTGTGGAATATGATCAATCAAAGAATAGATAGCTCCTGAATACAGATAATTGATCACCATCGAGTCGATTGAATGTGGGTCCAGTGCATATTGCCTAATGAGAGTTGCCAGCTGTCCTGAACTTGGTTGAGACTTTGGCCACACTTGTTAGTGATTGTAAAAATAGACTTGGCAATGTCCTTCTTGTGATCAAGTGGTTGACTTGATGAATATGACTGTAGTTCTTTCGCTTGTATGCCAGAATTGCTTTCTTCTCTCCTCTTTCTCTCCCTCTCCTCATCGTGGTCATCACCGACCAGTATGATCGAGGTGATGTGTTGAGTGAGATGCAATGAGTACTTGGTGTCGAGATGTTTGGTGACATCATACAATGAATCAATCATTGCAATGTCATCATAGTCTTCGGGTCTAGCGTCAAAGTCGCTGTCATGATCACATTTAGATTGAGAATGGACATTTATTATCAGCTGTGTGTTCAGCGATCTGATCATTGAATGAATTGACCAGCTGACCAATGACAATGACCTAGACCAATTCTTGTCAACATCATCAGATGTGCGCATCAACCTAATGATTGAGCTTATTAGTAATGGGTTGAGCATTGGTGTATCTGTATTTATATCATTAATTTGATCATTAGATTCATTCATTTGAATTCAAGTTTGAGGACAGCCCTCATATCATTCACCATTCTTATAATAAAAAATTAATAATAAATAAACAATGGATACAAATAATGATGACGGGAGATCAATGATATGTAAGAAGCATAATAGGAAGGAGAGGTTCATTTGTTGGACTTGTAAGTTGTCGATGTGCACTGTTTGTGTGTCCAATCACAATGGTCACAACATGAGTCATGTTGATCATATTAAGGAATGTTTGATGAAGAAGGAGTATGATGGATTGTGGTGCATGCCAAGGTTGAATCATCTCTGGAAGACACTTCAACAATGTGTTCAATCATATCAATCATTGGAGGAGACACACAAAGAGGTCAGTGATCACTTTGAACAACTGTTCAAACTGTTGATGGCACAGGAACACAAGATCAAGACACCAATCAATGTTCAAATGTCACACATTCAATCAACTATCAACAACATCATCAATGAGATCAATGATCTCAATCACATCCTCAACATGACACTACCAACAGATAGTAACAATGAGAGCAAAGTCAAAGAGGACCAAGATGTCTCCAAAGTAATTGGATCAATCGAATCATGTTCAACGATCAATCAGTTCATCATCACATTGTCATTAACTCAATCACAACAATCAGACAGTATCAATGCACTCAGTGACAATGAACTGATGACGATGATCAAGAATCACAATCAACTCATGAATGATGTGAAGTATGATATCACTCAATTCAAAGCTAAATCAATGAAAGATGAGATAATCAAGTTGAATGACGCCAAGGATAAGATCAAATCATGTCTTGGTATCATTGAGAAAGTTCAACGACCAGCAGTTCAGCACTCATTCAAACATGACATTATCAATCTGCTGGACAAAGGATACTGTGTATTCTCATTGGACACATTCAAATGGAAGCCGTACCAGAATGTATTCCAGAATGTACTGTCGATGAGGGTGGACAACCCTACACTATCAACTGTTTACGCCCGCGGCCATATCTACCAGTTTGGAGGTGACTTCACACCAACTCGCTACATTCGATTGTCACTGGCTGACAAAAGCTGTTATGATGGCAAAATTGTTGGAGTCAATGGTGGCTACTATATATCATCATGCTTTGATGGTGATAAGTACATCTATCTCGTTGGTGGAATAATGGACTACAAGAGATTGAATCGCGTGGATCGCTTCAACATTGACACTCACCAATTCGAACATGTTTGTCAGCTACAAACTCCACTTGTCAATGATAAAGGTGGCTTGCACTGCCACAAGAACAACAAACTCTACATGGTCAATAAACTGAATGATAGTGGCTACCAAGTCAAGACGTTCGACTTGTTGACACACGCCCAAGTCTTCCTGCTAGAGGTAACTTCTAATGGTAGTCAATATCAAAACGATTGTTTCGATGGCATTGATAACATCTACATCAAGACCTCTAGTGCATTCCATCGGATCACTCTGTCAAGCAAGCAAAAGACCATACTAGCTAAGTGTCCAGCATCAAATAACAATTTATTGTATGACCCAACACTAGGTAGAATCTTCAGCATAGGTGGAAAGAATGACAACTATCAATACTCTGTTCAGAATGACAAGTGGGTATTGATCAAGGACAATGGCAGGATGAAGACTCGAGTGGCCCCATTCTGTTTGCTTAGCAGTTATAATTGAGTATAAATAAAGTCCCGTTCCTTCCCTGGGAAGTTGAGGGAACACCTAAGCAAACAAATGAAACCTATATTTACTATCATTCGAAAGTTTAGTCAGAGATACCAGTCCATCAACATTACAATGGTCAGCTGGAGTATGATCCATCGTATGGAATATACTACCACAACCACATGCTCTACTTGGTCAATGAGTACGAGAGGGTCAGTTCCTATAAGGGCTATAAACTCTTCTCGTTCAACCTGCAGACGGGGGCCACAGTCGTTCTCCTCGACAGCTTCTTGAAGAATACATTGACAGGCAGTTGCTTCGACCGTATTGACAACATCTATTTCAAGATGCCCGATGAATTCATCCGTGTATCATTGACAATCAAGTTGGTTACCAAGTTGGAAAAATGTCCAGAAATGGAAAGCTGGAGTATGATCCAACATTTGGAATATACAGCATCTTTGGAAATGAAAACTATCGATACTCAATCCAAGATAACAAGTGGACATTTATCAAAGACATTGACCAACAAGATAGAACCAATTCAAAATTCTCATCTCAATGTTTGATTCTAGATTAAACCATCCACAATACATTCAATCATTCAATCAATCAAGTCATTAATAATTATTTTAATTGAAATGACATCTTGTGGAAACACTAAATATAGTAATATTAATTGTATTAATAATTATTTGAATCATAGGGTAATTTTTATTAACTATTTAAAAATTCGCGCCAAATTTCAAATTTATTGAGTTTAACGGAATTTGAATAGTGATGATTTTGGAGGGAACTCAATTTAGGTGATGAGGTAGGGGGTGTGAAGTTGGACTTCCCTCCTTTCTCTCTCTCTCCATCCATCGATCCAACCAACCAACCAACATTTATTACTTCATTATTATACTTTACAAATACATACATAACAAAGTAATACTTCTTCACACATACAAACAACATTGAATGTATATATAACTATCGCCTTGTCAACGTTAAGAAGTTTATAAACAACAACAATAATAATAATAGTCAACTACAGTCAGACTGATAGCAACAACAGCAGCAGGGTTCATATTTAAGTATATATCTCCTAGTTTAGTTTATCATCAGCATTAGCATCAGCATCATCTCTTCTTCACATCTTTATATAATATATTTAATAATAGATTATATACTTTAATTCATTTACCCTATTCAATCAATTCAATCATATCAATCAATAATATAACAACAATAACAACAAAACAATGACAACTACAGTAGTACAATCTTCCGTACCATTCATTGAGATCATCAATGCATCAAAGGCAAAGAATGCTAGAATACCATTGAAGCCAGACCAAGGTGAAAAGTTCACCTTTGGAAGGTATGTAGTATACATCACATGATCACTTCATTCATTCATACATATACTAACTCAATCAATCAATCAATCAAACATATACATATAGACTCTATGAGAATGACATTAGAATACACAAGCCAGGTGTATCAGATTTACATACGTCCATCACTCAGGACAGCAAAGGAAATGTGAGTGTCGCCGCGACATTCAATCAATCAATCATCCTTCCAATCAGTCCCTTACTAACATGTTCAATTCAATTGAACAATACCATAGGTCATCTTGAAGAATGAGAGCCAGACCAATGGTACCTACTTGAACAAGGTCAATGTTGTCAAGCCAACCAAACTGAAGGATGGCGACATCATCACCATCTCTGGATCAGACTTCCGTTTCAACACCTCCAACTTGAGCTCAACACCAAAGACTCCAAAGCTCTCCAAGCTACCAATGAGCGAGAGGGTATGTTCATTCAATCACTCAATCAGAACGGTCTGTTACACTCATACTAACATCATCATCATTGTTAACGACAAAATAGAAGAAGATTCCCTTGCAGTCTCTGGAGAACTTGATGGACACAAGCTCAACGTCCTCTACTACATCATCCAAGGGCAGCGTGAAGCCACCCTCGACCGTTGCCAAGATCAACGTGTCCAAGGACGCCCAGCTCAAGAAGCAACCAATCAAGATGCAACCCATCGTAGACACAAGTGTCGCTGACGTCACTGCCAACGACATTGACAATGAGGACAGCCAGATGAACGATGAGAACAACGAGAATGACATCTCGTTGGCCGCCACCGATGACACATCCTTCATCTCATCGTCTTCTCGTGCCGCCACTTCTGTCAGCAGCACACCAAACAACACTAGCCGACTGTCGGTCGGCTCGTCCAACGCCACTGGCAACAGCTCATACTTGATGACGCCACAGACACCCAGCTCGGTGTCGTCGCCACCCAGCACACCCTACTCTGCCTACTCCAACAACAACAACACATCGGTTATGTCGGCTGCTGGCATGTTCAACACTCCAATGAGCGTGAACAACAACGTCGTCAAGAAGCAGGTGCAGATCAATGCACTGACTCCCTCGTCCAAGCCTCTGCGTGGCATTCTCAAGACGCCACACCCCAAGATGGCCATCGAGATGACACCCGACACCCCAGTGCAGAGACCATCGCTCAACACTACATCCATCCCAATGCAGTTGCTGCCCAAGGCAACGCCAGTCAAGACATTGGCGACTCCACCATCGACCCCCGCCACCCTTGGCAAGACACCAATGTCCTCCAAGAAGCTGACCATCGCAAGGTCACCAATGAACCAGACTCTCGAGTTTGACAAGGCCGAGGCCATCATCAATGAGGCCGAGTTCGAGGCCGAGCCCGATGTCGAGGTCGAGCCAGAGGAGCATGTCGAGGAGGAGCAGAACTTTGAGCACCTCCACGAGCAGATGGAGGAGGAGGCCGAGGTTGAGGCCGATGCTGAGGAGCAGGTCGCTGCTTCCAAGTCCAAGAAGAAGGCCAACAAGAAGAAGCCCGCCAAGAAGCCATTGGTCATCGTGCCACGTCACACTCCAGACGAGAAGAACCTCAACAAGCCCAACCTGTTTGTCCGTGGCGCTCACCTCGAGTCTCCCATGGCCACTCCAATCCAGAAGCAGTCAAAGACTGTTGCCGGCGAGAAGCGCACAGTCCGCCAGCAGATCGCCCAGGAGGACACTGACCACGTCATGTTTGACGACACCTTTGCCACTGACGCCTCAACAATGTTCACTCCAGCTCGTCGCGCCAGCATGCTGCAAACACCCAAGTCTGGCAAGTCTGTTGCCACCCCAACCTCTGTGTCCAGATTATCATCAACCTTCCTCACTCCATCGGTCGTTACCACCGCCACCGCCACACCCAAGTCTGCCACTCCAGTCAACTTGTTCAACTCGCTGTCCAGCAGCGTGTTTGCAACTCCAAAGAGTGCCGCCAAGTCCGACGTCAATGAAGAGGTCGAGTTGGAGGAGCAAGACGATGCTGAGGACGAGATCGAGGTCGAAGTCGAGGAGATGGGCGAGGACCAAGACCTCGAAACCGACGAGGTCGAGGAGGATCTTGAAGAGGCTCAAGAAGACGATGAAGCCGCCGATCAAGATGACCAAGTCGACGCTGAAGAGGATGAGGCTGAGCTGGCTGTTGAAGCCGCTGACCAAGACGATCAAGTCGAGGAAGACGATGAGGAGCTAGCCCTCGAGGAAGAGGAGGACGTTGAGGCCGCCGATCAAGAGGACCAAGTCGATGAAGACGAGGCCGAGCTTGCTACCGAAGAAGACCAAGAGGACGCTGAGGCCGCCGATCAAGAGCAGGAGTTTGCCGTCGAAGACCAAGAGGACGCCGAAGTTGCCGATCAAGACGACCAAGTCGACGATGATGAGGCCGAGTTTGCCGTTGAGGAGGATGAGGTTGCTGAAGCCGATGACCAAGACGAGCAAGTCGACGCCGAAGAAGACGAGGCCGAGCTGGCTGTTGAGGAAGATGAGCTGGCCGCCGAAGAAGCTGAAGCCGCTGACCAAGACGATCAAGTCGAGGAAGAGGAGGTGGACACTGAAGCAGCCGACCAAGACCAACTCGATGCCGAAGACGAGGACGAGATGATTGATGAGGAGGACGCCGAAGTCGCCGATCAAGAACAACTCGAGGAGGATGCTGAAGCCGAGCTCGCCGTCGAGGAGGAGGACACTGATGCCGTCAACCAACTGATCGAGGAAGACGAGGAGGATGCTGAAGTCGCCGACCAAGACGATCAAGTTGAGGAGGAGGACGATGAAGCCCTAACCGCCGACGAGGAACTTGTTGAGCAAGACGACGAGCAAGATGAAGTCGAACAAGCAGAAGTCGAGCAAGACGAGGAGCTCCAGGCCGAGGAAGACGAGCTTGCCCTCGAAGAACAAGAGGACGCTGACGAGCTTGCCGAAGATGATGTCGACCAAGACGATCAAGTCGAGGAGGAGGAGGAGGAGGAGGACGCCGAAGCCCTTGAATCTGATGAAGAACAAGAAAAGAATGCTCTCGCCGCTGAGGCTGATGTCGAGGATGCCGAACAAGAGGAGGCCATGGACGACCAGGAGGCTGAGGCCGACGAGTTGATGCAGCAAGATGAGGAGACTGCTCAAGAGTTCGAGGAGGAGGATGAGCTCATCGAGGAGGAGGAGGAGGAGGAAGTCGAAGGTGATGAGGATATTGCCGAGGACTATGAAATGGTCGACGAGGAACAAGTCCAATACGATGTCCCTCAAACACCAGACAAGTTCTCCACTCCCTCCAAGTCACAAACTCCAGCCAAGGCTCAAACCCCAGCCAAGGTGCAGACTCCAGCCAAGGTGCAGACCCCAGCCAAGGCACAGACCCCAGCCAAGGTACAGACCCCAGCCAAGGTACAGACCCCAGCTAAGGCACAGACTCCAGCCAAGACCCCTGTCAAGACTCCAGTCAAGGAGCAGACTCCAACCAAGGTCCAGACTCCAGCCAAGACCCCTGTCAAGACTCAGACTCCAGTCAAGGTCCAGACCCCAGTGATGTCAACACCTGATAGGACTATGACTCCTGCCAAGTCACCTGCTCCATCTCACAAGAAGAGAAAGAATGTGGAGGAGGATGAGACCATCCAAGATCAGGTCGTCACCAAGAAGACAAAGAAGTCTAAGAAGGTGGTCGAGCCTGAGGTTGAGGAGCAGGTCGAGGAGCAAGAGGAGGTTGTCATTGAACCACCTAAGTCCAGGAAGTCTACCACTACCAAGAAGTCCAAAAAGGTGGTCGAGCCCGAGCCAGAGCCTGAGGTCGAGGAGGAGGTCGAGGAGCCAATCGTAGAGGTCAAGTCAAAGGCCAGAAAGTCTTTAAGATCTAAGAAGGCTGTTGTCGAGCCAGAGCCAGAGCCTGAGGAGGAGCAAGAGACTGTACAGGAGGAGGAAGAGGAGGTTGTCGTACCAACCTCCAAGTCCAGGAAGTCAACTGCCACCAAGAAGTCCAAGAAGGTGGTCGAGCCCGAGCCAGAGCCTGAGTTGGAAGAGGAGGTTGAGGAGCCAATCGTAGAGGTAACCAAACCAAGAAAGTCCTTATCCAGAAGATCAAAGAAGGCTGTTGTTGAGCCAGAGCCAGAGCCTGAGGTGGAAGAGCAAGAGACTGTTGAGGAGGAGGTTGCCGTATCCAAGTCCAGGAAGTCCACAGCTACCAAGAAGTCAAAGAAGATGGTCGAGCCAGAACCAGAGGTGGAAGAGGAGGTAGTTGAGCCAGAGCCTGTCATAGAGGCAAAGGGCAGGAAGTCCACCACCACMAAGAAGTCCAAGAAGGTKGYCGAGCCMGAGCCAGAGCCTGAGGTGGAGGTRGAGGAGGTTGAGCCCGAGACCAAGAAACGCTCCAAGAAGTCCACTTCACTCAAGAGATCGAAGCGCGATGAAGAGGAGGAGTCCGAGGTTGTTGAGACAAAGTCATCAAGGTCGTCCAAGAAGGCCAGAACTGTCGAGCCAGAAGTGGTGGTGCCAACCAAGTCTACCAAGACCAAGGCCAAGAGAACAGTAGAGGTCGTGGCTGAGCCCGAACCTGAAGTAGAAGTGGCAACCAAAGCCAAGGCTACTAGGTCCAAGGCTTCCAGGAAGACAGTAGAGGAGGTCGCCCCAGAGCCAGAGGTCAAGCCAACCAAGAGCTCAAAGTCATCCAAGTCAAAGAAGATTGTGGAAGAGGAGGAGCAGGAGGAGGTCATCGAGAAGACCACCAAGTCGACCAAGTCTGCCAAGTCTTCAAAGTCAAAGGTAGTTGAGATGGACGAACAGGATGAAGTCGAGGAAGACAAGCCAAAGAAGAAGTCATCATCAAAGAAGACCGCCAGCAAGAGCAAGGTAGCCCATGTCGAGGAAGTCGAGGAGGAGGAGATGGTCGAGGATGTGAAGCCAAGGAAATCAAAGGCAAGCATCAGCAGATACGACGCCGAGATTCTCAAGTCAGTCAGCTCGAGGACCAGAAGGGCCAAGGAGGCAGAGGAGGCCGAGGAGGAGATTGCTTCAAAGAAGTCCACCCGCAAGACCAGGACCAAGTAGTCATTCATCTCGATCAATATATTTACAACAATGTACAATCAATAATTTAAACAAACAAATGAACAATCTTTAAAATGATGGTTATCATTCCATAACAAATAGTCGGTCTTGATTTAATCAAATCCATGCCAAACTTGAATTACTTTATTATTCATCAATCAACCTTTCTAATCTCGTATTAAACATAAAGGGGCTGAGCGACTCTTCATCCTATCATTGTCCTTGATCAATGTCCACTTGTTATCTTGAATTGAGTACCGATAGTTGTCGTTCTTTCCAAATGAACTTCTCCTTCTTCTTATGCCTCTGACATATCATTGACCAATCTTCATCATTGTCATTATTAGTGTTGTTGTCTGACATCATTTCTATCTTATAACTGAATAAATGGCTGAAGTTTAATGGCAAGATCATTTCTTATTTTGTGACTCTATCTTTTGAAAATAATGAAAGGTTGAATATCAAACTCGTTAAAGAAGCACTTTTACAGGCCGTTGAGATCAACTTATAACATTTGATTTGAATATCAATCGTAATTATTCCATCATATATCTCTTGTCTATGTATCTCTGTATCATTTACACCAGCGATTGATGAACATGATCTAGTTGCATTCAAACTTGTCTCAAATTCCTGACGCATTGAGTTACATTCAAACATTTTCGGGATAATGTATATTAGATGACATAAAATTATGCTTACTACTACTCTGAACAATAACTTTGACATCTTATGATATTAATAACGTAATTAATTTACTTGATTGAGTGTCAGTGACAGTTGATGATGATCATGTTTTTATGATTGTTAACGTACGTATGTTTGATTGATTGATTGATTGGTTGATTAACTAACTGATTGTCAGTGTAAGTGAGGGAAGGTCACTCAAACATGCAAGGTCCACCACCCCAGGCACCAAGGTGAAGATCATTTATGGGTTTCAAAAGTGGACCTAATACTCCAGTCAGTCTCCAACTATATGGACAACTAATAAAACATATGAATGTTTTTGTCCAACAATAGAAATAACAACCACTTATGTCTCTTGCCCCATGAGTTCCTGTGTCTTGTTTTAACATGATGATCATATTCTTTGTCGTCGTCATTATATTATCTTCTATACATGTCGTATCTATGCTTTATTGAGTATGAGTATGAGTTGCGTTGCTTTGTGGTCTGGTAAAACACATATGAATTAACAGTGGAATCATAATGAGCAAACAGAGATATTCAAAGGGCTCTATGGCCATCTTATAACAATCTACTTTCATACTATAAGAAACGGCCATATCATTTATATGTCGCCGTTCTCTTTCTATATCTTCTATACTTGCGAATGATGTACATGATCTAGTTTCTTTCAAACTATTAATCTCCCCAGCCGATGAGTAACAATCGATCACTTTCGGGACACTGTACGCTAGATAACATATAAATATGAACAAGATTGTGTTCACTGTCTTTGACATATATCATGTATTGATGGCTTATCTTGATTGAGCATCAGTGAGTTGATCTTTATATTGATGATGATCATTGTTCGTACGAACCTATTATATATGTTTGATTGATTAGTTTGTAAATGAGGGAAAGACTCTGGAACTTGCTTGAATTTGGGTAAAGAAGACGACGATTTGAAAGTATGAATGGATGGGCATTTATGGTTCAACAACAAAGCACAATTACTAATGTATTAAACATAAAGGCTTTGAACGACTCTTCATCATATCATTGTCCTTGATCAATGTCCATTTGTTATCTTGAATTGAATAAAGATGATTTTGTTCTTTCCACCAATGCTGAAGATGACACCATCAGCTGTTGCATCATACATTAAGTTGCCAAATGATGGACACTGCTCAAGCACGGTCACCAGTTTGCTTGACAGTGTGACTCGATGGAATTCATTGGTCTTTACAAAGAAGTTGTCAATGCCATCGAAACATGCGCTTTCAATGTATTCAGTGCATTTTATCTCCATCAGTATTTCATTGGTTCGGGTCAACAAGTCGAACGTCTTGATTCTGTAACCAATACAAGTAACATTGTTACCATCAACCATCGATTCAACCAGGTAGAGTTTGTTGTTGTGGTGGTGCAAACCATCGGTAAATGGTGTTAGTAACTCGCCAACATGCTCGAATTGGAGAGTGTCAATGTTGAAGCGATCCACGCTTTTCTGTCTCTTTATGTCGCCGAGTCCACCAACGAGATAGATATACTTGTCACCATCGAAGCATGTTGATATATAGGAGCCACCACTGACTCCAACAATGTTGGCATCATGACACTTATTATCGGCAAGTGAGATACGAGTGTATCGTTTTGGTGAGGTGTGACCTCCAAACTGGTAGATGTGGCCACGAATGTAAACTGTTGCTGTTGAACTATGGTCCACCTTCCTAGGCAATACATTCCTGTGCGATGTCCATTTGAATGTGTCCAATGAGAGTACAGAGTATCCATTGTCAATCATATTGATGATGTGATTGTTGAATTGGTGTTGAACTGCTGGTTGTTGAACTTGTTCAATCAGACCAAGACATGATTTGATCTTATTCTTGGTGTCATTCAACTTGATCATCTCATTCTTCATTGATTGTGTTTGGAGGTGAGTGGGAGTTTGGTGAGATCATACTGCACATCATTCATGAGTTGATTGTGATTCTTTATCATCATCATCAGTTCATTGTCGTTGATTGTGTCTGTATCTTTGTCTGATTGTTGTGATTGAATTGATGACAATGTGTTGATGAACTGATTGATCGTTGAGCATGATTTGATTGATCCAATCACTTCAGATACATCCTGGTCATCGTTAACTTTGTTGTTGTTGTTATCAATTGGATGTGACATGTTGAGGATGTGATTGACATCGCTGATCTCATTGATGATGTTGTTGATAGTGATTGAATGTGTGACATTTGAACATTGATTGGTATCTTGATCTTGTGTTCCTGTGCCATCAACAGTTTGAACAGTTGTTCAAAGTGATCACTGACCTCTTTGTGTGTCTCCTCCAATGATTGATATGACTCAACACACTGCTGAAGTGTCCTCCAGAGATGATTCAACCTTGGCATGCACCACAATCCATCATATTCCTTCTTCATCAAACACTTCTTGATGTGATCAACATGACTCATCTCATGTCCACTGTGATCGGACACACAAACAGTGCACATCGTCAACTTGCATGTCCAACAAATGACCTTCTCCTTCTTCTTATGCTTCTGACATATCATTGATCTATTAACATTATTATTATTATTATTAATATTGTTGTTGATGTCTGACATCATCACCTATGTATGTATATTTATCTCTGTCTATGTTATTACAACATTGAATGAATTTGAATGAACGAACGAATGTTAATGAGTGTGTGAGTCTTCACGTCGTTGAGTGAACATCATTTTAGTACAGTGCTTTATTGAGTTTGAGCTTGAGGGGCGTTTCTTTGTTGTGCGTATTGAATAAACAAAGCAAGGCCAAGGATCTTAATGAGACTTAACAAGGGCTCATTGGACATTTTGTGACACTTCATTCGAAGATTAAACGTAAGGATACTATCATGTATCTCTTGTTTTAGTATCTCATCTTTATCCTCTGTGACACCAGCAATTGATGTACATAATCTTGTTACATTCAAACGATCCTTAGATTCCTTTAGCATGGAGTCACATTCATTCGCTATCGGGATAATGAACATTAGATAACATAGAAATATGGTTGCTATTACTGTGTACAATAACTTTGACATAATATAATATATAAAATACTTTATAATAGATTGGATTGAGTCAGTGAGTGTATATATTGATAATGTAATAATGATTGTTATATAACGTACATGTTTGATTGATTGATTGATTAATAGTCAATGTAATTGAGGGAATGAACTTCAAACATTCAAGGTCCACGACAACCCCAGGCATTTTTGTGAAGCTAATTTTTGGGTTCCAATCCCGGGATTTTAACTGAGGCTCTTCATCTCAATGTCCAGACACGAGTCTACATGTGGATAATGTTAATCGAATGAATCAATAGCCTATGTCTCTTGAGCCAGTCAGTTCCTGTCTCATCTTCTATTGAGTATCTGTGCTTTATTGAGTGGCGATTCTTTGTGATCCGACATAAATAAAAAATGTTGGAACGAATATGAGCGAACAAAGATATTGAAAGGAATCTATGATCAGCATATTACATTGAGCTTTCATATCATATGAAGCGACCATATCATTTATATCTCGTCTTTCACTTTGAATGTCTTTTATGCTTGCGAATGATGAACATGTTCTTGTTTCATTTGATCTATTAATCTCCCTAACCGATGAGTAGCAATCGGTCACTTTCGGGACAATGTACGCTAGATATAAACATAAAAGATAGGCTGATAATGTCAATACTAACCTAGTAGTCATATCAAGATTATCTAGTCTATTGCTATATTCTTGATTGAGTGTAAGTGAGTTGATCTATAAATTGATGATAATGAATGATGATGATCATAATGCTATCATCGTACGCACCTTATAAATATAAATGTAATAATGATATTCTTTTTTGATTGATTGTAAATGGGAAGGACCCTGGGAACTGATGAATGTGGGTGATGATGATCTGATTGTATTGATGGATAGTTGGGCATTTATCGTTAAATTATTACAAACTTTTAATATTAATTATTAATAATTGATTTAGTCAGTGAGTGTATCTTTGTATCAATCATGATGATTAATTATATTTGAAGGTATGTATGGGTTGGCAACTTATGGTTCAACAACAAAGCCACTCACTATAACTGACTAATCACGTATCAAAAAGAAAGGTCTTAGGCGACTCCTTATCCTATCATTGTCATTGATCAATGTCCACTTGTTAGCTTGAATTGAATATTGATAATTGTCATTCTTTCCACCAATGCTGAAGATGACACCAAGTGTTCCATCATACATAATTATGCCATTTGTATATACTGGACACTGCTCAAGGACAGTCATCTGCTTGCTGGACAGTGTGACTTGTCGGAATGAATCACTGGTCTTGATGAATATGTTGTCAATGCCATCGAAACATGCGCCCTGAACATAATCTAGGCCTTTTATCTCAATCAGGATATCATTGGTGCGGGTCAACTAAGTCGAACGTCTTGATTCTGTAACCATAATATCTGAAATTGATTTCATCCAACATCGATTCAACAATGTAGAGCTTGTTGTTGTGGTGGTGCACGCTTCCATATCCTTCGTTAAATGGTAACTGTAACTTGCCAAATTGCTCGAATTGGAGAGTGTCAATGTTGAAGCGATCCACAAGAGTCGTGCCTTTGGTTCCACCGACGAGATAGATATACTTGTCACCATCGAAGCATAATGATATATCGGAGCCGCCACTGACTCCAACTATGTCTGCTTCATAACTGCTATTATCGGCAAGTGAGATTCGAGAATCGTGTTGGTGACGAGCTACCTCCAAACTGGTAGATGTGACCACGAGCGTAAACACATTCTGTTGAGAAATGGTCCACCCTCCTTGGCAATACCTTCTTGTGCGTTGTCCATTTGAATGTGTCCAGTGAGAGCAATGAGAATCCATCGTCAATCATATTGATGTGATTGTTGAACGGGTGTTGAACTGCTGGTTGTTGAACTTGTTCAATGAGACCAAGACATGATTTGATCTTATTCTTGGTGTCATTCAACTTGATCATCTCATTCTTCATTGATTGTGTTTGGAGTTTGGTGAGATCATACTGCACGTCATTCATGTGTTGGTTGTGATTCTTGATCATCATCATCAGTTCATTGTCATTGATTGCGTCTGTATCCTTCTCTGATTGTTGTGATTGAGTTGATGACAATTTGCTGATGAACTGATTGATCGTTGAACATGATAGGATTGATCCAATCACTTCAGATACATCATGAACCATGTTGGCTTGGTTGCTGTTGCTATCTGTTTGATGTGACATGTTGAGGATGTGATTGAGATCATTGATCTCATCGATGATGTTGTTATTTGTTGATTGAATGTGTGACATTTGAACATTGATTGGTGTCTTGATCTTGTGCTCCTGTGCCATCAACAGTTTGAACAGTTGCTCAAAGTGATCACTCACCTCCTTGTGTGTCTGTTCCAATGATTGATACGACTCAACGCACTGTTGAAGTGTCTTCCAGAGATGATTCAACCTTGGCATGCACCACAATCCATCATACTCCTTCTTCATCAAACACTCCTTGATGTGATCAACATGACTCATATCATGACCTCTCTGATTAGACATACTCACAGTGCACATCGACATCTTGCAAGTCCAACAAATGACCTTCTCCTTCTTCTTATGCTTCTCACACATCATTGATATCACTTCATCATTATCATCATCATTATTATTATTATTATTGTTGTTGTTGTTGTCTGACATCATGATCTAACATATATACATTATGTATCTGTCTCTCTTTATCTCTGTTATCGACTTGAAGCAACTGTTTCTTTTGGTGTATTTGATAGATTCTGAATGTTACATGCTAATGGGTGTTGGCAAACCTATTGATGATAAGCATCTTAAGCTCATTCCAAGAATCGACCGTACCACCAATACGCATCTGGCACAGGTACTTGTAGTTAATGACAGCTGCGGCGAATTGGAGAAGGGACTTGTGTGGTACGATGATCTCCACCAACTGGATCCAAGTAACAACACTGCCATCGTCTGGATTAAACTTGTGAAGGCCAGAGGACTTCCCATGCTCCTTGAACCAATAGTGAAACTCTGCTGCAGGTCTACTTTCGACGTCACGCTTGTATGCCTCGGCAGGCGTGCAAACAAATAAGAGCGTCAAGCTAGCCAACTTTGCGACGTACTTTTGGCAGTGCTCTCTGACATCATCCACAAGTTGAAGATACTGAACTACCTCAGCCCTGCGTATATACTTCATCTTCTTGGAAACATCGTCGGAGTCAATGATTCGGGGCACCAAAGTGGAGGTATGAGTTACACCAACACGCCACTTGATAGGCGAAACCCCGTCGTCAACCATGTTATAGATCGGCTTCAAGCTACTCCCATTATATTTTGAGGTTGTTGGTATATTTGATCGATTCTGAATGGCAGTGGCTGATTGATTCCATTTCTTATGTTTCCTTTGTGTTGACCACTTTATTGGAGTCGAGGCCTTCCCTGTTGGCGTGGAAGACTTTCTTTTTTGTACATGGAGAGTCTTTTGTAAGTTATTGTTTCTCCTCAATTCCATGATTATATATATCTCTATTGCTATATCTATTTGTGTAATGGTATGGAAGGTTCGACAGGTCCTAAGTCATTGTGTCATCATTTGTTGAATATATGTGTTTAAACTGACAGTGTTGTTGAATCCATCCAAACTCGGATGTTGATTGGTTGTTCGTGATGATCGAGAGTGTGAGCGAATGGTAACTTACACCCACCTGAGGTATTCGGAATTTCAGGGGGTAATTTCTCTGTGGGGATATTTGTGCGTGAATGATGAAGGTTACAGGTCTGAGATAGTTGTAGACGTGATTCATTTAATTAATTTCCCAAATTATTAAACAAACAGATAATATTGTTGTTCTATAGATCATATACTATCTAATCATATATAATATATCTTATACAAATATAATTATACGATCATTTTGATATCATCTACATGTACTATTATTACGAGCATTTTTAAGACATGTCAGGCGTACCTCTTAGAAATACTCCAACCAGGATACAGAAAAAGGACTATAAAGAGAGAATGGAGGAAGTCTTTAAGGAATTGCACGAGGATAATACAATACAACATAAACAGTTGGCACTAAAGTATGATGTCAGGCCAAGCGATATATCCAAGGCATTGGCCAACAATGGCATCCCATCTACCAAGCGACTATTTGTTGTGTTGCAAGAGGTTTTTCTTGTCAAGGAGATAGAGATGTCGTTTTATCATTACAAGCCAATGGCAAAGAGACAGGTGTTGACTGGAGTT